ACTCCCTCTCTGAAAACAAACATATTTAAAATGGGAGCTAGAGAAATGATTCAGTGATTAAGAACATTTCTGCTCTTGGGAGAGAACCGAGGCTCCACTTCACAGCACCCACATAGTGGCTCACAGTTATCTGTAACTCTGCTTCTAGGAGATCTGTTGTATTTTTCCGTCCTCACATGATTCACATACATACTTGGGGAAAAACATTTATGAAAATAAAGGAAAAAAAAATTAAGTCTTGGAATCAATTGAGTTAGAATTGAACTAATTGGGCCAGGGAGATTGCTTATCAGGTAAAGGCACTTGCTAACAAGCCTGAGGTCCTGAATGTAATTCCCCAGAAGCTACATGGTGTGAAGAGAGAACTATATCCTCAAAACTCATTGTGTTCTTCCTCTCTGTTGTATACAGGAGGGGCGAGGGCTAGTGAGATGCCTCAGACAATTTAAAAAAAAAAAAAAAAAAGGCACTTACTGCTTGAGAACTTAAAAGTTCTAATTCTAGGACCTGCCTGGAGGAAGAAGAGAACCAACTACCAAAATAATTAAAATGTAGAAAAATCAGAAAAAAATCACCCGCATTTATGTGTATAAATGTTTTGCTTACGTATATACCTGTGTACCACATATGTGCCCCTGGAGATGAAATGAGGGCATCAACCAGCTTGCCAAGACTGGAATTACAGACACTTGTGGGTGCTAGGAGTCCAACCCAGGTTATTTGGAAGAACAGCCAGTGCTCTTAAGCACTGAGCCATCTCTCTAGCTTCCAAGATGAATCTTTAAAAATAAACAAGAGTATAATTTCATTTTATAATAATTAGCATATAAGTTAAAGTCATTAAATGAAGTTGGGTAAGTTGTATCTTTGACTATCAAGATTATATTGTTGTTTGTTGTTTTATTAGGGCAGAATTTTCTCTAGCTTTGGAGCCTTTTCTGCAACTCTCTGTAGACCAGGCTGGCCTTGAACTCCTAGAAGTCCATCTGCCTCTGCCTCCTCCTGAGTGCTGGAATTAAGGTGTATGCTACCACTGCCTGGCAGGGACTTTATTTTCTTATGGAAACTTTACCCTAGATCTTTCAGCTGTGAATTTTGGCCTTTAATGGACCATTTTCTTCATGGGATGTGACTCAGGGAATGTGGGGAGGAGGATTGTAGCAATTCTCATGAGAAACAATAGTTTTGGGGCTGGAGAGATGGCTCAGCATTTTAAGAGCACTGCCTTCTCTTCCAGATCCCAGCACCTACATGGCAGCTCACAACTGCCTGTAACTCCAGTTCCAGTGGCTCCAACACTCTCACGCAGACATATATGCAGGCAAAACACCTATGCATGCTTTTTATTAAAAAAAAAAAAAAGGATGAATTTAAAAAGAAGAAATAGTTTGGATGATGTTTGGAGCTGGTTAGTATTTTTCTCAAAGAGGGTAGGGGAGCTTATACGCTTGTTCTTGAGATTATAAATAAAGAACATTGTATTTCTTAGACTATAGGAAGACATTAAATGACTAACATTTACTATACCCTAAGATGGATCAGTATTTTGCACTACAGTGTTGTCTTTCTGTGATGAGGAAATGGCTGTGACAGGAAGGAAATCTTTATGAGTATGAGAGAATCCTAGTTTGGATTCCCTGAAGACACTTAAAATCTGGATACATGTCTTTAAGCCTATGCTGCAGGGGTGGAACCAGATGGAGCTGTGGTACTCATTGGCTAGCCAGCTTAGCTAAGTCAGTGGGCTACATGTTTCAGTGAGAGACTCTGTCTCAAAAAGATAAAATGATGAACAATTGAAATCACCAGTTATTGGCCTTTGGCTCCCAGACTCAAGCACTTGTGTGTGCACACGCACACTCACACAGACACAGACACACACACAGACACACACACACACACACCCACACACACACACACACACCACCACCACCACCACCACCACCACCACCACCACCACCACCACCACCACCACCACCCACACCACACTATGGGTTTCATCCTACTTTATGGATAAGAAAAATAAAACTAAAGAGACTTGGAATACAAACTCAGACCTGACTTACAGAATACCACACAATACACACAGCATCTTAAATTCTGGCCCAAATTTCCTGTTGTGTAGTGAAACTCAGACTTTCCCAAATGTCCTAACTGCTTTTACATTATTTATATGAAATAAGCAATGGGCACAATAGCATGCTGGTAAAAATTGTATAGAAAGTTTGTGAATAAGTTTCAGAATTTAGGGTATATTGACAAAAGTGAAAAGCAGTGCTAAATTTTCAAGGATAATTTGTACCTATATGCTAATATATGAATTTACTTACTTATAAAAACTAGACCTTTGCTGAGAAATGCAACAGTGAGGTAATTGGGATTGGCTTGGTGAAGTGCACAAGGTAAAAGCTTGAGACCTGAGTTTGGAGCCCCACACCCATATAAAAGCTCGGTGCAGTAACACGTGTGTGTGTGTGTGTGTGTGTGAGAGACTGTAGCCCTAGCATTGGAGAGCACAGTGAATTCCAGTGGACCACTAACCAGACAGTGTAGCTGAAAAAGTTGGAAACGATGTAATTCATGTATAAAACTATTACCCATAATCCTTATACCTTCACTACACCAAATTCCTGTCCACAGTAAAGTGCATATATTCTTTTCTAGTAGCCTGCGGCATAATGGGGAATGAGAGAAAGGTTTGTGTGCATAAACACAATAAGCTTGAAGTGCGGTTTATACCTTAATGAAACCACTAAAAATCTATTCAAAAGTAAAAACACAAGCTGGGTGTTTTAAAATATAGTACTGATTTTATCTGTTTGCTTTGCTTATTTGATTTGTAAAATCTCTGTTCAAAGTCCAAGAAAAGTTCTTTGTGTTAAAATACAGTTTAATTCTTGACTTTAACTTTTTCTGTTGGCATGTTGGAGTGAGTGTACATTAATTACTTTTCTTGTTGCTATGACAAAATAATTAATAAAAACAGCTTAAGTATTTATTTCAGTTTATGGTTAAAGTGTGTTCATTGTGTAGTTCATCATGCCTGAGAAAGTAATAGCTGGAGTTTGTTAGTGGTATGATGGTGGGAGTATGAATCCTAGTACTCTGCTTGTTCTCTCTCTCTCTCTCCCTCTCTCTCTCATTTGTTTGTTTTTATGCAACCTTGAAACCATAATTCATAGAATGATCTCAACCACATTCTATGTTAAACTGTTTTGGAAACACCCTCAGATGAAGGCGTAGGTATATTGAGTTCACTAGACCCAAGATAAATGATAAATGGGTGTTTTATTGGGGGAACAACTTACACAGAACAATAAAGAACCACTGCAGCGTTTTTTCTGCCCTTCAGATCTGTGACGGCGGTGGGAGGGAGAAGGAAGGTCATTTTATAGTAGTGTTGTATTCTGTTTCCACTATTAGATAGCAAGTTCTATATGAGAATCATGTACCTGTTCAAATTTCTGGCAAGTCCTTTCTGAACTGCTCTTTCACATGTTTTGTCCTCACTGCTGAATTTAAACCACTCAGCCCTTCAGCTCTCTTGACAGGTAAAATAATTGATAGTTTTTCTGGTATTATATATACAATTATGATTGTGAGGGTGGCTTTAAAGGTATAGTATATAGGCAGGCAGATCTCTGTGAGTTTGAGTCCAGTCTGGTCTACAGAGCTAGTGCCAGGACAGGCTCCAGAGCAATACAGAGAAACCCTGTCTTGAAAAACAAAAAAGTTGTAGTACATTAAACATCATCAAATTATATAGTTTATATAGATACAGTTTATCTAATGTCAGTTATGCTTTTGGGGGGTGTTTTTTTTTTTTGTTTTGTTTTGTTTTTTTTTTTTTGAATCTCTGTAGCTTTAGTTGTCCTTGAACTCACAAAGATCCATCTGCCTCCTGAATGCTGGGATTTAGGCATTTGCCACGACTACTTGGCAAGTTATACTTTTCTTTTTATTTTATTTTTTAAAGATTTTGTTTATTATGTACATAGTATTCTGTCAGCATGTCTGCCTACAGGCAATAAGAGAGCATCAGATCTCATTACTGATAGTTGTGAGCCACACATGTGGTTGCTGGGAATTGAACTCAGGACCTCTGGAAGAACAGGCAGTGTGCTCTTGAACTGCTGAGCCATCTCTCCAGCCCCCAGTTACACTTTTTAAAAACTATTTTAAAAAACTCACGTGACCTGCATCCCATTACGAATAAATCATTATTCTAGTAAGCCCTGTCTCAGTGAACTCTTAAGGCTTTTTACTCTTTCTTATCTTCTCTTTGATGATACGTCATTGGCCTTTGTTTCCCTATCTTCCTAGATCCTTCTCTCTTCTTTTCTGTCCTCATTATCCATGCTCCATGACAAAGCACTGTTTAGAAGAGAAAAATCTCATGCCATTGCTGTTTCTGTAGGCACTAGCTATTCTTAGATCGCTTTTCCTATTGAAAGCCATGGCAACTTTAGAGGGGTCAGCACATATAAGCAGAAGAGATGGAGCCTCTTCTCTGTTTGTGCTCAGAGACTTATGGTCCACCTAGCAGCTTCATCCAGAAATGTGTGTACCTAGAGACATCTTGGCAAATAGTTGTTAGTGTAAGGAAGAGTTGATATAATGTAGCAATTCCAATGCAAAGGTGCTTTTGGCCCTTTATAAAGGAATTATAAAGGTTATAGGAAAAATTTAATATTCTGGATTTGACTTGGTTTTCTTTGAACTAAAATTTCTATGGAGAATTGGCCTTAGTTATTTCCATCTTCACAGGCTCTGTTAAAACCTACCTAGACTGCTAAGACTACTTGATTGGAAGATAGTACAATTCCATCCAAATAGTTTGCTGTACCCATGAAAATATTGTGGTCATGAAAATATTGTGGTCACGAGGCAACATTTTTATAGTTTTTATAGTTTATAAAATATGTATGTTCAAGTTCTGTAATTTACTTGTTGGAGAAAAATAGTTTTAAAGTTTTGATTGAAATTTTCTTTTTCTGCAGAACTCAACAAAAACCCAGTGGAAGGCTTTTCAGCAGGTTTAATAGATGACAATGATCTCTATCGATGGGAAGTCCTTATTATTGGTCCTCCAGATACACTTTAGTAAGTATATTATAACTGACATCTTCAAATAGTTACTCCTTTAATTAAAATTAAAACTTAATGTTGAAAATTGATTTTTATTTTAAGGCTCAAGCAAAAATGGTTTTATCTAATATCATTTGTCTTAAATTTGATCATGTTTTGAACCTGTTTGTTATGCTTGAAACTCTGTCTAAAACCTGTTTTTAAAAATACAGTTTCAGAATTTAGGTACTCTTGCTGCTGGAATTAATTTTTTGTGAAGAAGCCTTTTCTTTCTTTCTTTCTTTCTTTCTTTTTTTTTTTTTTTTTTTTTTTTTTGAGATGCAGTTTCTCTGTGTAACATCTGTGGCTGTTGTGGAACTTGTTTTGTAGACTAGGCTGGCCTTGAATTTACAGAGATCTTTTGCCTCTGCCTCCTGAGTGCTGGGATTAAAGGCATGTACCACCACTACCTGGCTAGTTTTACTGTTCTTAATGCCTTATATTATTAAAGAACAAGACTGCAGATTTCTGGAATTTTTTTGTTTTTTTTTTTTTAAAAAAAAACAGAGTTGGTCTTTTTTGTTTAATGAAATCAATCGTTTTCTATGTTATGTGGATGCTGAGAATTGAACGTAGGGCTTCTGGAAGAAAAGCCAGTGCTCTTAATTTCTTTCGACCACTGAGCTGTCTCTACAGCCCTAGATTTTTTTTTTTTTTTTTTTTATATAGGACATATTCTATATCTGTATCTTAAGAAGACTGAATGGAACTTTGAAGGTGTGCTGACCCTAGTATGAACTAATTAATAATGATCACTTTTCACTAGTTTGTAAGAGTTAGTATTAGTACATAAAAAATAACTTATTTACTGACTGCCAGTTGTTGAACCAATGAGAGAAATGAGGTGACTTTGTCAAAGTTACATAGCCAAACAGCAATAAGGACAGACCTAGATCTGTAGTTCTTTGGAGCCGTACATCTCAGATTGGTGTAAAGAAGGCAGTGATTTGAATGTATCAGTCCCCACCCCTCAGGTATTGTTTTCCACCTACCTCAGTTGGTTTAAAAAAAAAAAAAAGTATTCAAAAAACAATGAAGGGTTGGTGAAGATTATTAGGTTGGTAAAAATGTTTGCTGTAGAAGTCTGATGACTATCCCCAGGAGCAATGTAAAAAGCTTCATGTAGCACTCCTTTTAGTAGATGGGAGGTAAAATCAAGAGAATCACTCAGTTAGCTTGGAGTAGTAGCAGACTTTGTGACAGAAATGAGAGAGAAACTGCCTCAAAAACAAGGTGGAAAAGAGGTGGGGGGGGGAAATGTGGTAGTTCATGTTTTATATTTGGGAAGAGGTGGTTCATATTTTGTCATAGCTATTAGCGATATTTGCATTCATCTGTTTTACAGTTTTATTTAAGTGAATTTGATTAGGCAAGGAGGTGATTTTGTAGTTGTTTCAGTAGTGTGAAGAGGATGGAGGGATTGAAAATAAGTTAGCATGTAGTTGAGTAATACTTAACTCAGCAATCAGTTCACCACCATACAATGGTGAGGCCTCAGATCAGAAAAAAAAAATACTATTGCAAAATTTTATAAAAATCTGGTGATCTGTTTTGTGATGGTATCACCAACCCTGATTTAGCCACCAGAGGGCACCCCACAGTATTACATTTAAGTGTTACTTTAACACTGATAGTTACTGAGTTTATTTATTTAGTCCTTTTACCCATCTTCACCTAGCATAAGTTTTCATTACTTTTGTATCTAATACTGAATTTTCTAGTGATGTTTAGATTTTTCTTAGCCAGGCATGGTAGACCATGTCATTTATACCAGCACTTGGGAGGCAGACACAGGCAAACTCTTTTGAGTTTGAAGCCAGTGTAGTTTGTAGAGCAAATTCCAGGACAATCAGAAGCCTTGTCATGGTGAACATCCCACCCCCACCCCGTGTGTGCACGTGTGCACATGCTATACTTTATGATACAGAAAAGGCAGCCGTAAAAAGAGATTTTTAAAAATATCTATGTGTTCATATCTCTGAATGAGTTATATATTTATCATGTGGGTATAGGTGTCCCTACAGTCTAGAAGAAAGCATTGGAGCCCCTGAAATTGAAGGAACAGGCAGTTGTGAGCTGCCTCATGTGGATGCTGAGAACTGAACCTTTGCAAGGGCAATAAGTGCTCTTAACCTCTGGGACATTTCTCCAGCCCTACATCGCTCCTTTTTCATGGTTAGATTTTCTGCTGTCTTTTCCCCCCTCCACTTCTAAGTAATTTCTAATGACTTATTATTTGGAGGCAGGCTCTCATGTATCCCAAGCTGGCCTTCAACAACTTCCTAATTATTGGAGGAGAACGTATTATTCCTAATTATTTTTCCACTAGTGCCCTCCTATGACTTTGAAAACAAGTTGGATTTCTCCCCTTTTTAAAGCCCTTAATTTGTGTTGAATCAGTTCTCTCTCTCTCTCTCCACCTTTACTTGGGTTTTGGCGATGAAACTCAGGTTTCTATGCTTATTTGACTAGTGCCTTTACATATACAGTACTCTTGCTGGCCTATGTCTCTTTATCAAGCTTAACATTTTATTTTGTTCAGAAAAAAAGCAGTGAAATACATAATTAAAAATTCAACCTGTACTAAAATGTGCAAAGCACAAAGTAAAAAATCCCATGTATTACAACCTCCATTTAATCACATTAATATGTAATATCATGTTCCTATTTTTGTGTCAGTATACAAACATCTATTCCCATCTTTTTTAAAAATTACTTGTTAGTGTGAGCTTCCATTATTATGTGTATATGGGTGTGTGCTCTACATCATAGAAATGGAGGTCAGACGACAACTCTGTAGAGTTGTTACTTTCCATTCATCCAACTTTAAGTGGGCTTTGGGGATGGAATTCAGGTGTCAGGCTTGTGTCTAAATCTCAAGTTTTTTTTTTTTTTTTTTTTTGCTAAGCCATCTTTACCAGTGAGTTTGCTCTGAAATTTCATGTTTTTTTGTGCATTATAACAGGCCAATCAGACTGAGGAATTTTTTGGTTTTTCGAGACAGGGTTTCTCTGTGTTGATTTCGAGTCTGTCCTAGAACTTGCTTTGTAGATCAGGCTGGCCTCGAACTCACTGAGATCCACCTGTCTCTGCCTCCCGAGTGCTGGGATTAAAGGTGAGCACCACCATGCCCAGCCCCATGAAATTCTTCATAGAAGTTTTTTGTCCTGGGTGGTTCTAGAGTCAAGTGGATAATAAAAACTAACCAGGCCAGGTGTTGGTGGCACACACCTTTAATCCCAGTACTAGAGAGGCAGAGACAGGTGGATCTGTGTGAGTTTGAGGCCAGTCTAGTCTACAGAGCAAGTTCCAGGACAGTCTCCAAAGCAATACAGAGAAACCCTGCCTCAAAAAATAAAACAAAAAACAAATACAAACAAACCAACAGAACTAACTAGGATACATTCCACATTTCATTTTGTTAGTGGGTAGCATATTGGACAGTACAGACAGAGAATATTTATCAATATTTCAGAGGTTACCACCCTGGAAAATCAATTGTATAAAGCCTCCTTGGAAGATGTTTATGTTTACTACTTCCCTCCTAACAGGTACATAAGTACAAAATGAATTTTTGTTATATGATGAAATGAATAAACAAGTAGATAAATAAAAGTGTCAGTCTACTCCCAGATAGGGAACCACAAAATGTGCCTAAACTTTGAGATAAGAGGTTGATGAGTATGGCCAGAGCAAAGAAAAATGATCATGTGAAACTGATGTAGAAAATTCAACAACTTGAATCATACAGACAAGATTAAGCTCCCTGAATTTCATTTGAGTACATGTACTAAAAAGATTTGTAGCATAACACCAGTGTTACCTGATTTGGATACCTGTTTCCAATAATTTGTTTTATTTCTGTTAAGCTCCAGAGAGTTTGACAAACCATCGTAAATACTGGCTTGTTAAACTTTATTTATGATGGTTTGTTAAACTGTATTTGCAGGGAACCATAATTATTTTTGTCTTTCATTTTGTTCTTGTATCCTTTTGTCTGATTGACTGTACTTATAAAGAATAACTTAAATTCATAAACTCTTTTTCTTTTCTTTTTTTCCAGCGAAGGTGGTGTTTTTAAGGCGCATCTCACTTTCCCAAAAGATTACCCCCTCCGGCCTCCTAAAATGAAATTCATTACAGAGATTTGGCACCCAAATGGTAAGTTTTCTAGTTTTATTTTCACATTTGCAAATAAGATGTTTTCATAACAATCTCAATGAGAATTTTTTCTAGGATTTCATGTTTTTGTGCATATGATCATGTACTGTACCCTAAAGAGATAAATACAAAGATTTTTTTTTTCCCCCTTCTTAGTTTTCTGCTTTTATGGAAATGAAGTGTGACAAGTTTGAGTTCTAGGTAAACTTGGACCTCACTATGTATCTCAGGCTGGCCTTGAATTTTTGGTGGTCTTCCTGCCTTGGGCTCCCAAGTGCTTGGATTACAGGCAAGAGCCACTACCACAGAAAAAATACCTTTTTAGGAAATGGTCTCTGGGTTGGGAATACAGTTCGATTGGTGGAGTACTCACTTAGCATGCAGAAAACCTTGCATTTGTTACCCAACTTTTCATAAAATGGGTATGGTGATGCAAACCTATAATCTTCTAGTTACATAGCAAAGAAAATTGTAGAGGTATATCTCATAATCTTATTAAATAGCATCCTTATTCATATTCTCCAAAAGTAGCAATAATACCAATGCCTGTCATTGAAAGTAAAAACAAAATGTTGCATATGCATATAATGCAGCATGATTTGGTAACAAAAAAGGGAAGTGTTGTGGGGGCTGGAAAGATTGCTTAGCAGATAAGTGTATAATGTTTTTCTATCACTAAAGATGGATTTGAAGAATTCATTGGCTGTCTTCAGAAAACCACATGTAGAGGATCCAATGCCTTTGGCATCTATCCTCACATGCACAGTCACACACAGATGCATATGCACACATGGAAAGCAAATAATTTTATCAAAGAAGTGAAGAAATGGAAATGATCTTTTAATAATTCCATTTATATGAAATTTCTATAATATGCAACTCTGAAGACTCAGTTATTCATAGTTGTTTAAGATTGCTGGAGATTTTAGAGAGGAGAAAAAGGGTAAGTATTAATTGTACAAGGTTTTTTTTTGGAGATGATGAAGATGTGATTTGTTATATGACTTAATACATGTATTATATAGAAACAATTAAGACTGTATGCTGCAAATAGTAGAATAGTATGATGGGTTTTAAAGTTTTTATGGGGATACCTGGTAAGATTGTTCAGTAAGTAAAAATTCTTGCTGTATAAAGTTGGTAACCTGAATTTAGTTCTTGGAGCTCATGTAGAGGTTGATGTCTCTTAAGTTATCCTTTGGCTATAGCTAGCATACATGCTCACACATGTATACAATAATAATAAAATATATTTAAAAAATACTATATGGCAAATAATAATTTGTGTAGCTAAGATGTATTCCAGTTTGGAATTGTCTGTTTATTTGCTTGTTTGTTTTTGAGATAGGTTATAACTGTAGCCTTGGCTGGCCTGAAATTAGCAATGTAGACTAGGCATGCCTTAAATTTAGAAATCCTCTTGCCTTTGCCTCCCAAGGGCCAAGATTAAAGGTGTGTACCTCCATGCCCAGCTGTCAAAGGATTTTCCAGTGGATTTAGAAGGAATAAAGCCATTTCTAAAGAACCTTGAGATGAAAGGGAAAAGCAACAAACAGATAGACAAAACGTTGTATAGAGGACAACAGTACTTCGGCAAAATCAGTGTAAATATTATGTGTATAGCTAGCTAAAGAGTTATGATAGTTATTTCATAGAGAACATAGTTGTCACCCAACATGTTTTTGGAGAAGTTAATTAAATCAGAGATCACTAGAATTTAAACAGTAGCAATATGGAACAACTTTACTCCTGAGTAAGGCAGTGATGATATCATCACAGCATATTTCTGATGGCTACATTAATGACATACTTCTTTAAAAGTGAAATTTAAACCTGGCAGTAGGGGTGCATGTCTTGAATCTCAGTATTGGGGAGGCAGAGGCAGGCAGATCTCTGTGCATTCAAGGCAGCCTGATCTACAGAGTGAGTTCCAGTTACAGCCAGGGATTATTACAGAGAAACCCTGTTGGAGATAGGTGTGTGTGTGTGTGAGAGAGAGAGAGGGAGAGAGGGAGGGAGGGGGAGGGAGAGAAAGAGAGAGATTGGGCATGATTCTAAGTTTGGTCATGGAAACATGATCTCTACCTGGAATGTATTCCAGCAACATTTAATGGATGAACATTGATGAAATTATGCTAATTGAAATAAATATGACAGACGAAATGTGTGATCATGTGATTTTTGTTTCTGTGAGATACTTAAGTAACTGAAATAGGGAGAACAGGTGTTTCTGGATACTCAAGAGTTGGGGAAATGAAGGAGTTGTTTACCTACACAATTTGAGTTGATTGAATGATAATTATAATAATTGTGTGTCATTGTGATTATTTTTAATTCTTAGCTGAGAAATAGCTTATATTCCTATTTGGTTTTTGAGATAGCTCCTATGCAGTTGGTAAAATCTGTAGCATTCTCAAAAGAGTTAGTAGATTACATATGGGAAATCTACATGTAAGTAATGTTTTATATATGTACTGCATAGGTAACTATCACATTTGTAATAGATTATGTATAACCAAATTTATACAATTCTTATTCTATAATTTTACAGTTGATAAAAATGGTGATGTTTGCATTTCTATTCTTCATGAGCCTGGGGAAGATAAATATGGTTATGAAAAGCCAGAGGAACGTTGGTTGCCTATCCATACTGTGGAAACCATTATGATTAGCGTCATTTCTATGCTGGCCGACCCTAATGGAGATTCACCTGCAAATGTAGATGCTGCGGTAAGGTATTTGTTTGCCTGACAACTGCTGCTTCCGCCCTTTACCTTTTCATTCTTTTTCTTAAAATGAAAATGAACTTAAAATTTAGTGTGTGTATATGAATATACACTTATACTTTTTGTCTTTATTTTCATACAAATAAAAATTATGTATAATTGATTATTTTGAAATATGTAAATACTGTGGGATAGTTAATTTGAATTAGTTGGCATGCATTACCTCACTAGTTTTTGTAGTGTGTATAGTTAAAATCTACTCTATTTGGTATAATTATATCTTGCTGTATTATTTATTTTGGTTTGAGGACTTATTTCTTCCAAAGAGTAAGAATTAAAAATTGCTATTGTCTCTGCTTTTTAAAAAATGGATATTATTATAAGAAAGAGAAATAAATATCAGTTTTTGGGGGGGATAGTTGTTTTTTGTTTTTCGAGACAGGGTTTCTCTGTGTAGCTTTGGAGCCTGTCCTAGCACTCTCTCTGTAGACCACCAGGCTGACCTCAAACTCACAAGAGATCCACCTCCCTCTGCCTCCTGATTTCTGGGATTGAAGGTGTGTGCCACCACTGCCCAGCTTTTGTTTGCTTGTTTCAGATCAGATATTTTTGTGAGCGTTTTCTGATATCCACGTTTGGTGAAACTGATTTTTGATTTTGGTGCTCATGCTGGCACTGGTGCCTTGCAAGGAAGATGATGTAATAATCATTGCTCCTACTTTCCCTATGGTACTCAGCATGTGATGTACCTCAGTTCTGTTACTCAGATATGATAGTTTCCAATATCAGGAGTAGGCAATTTTCCAGTTAATTTTAATGTTTTATTTGTAAATTATAATCTGAAAAGTGACACTTTTCCAAGGTCTTTCACTTAAGTATGTGTGGGTGTGAGATCTATTTTTTGATTTTTGCTTGTTTGGGATTAGGCACATACTTGTCCAGTCTCTTTGGAGAGCAAAGGACAACATGTGGAGTAAGTAGACTCTCTTTCCTAGCATGTGAGTCTCTGATCCCCAATTCAGGTCATCAAGCCCTTTAACTACTGAGCAATTTTGCTGGCTCCCCTGCCCCCTTTTTTTAAGTGAAAATTTCCAGTAGCTGTAATTATCATAAAAGCTTTCTATTTGTAGTTCCCAGCTTAGTCCCTTACAAAAGCTTGCTCTTCTACATCAGCAACTTTTTTGGGTGGAATGTTATTGCGGAATGATTTCTATACATGCTAGGCAAATGCTCAGTGCCTGAGCTATATTTCTAGGTGAAAATACTATGCTTTGGGGAAAAAAAATTGGAGTGTTTAGGATTGATTTACACCCAGATCTTTGCACAAATTAGGCAAGTATGCTAAACTACAATCCTACATTTTAAGATATAAAATTAATAAAAGATTAACATTTAAAACTAAAATAGGAAGCCTGGTTCATTTCTTTAATCCCAGCATTTGGGAGGCAGAGGCAGGTGGGTCTCTGTGATTTCAAAGCCAGCCTGGTCTGTAAATGGAGTTCCAGGATAGCCAGGGTTACACAGAGAAACCCTGTCTTTTTTTAAAAAAAAATAAATAAATAAAGTAGGGTTTATATATGTAATTTAGTTTTATTTGTTTTATCTACAGAAAGAGTGGAGAGAAGACAGAAATGGAGAATTTAAAAGGAAAGTTGCCCGATGTGTAAGAAAAAGCCAAGAAACTGCTTTTGAGTGATGTTTATTCAATAGCTAGTAGCTTCAATTATTTCAGGGTAAGTTCATTTAAAAACCATACAACATTTCTGTCTTTTCTGGTCAAATACTATGCTAATTTAAGCTATTTGACTTGTATTTATTGGCTTCATTTTATTCCTCCAGTTCTATTTTACTGTAGTTTGCTGTATGTCAGAGCTATAGTATAACCACTTTTTTTCTTTGTCTTTGGGGTACTCAAGTGTTTTTAACTAGCTGTTCTCTCTTAAAATAGTTTTATGGTAATAATCTCCTGGTAGTAAAGATTAGAAAATATAATTTTTCAAAATTGTGTAGTTATTGAAATCCAGGACCTTATATTTCTTGAAGGGAGATATACCCTATCACTGAGCTAAAACTCTGTTGGTAATAAAATTTGTAGTCCATATTGATAATAAATCAGTAGCCCCTATTGGTTGTAAAATTTCTAGTATTGAAGATATTAGTTTGGTTTCTTCCATTTCACCCTGCCTTTTTCTTACTCACTCTTAGGTACTGAAGTATCTTTCATCCTCTTATACTGAATAGTATATTTGATAAAGGCTAACCTTTTCTTTTTTTGATATTAAAAGAAAGGAAGAAAGATCCTAGAGGTAGGGATGAGCCCATTTGTTAGAGTGCTTGCCTAATATTAATAAAATCCTGGGTTCAGTCCTGTTCTAGTTAACTTTTTTGTTACTGTGATAAAATACTAACTTGGTGGGTGTCTTAATTAGGGTTTCTATTGCTTTGATAAAGCACCATGACCAAAAACAACTTTGAATGGAAAGAACTTAATTTATTCTCAACTCTTAAGGTCACAATGCTTCACTGAGGGTAGTCAGAATAGGAATTCGGTGTAGTGACTTGAAAGCGGGAATTGAAGCAGAGGCCATGGAGAAATTTCTCAGTGACTAGCAAGCTGCTCATGACTTGCTCAACTTGCTTTCTTATTTATTATACAGCTCGAGGCCACATGTCCAGGGGTGGCACCATCTCCCTCCCCCACTCACCTACATCAATCATTAATCAAGAAAATGCCCCACAGAGCTATCTACGTGCAGTCTAGTGGAAGCATTTTCTCAGTTGAGGTTTTTCTTACCAAATAACTCTAGCTTCTGTTGATTAAAAAAACAACACCAAAACCACTAGGGCTGCTAGAAAGGGTTTATTTCAGTTTATAGGTTGTAATCTGTCATAGAAGGAAGCCGGAAGCCGGGACAGGAATCTGGAAGCAAGAACTGAAAACTGGAGCAATTAGGAATACCAGGTCTGGCTTGCTTATACCATAATTTACTCATCCTGCTTTCTTAAACAACTCAGGACCACATGTCATCAAGGCTGAGCCTTCCCTCATTACTCATTAATCAAGAAATGCCTTACAGATATGGTCACAGGTTATTCTGTTGAAGGCAATTCCTTAATTGATGTTCCATATTCCCAGGTAACTCTAATTCAGTGGTCCTTGACCTTCTTAATGCTTCAACCTTTTAATACAGCTTCTCATTTGGGGTAAAACTTTTTATTGTTACTTCATAAGTATCATTTTGAATGTAAATATTTGTATTTTCTGATTATAGGGTATCCCTGTGAAAGGGTCTCAACCCTCAGGTTAAGAACTTCTGTTCTAGTTTATGACAAGTCCCACACAGAACCAGGTGTTTTATACTGAGAAGTGGAAGGCAAGAGGACCAGAAGTTCAAGGTCATTTTGGCTATGTAGTAGATTCAAGATCAGCAGGGGAATACATGTGACACTATTTCAAAAACATCAAAAGAAAGACCTATTTCCTATTATATTGCTAATACCATTGAGTGGTTTTCTGGTTTCCTTTAGTTGTTATTTTATATCTTAATAGGGCCAGTGGAGTACAGTTTCTCTAAATATCTAGTCACAAGTATCTTATATCTAGTAGGGAGTCAAAGACAAAGACCCCATCTGACATAGAAAAGGACATTATGTAGATAGATGAGTTGATCACATTTTTATTTGAATTAAATATTGAGGTGTTTAAGACTATCAAATGTCTGCTAGGTATGGTGATATATGCCTGCAACCCCCACCATTGAGATACTAAGGCTGACGTATTTTGTGTTTCTGGACCGTGTGGGCAACATAGTTAATTTTCTGTTTTATTTTTCTGAATGAAAAACAGAAAAAAGGTAATGAGAGACATTAAAATATTTCCCACATATTTGTGTGCCTGTATATGCAAATTCTTAACACTTGGGCAGGCATATATGCCATGGCACAAAGGTAGAGATCAGAGGACAACTTAATGGGAACTTGTTCTTTAATACCACATGGATCCCAGGGATTGAATTGCAGTTTTTGGGCTGGCCTTTTTAATACTCAGCAAATCATAATTGATGTATGTACCTGTACCTACCACCAGTTTCGAGATACTATATTATTTTCGTTTGTTTGTTTGTATGTATATGTGAATTTGTTTTGTTTGTTTTTTGAGACAGGATCTTGCTTTGTAATCCTGGCTGGTATAGATTTTACTGTTGATCAGTTTAGCATTGGACTCAGATCCTCCCTCTTCTGCCACTTGAGTGCTGGGATTAAATACACAAGCCAACACAGCTGGCTCATGTATATTGTCATGTATATTCTAACACTTGAGCCATACATTTCCATCATAAATCTTTAAGAAGTTTTGGAGTTAGAAGTTATCACACTTGTAAGGTACTGTGTTCTTATTGCTGAACATAATGTTAATTAATTAATTAATTAATTTATCATTATTATTTCTTACTGCTTTTTGAAATATTTCTGTTACTTAACCTAGACTCTATTTCACTTTTTTTTTTTTTTTTGAGGGGGGGGAGACTGGATTTCTCTGTGTAACAGCCCTGGCTGTCCTGGGACTAACTTTGTAGACCAGGCTGCCTTGAACTCACAGAGATTCACCTGCCTCTGCCTCCTGAGTGTTGGGACTAAAGGCATGAGCCACCATTGTTAGGCTATTTCACTTTTTGTTAGTGTCTCTGCCCTGTCTTTATCTTTTGATTGAAATTGGGATCCTAAGAAGGGAGATGAAAGAGAAGTAAAAATCTGTGCCAATTTGTATGCCACTAGAAATGATGATTTCTTTTGTTTTGAATCAAGAGTAAAGGGACTGTATTCTTTATTGCTTTGTAAATGCTCCAGATTTAGTGATCTCAAGCAACGTTTGTTATCTTTTCTTAGGGACACTCAATCCCTCCATGTAGGCTTAGTTAAGTCCTAATGTTGGCTGAACTGTGCAATCCAGATACCTTACAGCCCAAATGGAGCGATCTATGTTAGTGCTCACTTAAGTACTGTGTGCAGGATATATTTGTCTTTGGGTGTTGGCTGGAGTCTTCCTTTTGCTCTTTTTTAAGCACATATTTTGAATTTAATTTTTAATCAAGAAATTATACTTATGTGTATTTTTCCTTCAGTGCCCAAGGAGGCAAGAACAGGGTTTCCAGATCTCCTGGGACCATAGTTTCCAAACAGTGTGAATTACTGTGTGGGCAATTGAACAGGGATCCTTTGGAAGTCTACAAAGGGATCTTAACTGCTGAGCTGTCTCTCTAATCTCTTTCTTTGATTCTTGTCACATGGTGTCACCAGAAATCAGCTCATAATATGACAGGTGGTTCATCAGAGAGAGCAGGAAGATAATAAGAGTGGATTCAGAACTAAGTATGGTAGATGTCAGTGCCTCCTGTCCATAGAAAACAGTATACCCCAAGCTGGTAGAAATGTAGCCTACAGACAAAACATAACTAAATTCTTCTCTGGGAACTGCCTTCATGTCATCCATGATATCCCCCACTTCTTGGTGGTTGTTTGCACATGATGGATTACAGTTTTCTGAAGGGCCTTTGAAATGTGAGGTGCACCTTTGATTCAGCAAGCCCCTATAATACCTCAACATTTTTTGATTCCTAAACTGGCTCACCTTAACTTTGAGTTTTTTTTTTTTTTTTTTTTTTTTTCTTTGTTTGTTTGTTTTTTAAAGGCAGAGACTCTACAGAGCACAGGCTGGTCTGAAACTCACAGAACTTTGTCTGCCTCTATCTCCCAAGTTGTAGGATCAAAAGTATGTACCCCCACACCTGATTCACTTTGATGTTTGAGAGCACTTTTTTGTAAACCCCACGTGAGCAAATTTAAGCCCCATGATCTGCAGCTAGAAAAGTTTGTGAGACTCACATACAGCAAGAACACATACTGCTCTACAGAGAATGTGAGTTCTATTCTCAGTACCTATATCAGGCAGCTCATAACTGCTTGGGACTCCAACTCTATGGTATCTGACACCTCTGGTCTCCAGTGTCAGCTGTGTATACATATAGACATATAAGTAAAAAGAAATCATTAAGGAAAAAAGATAAGTGCCGGGTGATGCAGGTAATCTCTGTGAGTTTGAGGCCAACCTGTTCTATAAAAGGAACCCCAAGACAGCCAGGGATACACAGAGAAACCCTGTCTCTACCCCACTCCACCCCACCCCTATCCCACCCCCCCCCCCCAAAAAAAAAGAAAAAAAAGAAAAGCTTATTTATTTATTTGGAAATTTGGTTTGTGAACCCTGAGAGCAATTTCTTACAAATATCTGGTGTTTGTACCTGTGTCTGTCTGCCTCTGTCCCTCCCAAGCAGTCATAGTAGTCTTATTTCCTATTTGAGAATTTATTGTCAAGTAGTTATCCTAAGGATATTTGATCAGCTTCATATTTAGATCATTTAAAGGTTCAGTTTTATATTTGTTTAAGATCAAAAGAGTCCTGACTGGGCCTATGAGTTGGTTCAGTGATAAAATAGCCTGTCCAAAGCCTGATGATCTGAGTTCTGTCTCCAGGACCCACATGGTAGAAGGAGAGAACTGACTCCAACAAGTTGTCCTTTGACTTTCACCTGTATACCAGGACACACAGAATATATAAAGTATAATTTAAACTTAAAAAAAAAAGTCCTGAACTATAGCCTGTCTGATCACCCAAGTTCTAATAAAATAAAGAAGAAAAGTGAAAACTCTACCCAACATGCTATAACTACCTGTATTATCCCTTGAAGATTAATATCTCCAGATTTGTAGATTAAGAAACAAGAATAGGAACTGGGAGATAAAGTGCTTGCTATGTGCAAGCAAAGACCTGAGTTCTCATCTCTAGCATCCAAGTATGGCAACACTCATTCACCTGTAATTGCAGTGTTGTGGAGATGGAAAAAAGCGGATCATGGTGGAGGTCATTGGCTAGCCTATTTAGTGAAGTTGATCAGTTCTAGGTTCAGCAATATATCCTGCATCCCCCCCCCCAAAAAAAAAAAAAAGTGGAGAAGATGATACCATGAGGGAATAAGGAGCTTGCTGTTAAGCCTGACTACCAGAGTTCAATTCCCATAACCAACATGGTTTAAGGAGAGATGCTATTTCTTAAGGTCCTACTTTCCTGACCTTCGCATGCACACATCTCTCTATGTAAACACACACTATAATTAGTGTGTTTTAAAAATGGTGGGGGGGTGGGAGCTCGAGAATGACTGAGGAATGAAAGTATGGACAGTGACACTGGAAGTTATAAGTAGGACATGGTTACATGGCTTTCTTGTCAACACCATTACTTGAAATAATACAGATAATTAAATTTTCACATTTATCTTTTCTAGAAAAAATTAAAGACTTTAGGAGTGAAACTTTTCTTTGCACATAATTTGACTGAAAGGGATTTGACTAGGTTATCCTAATTCACTGAACAACATAATGCTCTTGATGGCTGTGTCTGTAATACTAAAGGTCAAGTTGCCAGATTGTAGGTGTTGATTTTTAAAATCTTTTTTTTGGAAACAGTTTCCAAACATCTATTTCCTGGTCCTAAAATTTCTCATTGTTTATATCATAGGGAAATAATTGTATAATAGCCCCCTCTGTACCTATTTCTTTTTCAGACCTGGGAGATGTTGTTAGCCAAATGTTAATTTTGGAGAAATATTCAGTGACATTACCCTAAAACTACACTCGTGTAACATTGCCCTATGAATTTTAGTATATATCTTTATATTTTCTATTAAGAGATATATTTGCACATTCATATATCCATTACAAATATGAACTGTAACCTTGAGGAAGGTACTATAGTCCTGTCTGGTGTATCTTCATTCTTTGTAGGGGTCGGGTGGATAACTGGTTATTACAACTCTATTGCAAAGAATTTTAGCAGTAGTTGTATGTTTTAGACTCATTCCTGTGAGCTCTTAAATTGTAAATCAGGCGCATGTAACACATTACAGATTTGTTTCACACCATTCTTCTCTAGTAGAACTTTTGCCGCCCCCCCCCACTCCCTCCCCTTGGGGTTTCTCTGTGTAACCCTGGCTGTCCTGGAACTTGCTTGCCTCTGCCTCCCAAGTGCTGGGATTAAAGATGTGGGCTGGGCTGCTAACATCTGACTCAGTAGAGCTTTGATGTGGTTGAATTCTGGGGTGATTGTGTGATAAATTTTACTCTTGGCTTTATAAGATTGACTCAACTTCATGTCTTGTGTGAGTTGGCTCTTCTATTTAAATTTTATTACTTGAATTCCTGGAGATCTTCTGCTTGCAAAATTGTGCTTGGCATTAGATGTGGGTTTCTGGGAATGTTTGTTGTGGCTGTTAAATGAGAATGACCCCTCCCACCCAAGAGGATTGAATGCTTTGTCTGCACTGGTGGAACTGTTTGGGAATGATTAGGAATTTTGACATTGTTGGAGGAGGTGTGTCACTGGGGGAGGGTTTTGAGGTTTCAAAAGCCCAAGCATCCCCAGTTAGCTCTCTTTCTCTACCTCCTACTTATGGATCAGGATGTAAGCTCTCAGCTACTGCCTCAGCGCCATGCCTGCCTGCCTGCTGCCATGCTCCCTGCAATGATGGTCATGGACTCACCCTCTGAAACTGTAAGCCACAAATAAACTCTTTCATCTATTAGTTGACTTGGTCATGGTGTCTTATCATGGCGATATAAAATCAGCTAAGACACATGGTCTAAAAATTAAGTGGTAATGGGAGCTCTCTTTGTGTTCTGTCCCTGTCCCACACTCAAAGCACACATTAATAGAATAAAGGCTCTGCAAGTAGCCATTCATAAACAGGATTTTAAAAACTTGAACCTTGTGTTTTTCTGACTAGAAAGTATCATTGTTAGCTTGTGATCATATCTCACATTTCTCTGCAAGGGGGTTGTTTGCAAAACACTTAACACTACCTGGCACATCATAAGTATTTAATAAGATGGTAGATTTTTTTTTGTTGTTGTTGTTTTTTAAAGTGTGCTCCTTAAATTTTTTCCTTTCCATTTGTTTTTATTTTGTGTATTTAATTGTTCGGGCTGAACATATGTCTATGCACCATATTTGTGTAATGCCTATGGAGGCCAGAAGAGGACACCAGTTACCCCTGGAACTGGAGTTACAGTTGTTAGTAGTCTCCCTGTGGGTGCTGGGAACTGAACCAGGTCCTCTGGGAGAGTAGTCAGTGCTCTTAACTGCTGAATCATTTCTCTAGCCCCTACATGTGTTTGACTTACAGTCTGTTGGATTTGAGGTATCATTTGTGGGAGGTTCCATGGGAAAATGGGTTTGAATGCAAAAAGTTGGCTAAAATTAAGCATGATGAAAAGTATAGTTACCTTAAATTGTGTTTCTTCTTTTTGCTTTTTAATTTTTAGTAATTATATGTGCATTGGTGTTTTGCCTGCATGTATGTCTGGGTGATGATGGTATTAGGTCTCCTGGAGCTGGAGTTACAGCTGTGAGTTGCCATGTAGGTGCTGGGAATTGAACCTGGGTACATCTGAAAGTATACTCAGTGCTTGCAACATTTGAGCCAATCCTTCAGACCTTTTAATTGTTTTTGTACATACACATAAATATTTCTAAATTTCCAAATAATTTTACTTTTATTACTTATAAATTTTGTGTGTGTGCGTGTGCATGTATGTGTATGTATACACAAGTGCAGGTATCCACAAAGGCCCAAGATTTATTTACATCCTGTGGACCTGGAATAACAAGTCACTCTACTTGGGTGCTGGGAGCCTAACTCAGGTCCTCTCTAAGAGCAAGGTGCACTGTTTACTGCTGAATCATCTCTCTAACCCCAAATTACTTTTAAATAATATACTTGGGATTTCTGGATGTGATGTAGTTTGAAAAACATTTGGAGTATTGAAAAATCTGAAGTACTGATGTAATATGTAGCTGATTAATTAATATCTACATTGCTGAGTGTAATTGCCATTAGCCACATGAGGCTAGCATGTCCAAGGAACTGAAATTGAAGATTTATTTTTAAAAATTTCTTCAGATATTTTAACTGTATATGGGTATTTTCCTGCATGTTTATAAGTGTGTTAGAAGGTGTCAGATCCTCTGGAACAAATGGTTGTGAGCTACTATGCAAGTGCTGGGAGTCTAGCTCTGGTTCTCTGGAAGAGTAACAAATGTTCTTAACTGCTGAGCCACTACTCCAGCCTATGAAGATTTCTGCTTTTAAAGACAAGGTCTTGCTGTGGTAGCCCTGGCTAGCTTCAAATTCACGGTTTTGGGGGGGTGGTCTCAACTTCCTGGGTGCAAGGATTAGAGATGGGTAGCACCTTCCTAACCATTTATTTATTTATTTAAGTTTCATAATTTAAATGGAAAAGTATATAGCTATGTGTGGTTAGTAGTTACTATATGATAAACAAGCACATAAGTGAACTTCAGATGAAATTATAAGTAATAGTTCTATTCAATTATGTAGTTTATAAATGTGTTACATAATGCTGTTTGTTTTTGTTGTAGGTCTCCAATTGAGAAATATGGCACTGTTTTTCCTGCACTCTACCCACCTATTGCTGGACTTCTGTTGTAACAAGTTGGCAAACTCTGGCTGGAACTGGGCTGCAATAAAACATGCCAGTCATTAATGCTGACAAGAGCCTAACAAGTGCCAACTTACAGATGATTACGCATTTTGAATTCTAATGAACTGTTTTAACCTTCAGGAAGAATTGTAAAGACCTGTACATAGCACAACATGATCCGGATAATATATATACTGTTCATGTACATCCACAAACACACCTTGTACCAAATAATGCTTTCTTGTAGTAGAATAAGAATCGTGTAAATTCTAAAAGACTTTAGCAGGTTTTCTTTTCCCATTCATTGTTTCTTATCAGTTCAAAAAGATTCTTTAAAGCATGTCAGGTGAAAACCAATAAGGATTAAAAGTTTCCATATAATTTCCTTTAAACCATTGAGTCTTCATTATATTTACTAATCTTTTGTATTTGTTTTGACACACTACCCTTTCCTTTTATCTCTTCTGTCTGCCAGAAAGTTCTCAAATCACTTAGTTAAAATACTGAAATACTAATAAATTACTTGATTTTCCATGATGACTTCAGAGGTGGGGTCATCACTAGGTGCTTTGTCCTTTTGTACTGAGATTCACCCATCTCTTGGATTGGATGTAGCAATAACATTTTCTGGCCGTTGAGAGCTCTTGATCTTAGTCATTATCTTCTGGGAACTTAAAAAGGAAAAAAAAAAAAAAAAAAAGTGAAGCCTGTTCTAAGTTCAACTTAGAGAATTTTATTCCAAACAATACAAAAATCCAGATTTGATTTTATTTTTGCCCATAAGTTGCCTAATATTAAGGTTGGATGAATAAAGCATGCACAGCTACAGGCTTTCTACATCTGGGATTGCTATTAAAAATGCTATTTGTCCCCTTACCCCTCTCTTAGTCCTTCATATTTCTTTGTTTCTTCTTTAGTGCAGATTTTCCTCACCTATTGTACAAAGAAATTGCGATGTATATTTTCATGTAATTTGATTTTGGAATTTTGTCACCTTATGTAGTGAGTTCTTCCAAAATATAATTTTTTTTCCAATAATTGTCTAGTTGTTGGCTTTTATTGTATTAAATGAAGGTTATAGTACTGAATACCAGAGAAGTGCAGTTTAGAAAAATCTCAGGTTGATTCCTTATGCAAACAAACTTAATACTTGAAAATCTCATGGCCATGGCAGTATAAGTATTAGGTTCTGCCTAGATTCTTTATCTGAATCTAAAAGCATTACAGGGGTAAGTCCTTTTCTAACTGACATACAGATTTTGTCACTGACATAGTGCATTTAGATTTGAATTTTGTTTGAGCATGAGTATGTTTCCTAGACAATTTTCTAAAACAACTTGTGATGGGTAAAAGTAGTACATTCAGTGTTAGAGACAGGCCTAAAGTCCTGTCTGGTTTTAGCTGAGAATGGGAAATAGTGTTTGGCATATAAGAGCTAGAGCATAAGACAGTACCTTTTACTTGATGGTGTTTGATTATGACAATAGGTAGGGCTTTAGCTCATGGGATTGGATAAATCTTTTGGCAGAAGAGGGAATGAAAGGTTTCCTGTCAAAGCCAGACCTTTCAAACTCTTAGGTACTTTTTTAAGTAGAGGGGAAAAATGGATGAGGATGTAGTTATGATACAGTACCATTTTTTATAATCACAGTTTTCTTGGGAGCATTGTAAAGTCTCATAAACATTATCAAAACCTATAAATGTGTAGCAACTGTGAACACTGTGATTTGATTTCATTAGAAGTTCAATTCTCTGTAAGAACTTTTAGACACCCCTCTTCCCCCAGACCGGAAGTTATCCTACAATGCTACTGTCCTACAAGGGCCTGGGAATGCAATCCTCTTTACTTTCCATTCAGAAATTGTCCTTTCAATGGTTGCTTTGACAGATACGGAATTTTTGGTCTCCTATTGCTGTGATTCTAGCCATCTGTTGAATTAAAATCCAGGGTTTGATTGCTCAGCAAGTAGTAAATGACCTAGTAACTCAGGGACAGCTATTTCTGAACTTATATATGCAGTGGTAATGTATTTACTTTGGGATAACTGTGGTTCTTTGTGCTAGATCAAGGACTACTGGAGAGCTAAGAGTGAATGCCTTTTTCCTGAAGCTCTTTCCCCTTGGTGCCCCAACCATGTTCTACACATGAAACAGAAGCCTAAATGTTAGGGCTTACTTTCCTATGAGAGATGTCATCTGTGCCTTTCCTAGTGTTCATCTGACAATGTGGATTTAAATGCCTCTACATTTGATTTAAAACCCCCACTAATGCATCATCATTAGTGTGAGGCAATTCTGTTTTAGAAAACGTCTCTTCGCTACCCATGCCAAACCCCTGCCACCTATGCCAGCCATCAGCTACACCTACAAAGTCCTTTAGATTATAGAACTGTTAGCTGTTAATTTATTCCAAGTTCTCATAGAGGCTTGCAAATTCCAGTCTGTGTGTATAATGCAAGGTTATTGGTGGCTTTATGGCCTTATGAGTTTAAAATCCACGTAGTGATTTCTTTGTCATTAGAAGGTAATGCTCAAACGTTTGGTTTTTCTATTAGTTCTGTGATCACCTGGGAGTCATAGTATCAATCATTTAATGGCCTTTGTTCCTAGTTGTGAAATTTTATTTATATGCTCATTCACTCTACAAACTTGCCCACTTTGGGTCTTGGTACCTGTGTATCTTTGTCTGGTCTCTAATTGGTGGAATTACCTTTTTTTGTACTGCCACTTCTCAACATTTTTGAAGTTTGACATAATGTTGCTTCATTCCAGTTTTTTAAAAATTTTTTTTTTTTTTTTTAGTTCTGTAATTTGTTGACTGTATTTAACTATGTGAGTTTTGTTGTGACGTTTACTGTATTGTAAAGCACCTTAATCATGTGATGGGTGCTCTATAAATCAATAAATGATGACTTAGAGGCTGTATTATGAACTATTTTGGTTTTAGGTTCAGGTTTCAAGCAAACTTTGGGATATTTCTATATAAACAACATGATACCAAATGATACACACAGATACTTTGATGGATTTCACAAGATTTATTTAAAGAAGAAATTTGACAGTAGGAGTTAACTTGACTTCCAGTGTGGTAAAATGCTCTTTAAATTTCAAATACATGGCCAAAAGTCATTTCATCAGTTTTTCTTCATGGTGACTTGAAAACTTGAAGTGAACATTTGGTAGAACATTATTGACCTGTCTTGTTTAAACTAAACTGACTCTGCCTTGGAGATCAGCTAACCTAGATTCAAATGTGAACTGGATGAGACCATCTACCCTCCAAGCAGATTGCCATCCCTACTGGGTATGACTTAGTGAGTGGCAAAAGAGACAAGATTAAACACTCTGTTAAAGATAACAGTATCTAGCTTTTGTCTTGAGGCCTCAGTTTATATGCATTTAGTGTTAGAACTGATAACTGACTTGATGTATTGATGATGATGCTCATCTATAAGTTCCTGGTGACTGGCCTCTTAACAAACTGAATATGGAGCCAGATATCTTAGAGCTGTATTATAAACAAGGAAATAATTCTAACCCTGATAAATATATTTGGAATGAAATTGCTGTAGAAGGGAGTAGATGTTGCCTGTGAACTCAATTTTATACTTAAATATCACTAGGTACATAGGAAAGTAGTTCTGTTTGCAGGTTGTTTCAAATGTAAGTGAACTTGTTATTGACTAGTATGTTCTATGTGCTAGGTACTAGGCTTCCAAGGAATTTTCTTTGGAAAGGAAAAAAGAAGATATAGGAGTAACCACCTTATCCAATTTAAACTTCATTTTTTGGAAGCCTGCAGAACTCAAAACAATTTAGTTTGCAGAGAAAATTACTTTCTGGCTATCGTATTTTCAGGTGTTTGATTTCAGGGGTGCAGTCTAGCTGCTAAGATAGGATTATACTTTTTTCAGTGTTTCTGTGATATGACATGTGAATCAAACAGCTTTTGACAGCTAGGCATGTCATACAGAAAGTCTTAGACAAGAAAAATGACTCTTCTGCAGCAATATCCATTAGAAATAATTGTAGGACTGAGGGTGTTATCCAGTGTCAAAGGACTTGCCTAATGTCCAAAGCCCTTGGTTTAATTTACTAGCAGGGAGATGGCTCAGTTTGGTAAAGTGTTTATCATGCAAGCATGAGGACCAGAGTTCAGATCTCTAGCACGGCAGTCCTTGCCTAAAATTCTGGTGCCTGAGAGGCGGAGTCAGGAGGTTTCTGTTCAGTCTGTCAGTCTGGCCAAATATGTGATTTTTTTCAGTGAATGACTATCAAAATGTGAGCTGGGTGTGTTGGGATATACCTTTAATCCCAGTATTTTGGAGGCAAAGGCCTCCATTTGAGGCTAGCCTAGTCTACAGCAAGAGTTCCAGAGCAACCAGGGATACAAAGGCCCTCTCAAAAAATAATGTGAAGAGCTAAGAGTAATAGGTACCTTGAGTTCTGCCCTCCACAAACCAATAGTATGCCTTCACACAAACCCCAAAAGAAATACAGCGCTTGAATGCTCATAATAACTCATTCCTAACACACTAGAAACCATGATTATTAATCAAGATCCTCCTTGACAGCAGTTACTTGTACATCATAAAGGATCTGGTCAAACTTTAAAATGATAATCCAAGGTAATAGTGTCTTGAGAAGAAACTAATTTGAGCCTGATGTGATCTTATTGTAGCATGTGGGAAGTGAAGACAGAAAGATCAGGAGCTCTAGGCCAGCCTGGGCTACATGAGACCTTTTGTTAAACAAAATTAATTAAAAAAAAAAAAAAAAGTGAAAGCCGGCCCAGGTAACTTACCAGGCTTGCAAAGTAAGACAGAGAAAACATGCTGCAAAGCAAATGTCAGCTATGACAACAATTTGCAACTTCAGTCATTTTGGTGTTAAGATCTTGAGGTTTCTTTTTCCTTTTTTTTTTTTTTTTTTTTTCCTTTCTTTTTAAGGGGACTCCATTTAGAGGAGTCTGTTTATGTCTGAGGCTGCCTCACCCAAGCCATCTGAAAGTCTCAAAAGCTCAACATTTGGTACACGTATGAACTATCCTCAGCAGAGTAGAAGCTTTGAGCTCTGGCACTTCTGTTGAAACTGACAAATACTGTGTTCTTTACCCACATGCTGCTCACCTAGTGCCACTACTCTAAACATTGCCATGTTTTCTTCACTCCTGTAGTCGCTGTAACCGGAAACATGTTTATAGCACATAATTGTTCCTAGTTCAGTGCCCTCCCCTCTCACATTTTCTAGGTGTTTGTCAGCTAAGGGTGCTCCCTTTTCAAAATTTTAACCCTTTGCCCAATGTTCCTATAATCTAAACTTGAAATTCCTTCATTACTTCATTTCACCACTCACCCCAGGAATGATTTAATTGTGGCAGATCTTCCTAAAACCCTGCTGTCCTCTACCTCAACCACCTCAACTGTTGATGCATTATTTATTCTCCTGAATTTTTTGTTGAACCGAAGGCCACCCTCGAGTGTGCTAATTACACTTGCTAGTTAAGCAAGCCAAGAAAAAGACTTTAAACTCATCTTTAATCCCAGCACTGGAGGCAGATGCCTGTCAGTTCAAGGCCAGCCTGGTCTACATAGCGAGTTCCAGGACAACCAAAGTTATGTAAAGAGACTGTCTTAATTCCTCACCCCACCCCACTGCCAACAAACAAGTAAAATGAAATAAATGTCCTCTGAAAAGGCTAGTGTTATTGGGTGTATTACACCACTATTTTGCTATTAACAAATCATATTCACCAAAGGTTTTAGCTCCTGGCTTACAAACTTCCTGTGTTTAATCTTACAACATCCAATTATCCTTGCTTCACATTTCTAACTCATGGCCCTGTCCTGGGCATTTTTAGCTCCTAGTTTTTTTTTTTAAATACTTATAGAGCCTTGCAGTTTCTGCGACCCCTACTTCAGTAGCCATTGTGCGTGCCATGTTTCACGACCTGAATCGTAGTCTGGTTTTGGTCTTAAAATTCCAAATGCTTAGGACAAATGTTATAATTCGAGTTTTCTGACAGCATCTCACATGCTTATAAAGTAACCATGCATCAGAGTGGTCCACGTTCGCTGGGCCCTGACGACTGCCTGGAATATAAGAGAGATCAGTCTGTGCTTAACAAATTCCTCAAAATGTCTGGGGCGGCAGTGGGGTGGGAGTTTCGGGTCCTGCAGTGTGTAGCTTCTACCACACCTTTCATTCACCCCTTGTCTGCTTAGGCTCCTCCCTTTGCCACGCCTTCACCTAAGTCTCGCGAGACTTGTTGACTTCGTTCCGCAGACACTTCTCGCGAGGCTGTAGTCAGGGCCGGGCCGAGATGGCGGAAGGTAGGTTTTTTTTGCGGAGTGGCGCGGGAAGGCATGGAGGTGTGGGAACACTGTTGGCCGGGCACAGAAGCCCCGAGAGGGGTTCGTCGGGTGTGGTCGCACGGGGCACCGCGTGTCTCGCGAACCTTCCTGGCTAGCATCTCGAGGCTTCCAGGGCTTGGGGGAGTTCCTCTGCGCCGTTCCTATGGCAACGCCCCTCTCGCAGTCTGGCCCTGGCGGGACCTGGGTGGGCTGAGAACGCTAGTGGTGGTGGTGGTGGTGGTGTGTGTGTGTGTGGGGGGGGGGGATCTGATATTGGGAGCAAGCGCAGCCGCGAGGCTCGAAAAAGCTGTACAGGAGACTCCTTGTAGTGCCAGCGATGCTGGAACGGCGAGGGAAGTGCCCATCTTCTTAGGAAATCGAAACTGCTGTCATGGCAGGTCCTGCATCCGGAAGGGGTGCATCCCTTGCTTGCGGAAGAGCTTGGGATTCTTCCTTGCAGGGGGTTCAGGAAGAGTCAGGACTGCAACTGGACGGCGTTTGTTTTGGGGAAGGGCGAGCACTGTAGTCTCTGGGCTATTTTGCAGCTCCAGCATGCGGGCGCGCCGAGATTCTTTGAGGTTTGCAATGGGGGCAAGAGGAGGGGTTTGCTTAGCAAGGGGGTTGACCAAGGTCACACTGCTCGTAAGAGGTGTATTAAAACCAGACCTCCGTTCCTTTATCTGCTGGTTCCTTATCCTCTTTTCTAGAATACTCTTTAGACACTGCAGGGAAAGGCACCTGGTCTCTCACATTCAGCTTCCCTTAATGCAGGGTTTCTGCTTGTCAAAACTTTACAAGTGGGGAGATGTTGAGTTACTTGCCAGGGATCTTACAGTGATGTTGATCCTGCGTACTTACCGTGTGTACCCCATTGTTGGAGTACTTCTTGTTGAACTTTATTGAGTGGCTGAAGGGTGCTTGATCGAGACCAGTCCTATTTTGGTGTGTTCGTTTGCTAAGCTTTATTTACCATCATTTCTTGATCTGAGATTTGGGTGGTATGACAGTTTGTGTAGGCCTCTCTAATTTGGATTAGGTTCAAGAGTAATACGAAGTAGGCCTGCCAGGTATGTTATTTGCCCTTTATAGCTAAGTGAATTGAGGCCAGAGTGAATTCAGTCCCAGAATGGCTGGGACTGAATCAGTTTTCCTTTTTCTACCACGTTCAACACCTCAGGTGAACACTGTCCCAAAGAAGAGGAAGCAAAGGGACTTCTGAAAGAGCTGGGTGTGGTGATGTGTGCTTGTAGTTCGTTCAGAACTTGGGAGGTTGGAGGCAGAAGGATCAGAAATTTAAGGTCCTTCACAGCCAACCTGGGATACACAAAGCCCTATTCAAAAAAGGAACTAGATGATCTGCAAACCACAGAATATTGTGCACAGGAGGCAGCCAGTGAATTGCACCTTGTCACTCAGCAGTAAGATGTGGGAGGAAGGTTCAGGAAGACATAATGTGAGACTGAATAGTGTAGTGCTTTTAGGAAGGGAATTTGAGTGTTGGGGAAATACATTACCAAGTTTTAGGTTGTGGAGGGTGTAGTTTCTTATTCATTAGTTTTATTGAGTATTTACTGTGTTTTGAGGTTGGGTTCCAGTTGTGGGGAGTTCATACCGGCTGAGATCAGTACACTGTTTGATTGTGGTTGCCTTGAGGTGGTTAGAAACATCTATCCAGCCAGTGGACCATACATCTTAACTGCAGACAAAACACCTCCAGGATTAAATTGGTTTGAGGGGTGAAGTGATGGGGAGATGATAGGTAGATAATCTTAGACTCTGACTTCACATTTTATCCTATTTATATTCCAGTTTCCTAAGTTCCACTTAAGGCTGTTTGGAAATGATGTTTCGAAGTTCAGCTAAGGAAATTCAAGGAAAGCATTCTGGGTCAGTTAGCTCATTAAATGAAAGTCATTTTGTATGCATAGAATCAGTCATCTAAAGATATTTTGTGAGGCATTTCTTACTTAAGTTGCTTGTGTTTTTGTTGCCACTTGTACTTTAATCAGGATGGTCAGAACTGGCTGCTGTTCAGATATTCCTGAACACAAACAGCATATTTTTGTGAGACGTGACAATTAGATTATTTGTCAGCATATTCTGGGAACTTTCCTAGTAGTTGCTCATTTGATGGTGGTGTTCATATGTGGTTCATCATTTTCCAGGAATAGTAAGCAGAGCCTTGAGAACCCATGTATACATGCCATATAGTAACTTATCTGACTTGTATAGAAAACTTTCTTTTTTCTATGAATGCTCACTTTACTGAATACAGATACTTAACTCAGGTCCACTCTAATTGATTTTTTGTTTTTGTTTTTGTTTTGTTTTTGGAGACTGGGTCTCACTTTTATCCCTGGTTAGCCTGGAACTTGTTGGGTAAGTCAGGCTGGCTTAGAACTCACAGAGATCCACCTGCCTGTGTTACTTGAATTCTGGGATTTATGAAAGGGGTGTGCTACTACACCCAGCCTCTCAAAGAGATTTCCATTTTGTACACCTTTGCAGCTGTTATAATCTGTGTTGTCTTCAGACTTAAATGAACTGTTTTAAGTTTCCATGTGGTCTTCCCACTTTGACTGTTTTCCTCCTTTAGTTTAATGACCCACAGCCTCTTTTCAGTTTCTTATGTACTCTTTAAAACAAATCTGATCTTTGCCAGATACAGTGGCTCCCACACTTGGGAGGCAGAAGCAGGAGAATCAACAGTTCAAGGCTATCCTCAGTTGTATGGCAGGTTCAAGGCCAGCCAGGGCTACATGAAGCATTTGTCAAAAAGAACATAAAAATCGGGGCCAGGGTAATGGCTCTGTGGTTACAGGCTTGCCACCAAGTCTGGCTAACCTGAATTTGTTCTCTGTGCAGTGGATGGTGAGAACTGACTTCCATTAGTTGTCACATCAGTCCCACTTCAAGTGCTCAATAAAAATATGACAGTCCCTCTCCAAATAAATGATTACATGTAATAAAATCTTAAACACAAAATCGGATCTTGCCTCTCCTTTCAGAAAATTTGACATTTTTATTTCATGTGTATGGATGTTGTGCTTACCTGTATGTTTTGGGTGCCATGTGCATGCCTGATGTGGGAGGAAGTCAAAGGGGGATCTGATCCTCGGAACAGAACTTAAAAAATGGTTGTAAGCCACTCTGCAGGGGTTAGGAATTGAACCTAGGTCCTCTGGGAGAGCAACCTGTACTCTTAATCACTGATCCATTTCTCTAGCCCTGCCTTTTCTGTTTTTAACACCCTCCCCCTCCAACTCCTGTGGTATATTCCAAATAACCTTGAAGTCTCATAAGAGATTGAGTCCTAGTTTACGCTGAAACTTGTTTCTGACCTCTCATTCACTGTACCCCTATCAAACTTACTTCTTGTGTTTCCAATATGCTTCTACCCCTGTCTTTGTCCCTGCAGAGCCATTTCTCTACATGGCTGATGAGCTTTTCTTCAGTTCAGTTTTCATTTCAGAGGGTTTTCCTGAATGGAAATCCTGCAAAGCAGGAGTTTTTCTTGTTTTATTTAGTGTTCGGTCTCTCAACCTAGAATCATGTCCAGGCTTGAATGCCTGAGTTAATTTGTTGATCATCCCTTAAGCTGCTTGGGGTCTGCGGGTATAACTCCATGGTTGAGCATGTATTGAGTATGCTCTCAACATAGAAGAAATACTTAGCACTCAAACAGTTTGCTTGGGTATACCTTTAGTCTCTTGTCACATGTGCTGATTTTTGTCAGCTTTACACAAATTGACTTTAGACATATCTAGGAAGAGGGAATCTCAATTGAGTAATTGCCTTCATCATATTGACCTGTAGGCAAGTCTGTTGTCTGTGTGTGTGTAAATATATATTTTAATTAATTAATTTATTTTTGATTAATGGTTGATTGGGAGGGGCCAGATCACTGTGGGTAGTGCCATCTCTGGGCAAGTAGTTTTGGGTTGTATAAGAAAACAGGCTGAGCAAGCAAGCTATGGGGAGCAAGCCAGTAAGTAGTGTTTTTGCAGGTCTTCTGCCTCAGTTCCTCTTTCCAGATGCCTGCTTTGGCTTCCCTCAATAAATTGTGATGGGGGGAAGCCAAATAAACACTTTGCTTCCCAAGTTGCTTTTGGTCATGTTGTTTTTTATTACAGCAATAGAAAGCAAACTAAGACACCATGTAAACTAGTGGGTTCAACTGCATTACTCTGAAAAAACATCAGTTTTCTAGGAGTGAGTGCCCTAACCAACACCTAGTACTTGTTTTTTGACATAGTGTCTTCTTTTGTGGCTCATGCCTTGAATTCATGATTCTTTTGCCAGACAGGTATACCAACCACACCAGGCTTCTTTAAACTACTTAGTTGCTATTCTATTGCTATGAAGAGAAACCATGACCAAGGAATTTAATTGGGACTTGCTTGCTGTTTCGGAGGCTTAGTTTCTTACCATCAAGGCAAGGAGCATGGTGTTGTGTAGGCAGGTGCTGAAGCAGCAGCTGAGAACACTACATCCTGACCTGCAGACAGAGTTAGAGCCTGTGCCTGGTGCAGGCTTTTGAAACCTCAAAGCCCACCATCAGTGGCACACTTCCTCCTATAAGGCCCCATTTCCTAATCCTATAATCCTTTCAAACATTTCTCTTCCCTGGTGACTAAGCATTCATATATGAGCCTATGGGGCCATCCTTACTCAAACCACAACTACTTTTTTTTTCTAGCACATTTAAGTCTTGGCAGGTGGTGATGGTGCATGCCTTGAATCCCAACACTCAGGAGGCCTAGGCAGGCAGATCTCTGTGATTTCCAGGACAGCCAGGACTGTTTCACAGAGAAACCCTGTCTTGCAAAACCACACACACACACACACACACACACACACACACACACACACACACACACAAAGTAATTATTGAGCTAGAGATGTAGAGTGCTTGTCTTGGCTCATTTCCCAGCACAAAATTTTTTTAAGATTATAAATAATAACATTTCTCCCCTTTCCTCCTAAAGCCTCCCATCACCTATTTTCTTATTGTTATTGTGTGCATGTATGATTGTGTATAGGTATACACACACATTCCTAAATATAACCTGTTCAGGTGTATAATGTTACTTATATGTATGTTTTCTGGGCTGACTGTTTGGCACTGGATAATCAACTGGTGTGTTCTTCCCTGGAAAAGACCATCTCTCCCAGCTTTCCTGAGTTGCCTATAGTTCGTTATGTAGGTTTGAGGCCTTGTAGGCTTTTACATGTTCACTTGGGCATAACCATTGATGTTATCCTTGTTCAGCTCACATTTGGGCAGTCTGTTCATGAAACTTTGTGGGTGTAACTTCTGATAATTACTAGGAGACACAATCTCACAACAAATGTACTGATCCTCTAGCTTTTTTTTTTTTTCCCCCCCTCAAGACAGGGTTTCTCTGTGTAACAGTCCTGGCTGTCCTGGAACTCACTTTGTAAACCAGGCTTGAGATCTGCTTGCCTGCCTCCCAACTGCTGGGATTAAAGGCATGTGCCACTCATGCCCGGCCAATCCTCTGACTCTTAATTCTTTCTGTTCCCTTCTTCCAAAATGTTCCCTGAGCCTTAGGGTCAGGAGTATTTTATTGATGTATCCATTGGGACTGGGCTCCACAACTCTGCATTTTTATTGGTTGTGATTCTCTGCCTGTTACAAAGAGAAGCTTCCTTGATGAGGGGTGAAGACTACACTTATCTGTGGGAATAAGGACAAATGTTCATAGATTCTTAGGATTCTATTGGTTTAGTAAATTAGTGATTGTTGATTCTGCTCTAATGACCATGCCTTCACTAGCACTGAGTAGTTAGCTAGGTTCTAGTACCTGGCATAGTTTACCTTTTATTGAATGAGTCTTAAATCCAATTACAGAGCTGTTGGTTAATGCCAAGGTATTCATGTCACTTCTGCACCCTTAAGATTATCTTGCCATGTTGATTGCTGATATGATTCATAGATGTCATCGTAGTGGGAAGAATTTTTTTTATTCTTATGTCTATAGTGTTTTGCCTGCATGTACATAGGTGTGTCGCGTGCATGTCTGGCGCCCGAGAAACTTGGAAGAGGGCATAGTATGCCAAGACATTGGAGTTACAGATATCTATGAGCCATCATATAGAATTGAATATGGATTCTCTGTAAGACTAGCCAAGGTGGGACTGGAGAGATAGCTCAGCAGTTAAGAGCACTGGCTGCTCTCCCAGAGGACCTGGTTTCAATCCCCAGTATCCACATGGCAGCTAATAATTGTCTCTAACTCAAAATGTTACACAGAGAAACTGTCTTGTAAAATTATTTAAAAAAAAAGTGTTTCAAAAGATGTGTTTAAATGCTAATAGACTATGATCTTCATAATATACATACATGTATGTATGTATGTGACTGTTTTTTCTACTCTTCTAGATACTCAAAAATGCCTGAAGTGAAGAACTAATGCCCACCCAGCCTCAGGTATAAATCAGTATCTCCAGGAAAATAAACTTGGAAAAGCACTTACAAGATGACAACAGTAATATTTTTCTCTAATTCTACAATTGATTTGTCTTACAAATATTGAAAGCAAACATTTCTTTTTAAAAAATGTATTCCTTTTGCTCTTAACCACTGAGCCATCTCACCAGCCTCCAAACAACATTTCTTTTAAAATGCTGGCTAAATACCAATGCAATTAAAAGTAAATAAATAAATAAATAAATAAATAAATTTAAACAAACAAAAAACTAGCCAATGCTCTTAGCTGTGGAGTCATTGCTCCAGATCCCACAGAATGAAATTGTGTGTGTGTGTGTGTGTTTTGTTAAATAGTTATTATAGACTTTTATTATTTTAGTGGTGTTTGGTCAGGCAAATACTTGGAACAATTGAATAACAAAGTGAAGGCATTCTTAGACTGGCCATTCACTGGTTAGTACAATAATTGCTAGCCACATACACCCACTTGAACTTAAAATTAAATGCTATTAAACACTTAGTACCTGGCCACATTAGTGACATTCCAAGTGCTCACCAGCTGTGTGGCTAGTGGCTTTCCCTAGATAGGCAGATCAGTAAAATATTGTGCCACATATAAGATTCTGTTGAAAAGTACTGTTCTAAAAAAAGTGTTTTGTTAGCATAGGTTGGTACAGCTGGGAGCAAAAAAACTCTGCAGGTTTGAAGTATATCTCCATTCAGCAAAGGTCCCAGGCCATTGATAATTAATTCATCTAGTATGTTGGTGTCTGGGGTATTATCTCTTCCATACACTCTTTATCTCTTCTGTGACTCTATCTTCAAAAGAAAGAAAAGGAAGGGTGGGGCATGGTGGCATATGTCTTTAGTTCTAGCACCCTGGAGGCAGAGCCAGCCTGGTCTGTGTATCAGAGTGCTATGTTATGGTGAAAGCCGCCTATCTCAAGATAAATGAACGAATGAATGAATAAATAAGTAAATAAATAGTGTTTATTTTATTTTAAGGAAGAACATATAGCTTGTTTACTTATTCATCTTAAAGAATTTCTTTATTAAATGAAATCTTAAGGTAGTTTTATCAGGTGTATTTTTGGGGTTTGGGATAAGAGCATTCATAGGGTTAAACCCAAGGTCACATTTTGGCCCTATGTAAACAGAATATGATGTTTTGAAAAATCCCATCCTTGTTGAAATATCTTGACAAGAAGTATTTTTGTAGGCTATGTGTGTTTTTTTTTTTTTTTTTTTTTTTTTTCTTTTTGAGACAGGGTTTCTATGTGGCCCTGGCTGTCCTGGAATTCACTCAACAGGATGGTTTCAAACTTAGAGATCCACCTGCCTCTGCCTTTGGAGTGCTGGGATTAATGGCATGTACCACCACCGCCACCCAGCTTAAAAATTTGGTTTTATTACTTGTGTGGAATGTAAACTAGATTCTAGTGTGAAGGGCCTCTAAATTTTTTCTTTCTATCCTTCCTCAGGACTTACCTGTTCTATGACATGGAATCTGTGTGTTTCCCATTCTGGTGCTAAATTCTCTGTGCTCAGTATTTCCCCCTTGGAGGTCAATAGTTGTACTTTCTTGGCTATTTAGTCTTGAGCTCTTCAGAGTTAGTGGCCTGATCCTAACCCAAGGTGCTTAGTGTAATTTTAAGTTCAACTCTTCTATTTTTTTCAAAATCAGGTTCATTCTAAGTATTGTTTTCATTGATAGGTGGTGGTGGGACACAAGTAATCCCAGCACTCAGGTTAATCTCTGAGTTCAAGACCAGCCTGATCTACAGACAGAGTTCTAAGGACAGCCAGGCCTATCCCAAGAAACCTTGTCTCAAAAAACAACAAAACAAAACAAAAATATTGTTTTCTTTTAGCCAGCATTTTAAAAGAAATGTTGTTTGGAGGCTGGTGAGATGGCTCAGTGGTTAAGAGCAAAAGGAATACATTTTTTAAAAAGAAATGTTTGCTTTCAATATTTGTAAGACAAATCAATTGTAGAATTAGAGAAAAATATTACTGTTGTCATCTTGTAAGTGCTTTTCCAAGTTTATTTTCCTGGAGATACTGATTTATACCTGAGGCTGGGTGGGCATTAGTTCTTCACTTCAGGCATTTTTGAGTATCTAGAAGAGTAGAAAAAACAGTCACATACATACATACATGTATGTATATTATGAAGATCATAGTCTATTAGCATTTAAACACATCTTTTGAAACACTTTTTTTTTAAATAATTTTACAAGACAGTTTCTCTGTGTAACATTTTGACTGTTCTGTAACTCAGGCTGTCCTTGAACTCACAGAGATCTGCCTGCCTCTGCCTCCCGAGTGCTGGGATTAAATTGTATGCCTCCACCACCAGGCTAAAGCACTTTTAAATTATGAGAGAAGGACATGTTTGTTATAAAGTACAATCAGGAAGTGCAAAGAAAAATCCTTTTCAGCAAGACTTGCTATTTGGTAGTATTTAATTTGCTTTTTACTCTGCACATATGTGAATATATTGAATTGGAATTATAAAGCATATAGTTTTATATTCTGCTTATTTAATTTTTTTATAGTTGTGTGTGTATGTATGTATGTATGTATGTATGTATGTATGTATGTATGTGTGCATGTGAATGTCCCAAGTCCATGCCATATGAGAGAGTGGAGGTCAGAGGACAACCTAAGGGAGATGGTTCTTTTCCTTCTACCATGTGGGTCCTGGGGATTAAACTCAAATTGTCAGGCTCTGCTGAGCCATCTCACTGGGCCTCTTCTTTTCAAATGCATTTTTCATTGTTATTTGTGTGTGTGTGTGCGCGCACGTGCATGTATGTAGCTAGGTAGGCACATACATGTTATAATGTGTGTTATGGAGGTCAGAAGACACAGTAGTAGGTTCTCTCCTTCTGTCATGTTGGTCATAGCAATTGAGCTCAAGTTCTTAGACTTGCCAGTAAGTGCCTTTATAGACTGATCCATCTTGCCAGCCTACAAAGTCCTATTTGATTCTCTCAGATTATACAGAGATAGTAGACCATATGGCTAGAGTATGGTGAATAAGATTTGCCTTGCAGCTGCCATGTAAACATTCTTTGTTTGCTTTGCAGAGGAGGTGGCCAAGTTGGAGAAGCATTTGATGCTTCTTCGACAAGAGTATGTCAAGTTGCAGAAGAAACTGGCAGAGACGGAAAAAAGATGCACGCTTTTGGCTGCACAGGCAAACAAGGAGAGTAGCAGTGAGTCCTTCATCAGCCGCTTGCTGGCAATAGTGGCAGGTCTCTATGAGCAGGAGCAGTACAGGTGAGCTTCCAGAACCAGAACTGGACCTTTTATGTCATCCTTAGCCACTTGAGACATGTTACAGGATCTTCTCATTCTCTCTTATTTTGCATTCTTTGGGATTGAAACAGGGACTTTCATATGCTAGATAAGTGCTGCATTGCTGAACTGTATCTTCAGCTCTTGTTTCTGTCACCGTGTTCTGAGACAGGGTCTTGCTAGGCTGGCCAGGCTGTCATTGAACTTGTGTTTCTCCTGTTTGAGTCTCTTGTAGGCTGGATTAGACTTACTTGTACTACTAGGCCTGGCTTCTCATTCATTTTCTTGCCAAATTTATTTTTCTGTAATCAAAATTATTAGCATTGATCCACATATGGTAGCTCACATTTTTAATCTCAGTACTAAGGAGACTGAGAAGAAGATTATCATGAGTTTGAGGGCAGCCTCAGCTACATAGTGAGGTCCAGTTCCGTGTGGACTATGTTAGACTGAGTCCTCATCTCATAAAACAAAAGTAAGAGTTGGGCTGATGCCAGTAAGGTACGTGAAGACTTGAGTTTGATCCCAAGAACCCAAGTGAAAAAATTTGGGCCTCATGGCAGGCACTTAAAATCCCAGTCTTTGGAGGACAGAGAGAGTAGTCTCTGGGGCTCACTGTCAAGCAAGCCTAGCCTAAGTGCACACCTGTTTGCATGCTCGCCTGTGCCCTCATACACACAAACCAATACCACACCAATGAAAAAGATGAGCAGTGTACCTTTGTGACTCAAAATGTCAGTCTTCCTTAAAGCCCTCTATGCTACTTGCTAGCCCTTTGGCTTCACATATGGCATTAGGTTCCTGGTCTGTAACAACAGATGGTCAGAACTACTCAGTTTAGGGCTAGAGTAAAGAATACATAGATGTTAAAACTCTTAGAATAGTGGGCACATACAAAAGATTGATTATTAGCATAGTATTTATTTATTTTGTTTGTTTGGTTTTTGAAATATGGTTTCACTGTGTAGACCTGGCTGACTTGGAACCTGCTGTGTAGACTAGGCTGGCCTTGAACTCAGACCTCCTTCTCTTTAGTGAATGTTGGAATTAAAGGCATGTGCTACTATACCCAGCTATTCATTTATTTTTGTGACAAGGTATCTGGTAGTCCAGGGTAGTGAAGAACTTGGTTGTGGTCAAGGATAACTTTGAATTTTTGATCCTTTTCCCATTGCTTCTCCAATGCTGCAGTTTTGCTACGTGTCACATGTTGTCACTATGTTTGTTGCCAACATGGCCACCCATGTGGCCCAATCCTGTCAGCACAGTGGGTTATCATGATGTTTCAGTTAATTGCCTAGAAGCCTTTCTTCCTTAGCATTTGACATTTCATAGTAAATGTACATATCTTTTTTGGGGAATTTTTAAAAATATAATAGTATGTAGGAAATATCCCTCCCTCCCTTTCATGTTTGCTCTTTTGAGACAGTGTCTTGTTATAGTCCAGATTTGTTTCAAACTTGTGATCCCAGTATGCTGAGGTTATATGAAAGTACCACCCAGCCCCAACCTCTTTTCTTGATAATTGAATATTAAGTGGCTAATGTTAGGTATCATTAATGTTTCTGATGGAGACATGAGTGCAGGTATTAGGTTTTGTGTTCTTGACTGCTTTGTGGCTACTAGTTTGTTCATAGTCTATTTTACATTGCTGGGCGTTATTATGGAACAAAGCAATAGCACAGCCTCAGAGCTTTGAGCTGTCCACATCTCTCACGCTGGTGGTTTATTTTGATACATCCTGCATAAGGCATCTTATATTGTATGTGTGACTATTAATCATCCTGCTTAGTTTGTAGGTTTGTCACAAGAGTTCTGTCAGATGTTTTTGAGAGTAGGTCATCCCATGGAATTGAGGTAGAAATTAAAATATTCCCAGCAACATGTAAACATGGTTCAGTGTGTGGAAATGCCATTGTGAATCATTTTTTCTTTAGCAGATTCAGGTTGATAATCATTATCTATATATTTGTCAAGTGGGACTCCTAGCTTATCTAGTTATGATGACATTTTTCTTTCTGTATCTTTGAATATTTTCCTCATCAGTGACTTGAAGATCAAGGTTGGGGATAGGTACATCAGTGCTCACAAGTTTGTCCTGGCTGCCCGAAGTGATAGCTGGAGTCTGGCCAACTTGTCTTCCACGGAGGAGCTAGACTTGTCAGGTGAGTCTGACTCACCAAAACACAGAACTAATGCACAAGACCTCTTGGCAGAAAGTTATATATGTCTCTGTCTCAGAGCTTATGCTCTGGGAGAAGTATTGAACTGTTACCTGAACTCATTTAAACCTTGCAAGATGCCACTACAGTTACCAAATAAATCATTTCAGGCCAGGGCCATGAATATAACAAAGTAGCTGCTCTATGTGCATGCTGCAGAAGAGATTTGAATTGGGCTATAAGGAGGGTGCTGGGTGGCTAACACATGAGCAGTGTTGTACAAGAATAGGTGTTGATCCCCTGGATTTAGGAGAACATTTCTTTTGTGTTTCTCTGTTGTGGGTGAACTGTCTTTATGACAATTTCTAAGGTTTAACTTGAAGCCCTCAGTTCATAAAAGCAGATGCATGTGCATGTTCCATTCACACCAAGAATGAACATGCCTGCATGGAAGGTCTTTATCACACAGGCTGCAGCTCATCTGTGTGCACTCAGAGCTGCAGCTTTTCTCTTCAAAAATGTCATTTTTTGAAGCCACATATCTCTGACTACCTGTAGAATAAAATTAGTTTGATCCTATGGTTTCCTCATACAGTTTCTGGAGTCTGATGCTGCCCGGACGGACTGTCAGTATTTTTAATGGCTGTATTGTTAGGAGGTATCTACCAGAGAAGATCACTTGGACATGGGTTTAAGCGGAGTCTTTATTAGCTGGCCTGCAGCTACACTGGGTGTTTGGGACCCAAGTGCAGTTCCAAGCCTTTATCAAGATGGGGTTTTAAATCCAAAAAGCCATATCCTGGGATGACACACCTCAGTTAGTAAGGACAGTTAGTCAGAAGTGGAATTGCACAAGCCAAAAAGCAAGGTTAATAAATGTAGGTCTTAACAGAACATAGGTCTTTATTCTCTTTTTGGCAGGTGTTGGTTGCCTATGTGCTAGGTTCCAAGGCCTGAATGATAATTGCATCATGGTGTCAGTTATGCCAAGGTCTGGGGGCCTACTAAGGTGTGGGGGCCTGTTACAGTGTATCTCCTTGAGTTAGGTATACAGCTTTTCTAACCACAGGTTTCGGGGTTACTTCCTTCGTGTCATCTACTTTCTTTTTCTAACTAGATGCGAATCCTGAGGTGACAATGACCATGCTTCGCTGGATCTATACTGATGAGTTAGAGTTCAGAGAGGATGATGTGTTCCTGACTGAGTTGATGAAACTGGCCAATCGCTTTCAGCTCCAGCTCCTTAGGGAGAGGTAGGTCACAACAGATGTGCTCAAGGCTCTGCAAAGTGGTGGCGAAGCAAAATTGTGGCAAGTATTTCTGACATGTGGAAAGCTGCTAGGGGCTCTGTAAAGGTGGTGTGGGAGAGACTGATCTCTCTCTTGCTTTGTGTTACGGGAAGCTAAATTTTGTGGTGCCAGTTTGTTGTTCTTCTACTAGATTATTCTTATGTGAGATTTTGTAATTGTGTAAACTGACAACTGAATATTGGAATAACAGAATCAGTGTCAGATTCTTGACTTAGCCTTTCATCCTGTTTTCATCTGCGTTTTATTCTGTCTTTGGATAGATCTAGCAGATGAAGTCTTTAGTTATATACTCCTTTTTGGAAGCACTTTAGTGCTTAATATTAATCCAGAGAGTATATGGTTCCGTAAATTTTGTATTACTTCATTGAAGTTAACTGCTTTTTAGGTCCCAGGGAACTGCCACAGTATGTTTTTATAGTGCATTTCTCAGTGATGTGGGCCTGGGAACTACGCTTGGGTCCCAAACACCCAGTGTAGCTGCAGGCCAGCTAATAAAGACTCCGCTTAAACCCATGTCCAAGTGATCTTCTCTGGTAGATATCTCCTAACAATACAGCCATTAAAAATACAGTCTGTCCGGGCAGCATCTGACTCCAGAAAAATGTTAAACGTTCTGTATGAGGAAACCATAGGATCAAACTAATTTTATTCTACAGATAGTCAGAGATATGTGGCTTCAAAAGATGACATTTTTGAAGAGAAAAGCTGCAGCTCTGAGTACACACAGAATTGTTTTACTATCTAAATCTAACTTGAACATAAACAGGTCCAAGGTGTATAGGGCTAAATTGTTATCTCAACTAACTTTAATATTGAGGTACTCTAGCTAATTATTATATTTATTTAGTAAGTTTTTGAACTACCTAGGAGTAATGCCATACTTATTTTAATTAGATTATTTTTCTTTTCTTCAGCTATCCTGAGCTTTCTCATTGACCATATCAGACTTGCTTATAATTTAAATTGCTTTAATAAAAATGTTCTGGGGTTTGTATCAATTATTGATATTGATATAATGAATTTTATAATTAAAATATTTGTTGTTTATTGAGTTATTAGGCTTTTTAACAATCAACATTACCAGATGCTCAAATATGTACTGTTGGATGTGGATATGAACTTGTTCCTCACAGCTTTCTTAAGATCTGGGATGGAAGAGACCAAGACTAGAATGCTGGCTTTTAATGAGGTTACAAGAGTGCCCATTCCTGTCAGGCAGAGTAATGACACATCTAAGATAGTAAGTCAAGAAGCTTTGGCAAATGCAGGCAGTTCAATGTGAAGCCAGTGGCACTAATTTCTGTGAGAGGTCCTGATGGTTTGGAAATGTTAATTAAATTGATGAAGAAGTAGGTGCCGTCTGGGTGTTGGTGGTGCACACCTTTAATCCCAGCACTTGGGAAGCAGAGGCAGACGGATTTCTGTGAGGTCAGCCTGGTCTACAGAGCTAGTTCCAGGACAGACTCCAAAGCCATACAAAGAAACCCTGTCTTGAAAAAGTAGGTGTCTAAGGTTTTCTAAAGCTGTGAAGAGACACCATGACCACAACTATTGTAAACAAAACACTTGATTGAGGTGGAGGCTTCCAGTTCAGAGGTTCAGTCCATTATCATCATGGTGGGAAGCATGATGGCATGTAAGCAGACATGGTGCTAGTGAAGTAGCTGAAGGTCCTTTTCTTGAAGCCATCAGGAAGTAAACTGTGACACTGAGCAAAAGAGACCCCAAAGCCTGCCCCAACAGTGATGTACTTCCTTCAACAAGGCCAAACCTCCTAATAGTGCCAATCCCTATGAGGACCAATTATATTCTAACTACCACAGAAAGCATTATTTTTAATGCTATCAGAAAATTCTCTTACAAAAGAGTATGTTATAAAAATGACAGTATTTCTCCTGATTATAAATACATATTCGGTGTATGCAATTTGGAAAACAATTATATAAAGAAAATGCTAGTCATCTACAACCCAACCATTATTCATCTATGTTTTTCTCTCTGTAGTTCTCACTTCTCACATGAGTTGATATAAAAACCAGAAAACTATCTGGGTGTGGTGGCACATGTTTTTAATTCCAGTATTGGGAGGCAAAAACAGGCAGATAACTACTGAATTCAAGGATGGCCTTGTTCATTTACAGAGCTAGTTTCAGGACCACTAGGGCTACACAGAAAAACTCTATCTCAAAAACTAAAGTGGGGAGACAGACAGGACTTTGTGGAGTGCCTGCTTTTACTTTGAAGATCAGATTTATGGGCTAGAAGTATGGATCAGATTTAGCTCTTGGAGAGAACCCAGGTTTGATTCCCAGGGGCTCACAATTATCTTTAACTCTATTTTCTGGGGGTTCTGATGCCCTTTTCTGGTCTCTTTGGGCTCCTACATGCATATGGACTCACATAGACACATATGCACATAAAAATAATGAATAAATCTTTGCTAGGCATGGTGGCACATGCTTTTAATCCCAGCAAATTGGAAGTAGAGAAAGATGGATCTTTATCAGTTTGAGTACAGTCTGGTCTACAAAGTGAGTGCCAGGACAACCAGGATTATATGGTGAGATTCTGTTTGAAAAATGTTTAAAAACAAATTAGATCATTTTGTGTCTTTGTATTCTTTATGGACATGAAATTATAAAAATATACTAATAACAAATATTTTTCATCCAGAGGAAAACTAGCGTGCCTTGATGTTTTTCAAAGATGAAGTTTGAACTGACAACTTAAATTTTAAAATAAAAGTATGTGCTCTTTTGTTGTATAAGTCAAATCAGTTTTTAGTTATAGGCAATCCACATTGCCTAGAGAGTTATAGGCTCTCTAGGGATTCAAATGAGTGAATATGAAGTTTGTGATTTTTAAGAAAACATCTGTTGTTATGAAATACGTCCAAGTCCCTTGGTGTCAAGAAGGAAGAGAATATAATTTTCAGAGTCCAGGTTTGTCTGTACAAGTGTGTAAAGTGCTCTGCAGATGTGAGCTGGGACTTCCTGCGCTCTTTCTGTACAGTAGGCCACCTGCTGCTAGGACAGTGTTATAGCAAGACCATCCATCATATCTGGCACTGCAAGCTCCATCCCTCTGAAAGGAGGATTTTTTTTCTCCTGCAACACTTACTCCATAGTTGTGGTCAGGTTAGAAGGACTTTGTCACCCATTGTTGTGATGTGATGTGTACTTGTAAATTCCAGTGGTACAGAGAACTGAGGTTTAGGAATATACTGTTTTACTTGTAAGATAGTGTTATACATTATAGCCCAGGGTCCCTGGATTCAGTTTGTAGCTCAGGTTTGCTTTGAACTCTTGACAATCTTTCTTGCCTCAATCTGGGGCCTTGAACTCACAGAGATCTGCCTGCCTATGCCTCCTAAGTGCTGGAATTAAAGGTGTGGCCACTACCACCCAAAATTTTTGTTCCTATTGTAACATGTCTACATACTGATTTTAACTTCTTTTAAAAATGCTGTGAGAGGGTTGGTTAGATTGTTCAGGAGGCCAAAGCCCTTACTAAACAAATGTGATTACCTGAGTTTGATCCCCGAAACTCACTTTTGCCAGGGAGGATGGAGACAAGGTCTCACCACGTAGCCTTGGCTTGGCTGCCTCTGCCTCTCAGGTGCTATTACAACCAGACCTAAATTAATTTTTAAAGGGCCCTGGGAGAAGTGTTTCTTTGCACCAAATCAGCAATGTTAATTAAAGATGGAGCAGCTAAGGACAGATACAAAATAGTTGCTTATTTCCTATTGATGGAAAATGGCTGTGTTCTTGATTCTGACCTAGTCTAACTTGGAAGGTTTGAAATTTTGCTCTTTGTTAAAGTTTCCAATATTTCTTTTCCATTTTCCTTCAGGAAAGATATTGGGCCTCAGAAGGGAGTGGTGAGGAGAGAGGAAATGTAAACTAAGGAGCGAACCTTCAAGTGTCTCGTGCTCTTCGAGTACATCCTCCATCTGGAGACCCTTAGAATCCCAACACCTATGAGATCAAGTACCATCCTTATGTCATAGAAGGGGAGACAGGACTACAAAGGCTTCATTTTTCTCTCACTACTAAGTTCTGCTATGTGATTAGAACAGTTTTTGTTGAGGCTAATGGGAAAGGAGAAGCAGTGGTAGATGAGGGTTTATGAGTATTTTACCACTGGAGCTCTGTGCCTACCCTTGGAGGTGAATCTGATTGAAGGAACATGTCTTAGCCTCCTTTCTCAGGAGGCCTCATTCTGTGGGAGACACAATAAGGCTCCCAGGAATTCTGTCATAGAGTAAATTCTGTATCTTGTATGCTAGGATGTGGAGACAACTTTGTGCCACAGTAGATACTCTTGTTAGTTTTTTTTTTTTTATCAAGTGTTGTTGCCTGGCTTTGTGGAGATGCCCATTGTGCCCAATTTCCTTTTGGTACACTATGGTCTGATTTGTGTGTGGTACTCAGGGTGGAAACCATAGCCTCTTGTACACTAAATCTGACTCATAATAATTCTTATAGCTATTTTGGGTGGTTCTCCTTTAAAGTGTAGTTTATTGAATTATATTTATTTGTGAATCTTTTATTTATGTGTATATGTATGTGTGAATGGGGTAGGTATCTGGGGAGACTAGAAGAGAGCACCAGATCCCCTGGAACTGGAGTCACCGGCAATTGTGAACATGTGCTGGGAACCAGACTTAAGTCCTTTGGAAGAACGACTGTTCTTAGCTACTGAGCTATCTGTTCAATTCATATATACCTGCTTTTCTACCACCCACACCCCATAGGGATTGAACCCAAGGCCTCCCAAATACAAATACATCCTAGACAAATATTCTACTATTTATTCTACTATTATAGTTTATTCACTTATTGTAATCATTACCATTATTATTATTACATATGTATAAATGTTTTTAGTGCATATATGTCTGTGCACCACATAAATGCAGTACTCATGAAAGTCAGAAGAGGTCTTTGAATCACTTAGATCTGAAGTTAGGTGATTGTGAACTTGCATGTGGGTGCTGGGAACTGCATCTGGGTCTTCTGGAAGAACAGCCAGTGTTCTTAACCTCTGAGCCATCTCTCTAGCCCTATGAATTACAGTTTATACAAAACAAATATTTGTCTTTTGGGAGGACTTTTAAAAGGGGTATTTATTAAGCATAAGCCTGATATTTGAAACTTTGAGAGTAATAACGTTAGCATAATAGAGAGTTGTCAGGAATCTGCAGGCATCTTCCATACAGTTCAGTGCCAATCTGAAGCCATCTGTTTAATGTTTGATTGCAAAATGGCCTGTGCATGTAATCAAGAAGTTTCAGGTGATTACTTTTGAGGCCGTTGAGGTATTAAGCTTCATTTTTTTTTTTCCAGGTTATTTTGATTCTGCTCAGAACATTGTAGTGTAATATACTGTTTAGTACAATACTGCAAAGCACAGTGTAATCCCAGGCTGAGGCAAGAGGTGCCTGACTTCAAAGCTAGCCTGGGCTATATAATGAGACATCCTGTCTCAAATTAAAAATATGTGTGATCAATTTTAGGAAAAATTATAATAAAAATTAATTTCAGTAAGTAAAAATTCATACATTTGATGTTCAGTCTTACACCTTAGTTTTAGTAGTCATGGTTAGTGCCTCAGTCACTAACTTTGTTTTATTTATGAATATATTTGTCTTACTAATACTGTTCATCATTAATGGAAACTCTCTTACAGATGTGAGAAGGGTGTTATGTCTTTGGTGAATGTTAGGAACTGTATTCGCTTCTACCAAACTGCAGAGGAATTAAATGCCAGCACACTGATGAACTATTGTGCAGAAATTATTGCAAGTCATTGGGTGAGTAACAGATGGAGAGGTGTGGGCAGAGCTCTCACATTGGCAGCCAGAGATCCCAGTGTGAGCTCTACTTCTGCAGTTACCTCTCTGACACATGGTCTTTGCTGTTTGTGGTCTTGAAAAATAAGCAGTTGGTTTAGATGATCTGTGAGGCCTCTTTCTGTTCTGGAAATGTTCTGAGGGTTTAGAGTGGACCAGGCAGAGGTAGCTGAGGTCCAGGAACAGATGTCCAGAGGAATATTTTAGTGTCACCCTTGAAAAACTGGGACCCAGCATGCAGCTGCCCACGGAAGAGCTTCCTCCACTGGAAGAGGCATTCTTAAACTTCAGCTCCTTTTCTTGGGCTTTTATTAGAAATAACAGGCTTTACATTTCTTTGTTACAGCTTGATTTTGTATATTTTATGTGTATGCAGACGCACATGTGCTTGTGGAAGCCAGAGGACAACCTCTGGTGGAGTTATTCAGGTACCATCCACCATATTTTCAGACAGGGTCTCTCACTGGCCTAGAACTCCCGATTAGGTGAGTCCAGCCAGTCAGTGAGCCCTAGGGATGCTCCTGTCTCCTCCCAAGCTCCCCCCCCAACTAAATAAATAAATAATAAATAAAACAACAATCAAATGTTGTTGGATGAATTAGCTTCTGTGATTGCTTTATATACAACGTTATGGGAGGAGTCTTGGAATTCTAAAGAAAGATTTCTAACAGAATTGTGTGTGCGTGTTTAGTGTATGGACCTATAACCCCAACTGCTGAGAAGGCTAAGGGGCAGGAGGATGCTGAGTTCATGGTCTGAGCTGCAAAGCAAGTTCAAGAAAAGCCTGAGGAACTTAGCTGAGAAAGACCCTTTCTCAAAAAAAAAAAAAAAAAAAAAAAAAAATTAAAGGGCTGAGAATACAGCCCAGTGATACAATGCTTAACTAGCATGGATGAAACCCTAGATTTGATCCCCAATACCACTAGAAAAGTGGACTTATTGTTGAGATAAGATCTCATTCTGTAGCCCAGACTGATCTGGAACCCACTGTGTAATTCAGACTGGTTTCAAACTTAAGGCACAACCCTGCCTCCGTGCAGTCTCTTGAATGTTGGGATTAAAGACATTTGTTGAAAATTAGCTTTAAAGAACTGACAGAGTGGTAGCCTTCCCTTGCTGATAGGGCTACATCTGTGGAGAACAGCTGTGACTCGGTAAACTGTTGCAGTTCTGATTTGTTTTGAAATTGCCACCTTTGTAGACTTAGTAGGAAAAGGACTCTAAGCTCATGGTAGGGCTCCTACATGGCTTGGTTCCTGTTGAAGGTCAGTATTGATGTTCAGCTGTCCAGTGTCTGAGGTCCAACAGAGCTGTCATGCATGCTTAAGTAGCATGCATGAAGCCCTAGATTTGATCCCCAATACCACTAGAAAGGTGGTGCCTCTTAAATACAGATCTTGACTCAGGCGTTTTCTCACTGTCAGACTTTGTGTGAGCTCTCTTGCCTCCATAGCTTCACTTCCTTCTGTAAAGCAAGCAACGATTGAAGTAGTTGGAAAATGTTAAGGTTTTAAAGTAGGGCTCGACATATGCTTAATAAATGACAGTTGTTATTATTAACACTTTTCATTGTTTTTAATCCTTAGGATGACTTGCGAAAAGAAGACTTCAGTAGTATGAGTGCTCAGTTGTTATACAAAATGATCAAATCCAAGACAGAATACCCATTACATAAAGCTATTAAAGTGGAGAGAGAAGATGTGGTCTTCCTCTATTTGATTGAAATGGATTCCCAGGTATGGTAGAAATATTTCCATTTCTTTTCTAGTCTCTCCCCAAGTTTTAAAAAATAACTTACTTTTATTTCGTTTGCATTGGTATTTTACCTGCCTATATGCCTGTGTGAGGGTGTCAGATTTGAAGTTAGAGACAGTTGTTGGGCTGCCTTATGGGTGCTGGGAATTATCTGAGTCCTCTGGCAGTGCTCTTAACCACTGAGCCATCTCTCCAGCCCCTCCCCTCCCCCAAATCTTAATGCTATTTAGATTCCTTGCTTCCATCTGCACTGTCATTGTACATTCTATGAAAGTACTTCTGACATATACAGGTTGCTTTTGAGTATTCTCTGTTCTGTTCCTCAGAATTCATTAGTCTTAGGACAGTCCAAAGCCACATTCACATTTCCAGATGGCTGTTACAGCAGTACCTGACTTCAGGCCCTAGTCTTTGTTTTCATTTCTTAACAAAACAAGTTTCTACAAATTCAGTGCCCCAAACCAACACACGTCTTGGCTGGTTGAGAGCACTTCTTGCTTTCACAGAGGACACGGGTTTGGTTCTGAACACCCACATAGCTGCTCAGAACCATCTGTTACTCCATTCCCAGGGAACCCAATACCCTCTTCTGACCTCTGGAGGCATCAGGCACATATCTCATCCACACACTACATGCAGGCAAAACACTCGGGCACATAAAGTAATACTGTTTAAATAGTAATAGCAACACATCAGTTTATTAATTGTTAGTATTTCCTGTTGGAAGTCCAAGCCAGAAGTCACAAGACTAAAATCAAGTTGTTTGTAGATATGGTGTTTTATGGAGGTGTTGGCAGAATTCTCTAGTGGTCCAAGGCCTCCATTTTCTTGTGAGCTGAAGACTGTTGTCAGCTTCTAGATGTCCCTACAGTCCTTAACTTCAAAGAAGCATTGCTTCCATCTTTAAAGCCAACAGTGACAGGTCAAGTCCTAATTTGACTCTTTAATGACCTATTCTTCTACTGTCCTGTTTCACTTTTAAGAATGAATGTTGTCTCAAAGTGGGGCCCTGACTGGTCTAGGATCTCCCTAGCTCAAGGTACTTAGCCTTATCACATCTGCAGTAGCACCTTTTGCCATATACATTGACATGCTCATATCATCTGGTAATCAGAGCATGAACATCTGTAGGATGGGGTTGGAGGGTATTATTCTGCATACTACTCTGCCTTCAAAGGAATGAAAATGGAAATATGGTTTATCATAGGTGTTTGTGATTTAAAAAAAAAAAAAAAAAGACTAATAAGCCACCTTTCTTAACTCTTTTTCCATAAAGTTCTTCATGCTGGCTTGTTTGTGGTGTCTTATGTCCTGAATTATTGTGTGTTGTCATCCCATCTATCCCCCTCCATGCTATTTGCATTTTCCCTGTGGTCCTTTAATCACCTTTCACATTGTTGCCATTTGCTAATTAATCACTATTGTTTGTATGCTACTGATAGCATGTGCTCTCCGGAGGCCTGATAGAAAGTCTGTGAATGACATTGAATTTGGGGACTAAGCAGTGCTGTAGCTTTAGAGTTGGCATTTTGTGTAAGAAGTGTGATGACATACACATTTATGGGAGAAAGGCCATTTCTGGTGTTTGAGCCTGGTCTACCTATTGAGATCCTGTCTCAAAAAAAAAGAGGTTTTCAGTTTGAAAAGGTTAAAGTAGGTTGTGTTTTTTGAGTGCTGGTTTCCCTGCTTCTCTGTGCAGCTCCCTGGGAAGCTGAATGAAGTGGATCACAATGGAGATCTTGCATTAGACCTGGCTCTTTCACGGCGACTAGAGAGTATTGCCACCACTCTGGTTAGTCATAAAGCTGATGTGGACATGGTAGACAAGAATGGCTGGAGCTTGTTACATAAAGGAATCCAAAGAGGTGAGGAGAAATGAATTTTACATTTTTCTGTAGCATGAATAATAAAAATCCAGAACAGATATTAGGGTTAATGTTGAAGATCAAAGAAGCAAAGTAGTTAGCCACTAGAGCGTTCTCACCAATGCTGACCAAAGGGGGTGATCTTGTACTCAGATTGTATCTCCAGACTGCATGTGTCTTCACCAAACCTCACACTGCCTCAGTTTTCTCCTGTCTCCTCCAGCCTTATATTCCTCTACTGCTGGTATTAAGGGGGAGTCGTCCCAAGTGCTGAGATCAAAGGTTTAAACTCTGTTTCTGTTTCTCTTTTAGACTGATTTACTCTCATGTAGTGTAGGGTAGTCTTAAACTCACAGACATCCATATGCCTCTGTTTCCTTAGTGCTGGGATTAAAGGTGTGTGGCCTTTGGATAACTAGTGTGGCTGCTGGGATTAAAGGCATGCACCACCACTGCCTGGCCTCTGTGGCTGTGGCTAGCTTTGCACTCTGACCTACAGGCAACTTTTATTAGATCATAAACAACATATCACCAAATTTTTCTTTGTACACAATATATTCTCTATATTTATAGATTTGTAGCTTCCTAGACTCAGTTCTAGGAATTCCCAAAAGACCTTGAGTTTGCATGCTCAGCCTGCATGGGTTAGAGCTTGTGATTGTTGGGTTGGAGGGTCTGAAACATTATTGACTTTGTCAGATTGTCTTTTCATAGTGCCACTAGCATTCAAGGAAGAGAGGCTTGAGCCTTTAAGAAGTACCTTTGGGCTGGGTGGTGGCGGCACACGCTTTTAATCCCAGCACTCGAGAGGCAGAGGCAGGCAGCTCTATGTGAGTTCGAGACCAGCCTGGTTCACAAGAGATAGTTCCAGAACAGGCTCCAAAGCTACACAGACAAACCCTGGCTCGAAAAACCAATAATAATAATAATAAAATTAAAAACATACACTAGAGCAAAGACAACCTCTTTAATGAAGATTGAACCTTGATCTCTACCTATCATTTTCACAAAAATCATTTCAAAATTATTTATGACCTTAAATGTAAGACTAGTAACTTGGAAACTGTAAGAGCAGCAGCTCTAAATCTGTGGGTCTTGACCCCTTTGGGATTACATACCAGCTATCTTACATATCAGATATTTACATTACAATTAACAGTAGCAAAACTACACTTATGAAATAGCAATGAAAATAGTTTTATGTTTGGGGTCACTACCATAAATTGTATTAAAGGGTCATAGTGTTAGGAAGGTTGAGAACCACTGTGCTACAAGAAAGAGGCTTGGCTAAAATACCTTAAGATATAGGCATAGGTAAGGGTTTTCTGAACAGTATTCTAGTAGCAAGGAAATACTTCCCAAAGTCAAAATGAAGAAGCTTCTGGACAACAAAGAAAACAGTCACCAGAGGGAAGAGACAGTGGGAGAATGTCTTTGCTGGTCATATGTGGGATGGGTGATATTCAGGGATGTAAAGAGCTACAAAAATTAAAGCTTTTAAAAAGCATCCAGTCAATCAATGAGCTAAACTGTCAGGTCTCATAAAAGGATATACTAATGGTGACTAAAACTTGAAAGCACACCACATACATATTAAAACTAATTTGAGAGTCTGTCTCATTCCAGTTTAGTATGGTTGTCATAAGGACAATAAATGGCAGGACAAAGAGATGGCTCAGAAGATAAAGGCACCTGCTGCCAAGGCTGCTGATCTGAGTTTGATTCCCACTACCCACATGGTGGGAGGAGAGAATTGACACTGGGAAGTTGTCATCTGACTACTACACTCAGGCCCTGGCCATGTACATGCCTACTTCTGTGCATACACATGAAATAAATAAATAAATGAAAAAGAATAAGAAATAAAGGACAAGTGGAGAGATGGGTTGGTGGTTAAGAGTCAATCATGAGGAGCAGACTTCTAATCCCAGCATACAGATAACAAGCTGGGTGTCCTGTGTGTACACCTTAACCCCTCTGCCAAGGTAGGCCAGAGATAGATCCTCCTGGCTTGCTGCCTCCAGTCTGTCAGAGAAAGTGTAAACCCCTCGGTTCAGGGAGACATGCTGCCTAAAAGAGTAGACAGAATAAGAGGGGGATACCTACAGCCTCTTCTGGCTCCATGCATGCACACAGGCAGGAGCATGCAGCTGCACATGTGTATAGCACAGCTCTTGGTTATACATGTGCAAGCCTCTAAGTTAGCACACAGAGATATTTGCATATGTTTATGGTTGTGTTATCCAAAAAATGGATGTTCTTCAACAGACTACCCTGCCGCTCCCTCAGCTATGGTTTTTGTTCCTTAGAATGTACTATTTGAATGTTGATGTTGCAGCTGCGGCTTTCTCCCCTTTCTGGGCAAAGGATTTAGGGTAAATGTCCTTCTGAGCTATGTAGAGTGTTGCTCTTGCTGGTTAGTAGAGAGGAAAGTTTTACTCATCACTGGGTAGGAAACTCTAGAGCAGGTTGCTGTGGAGAGCACATATAGCACTTAGCTTTGGGTTTGTGCTCACTGGGGAAAGTTTCTACCACATAGGGAATTCTTCTTTCCCACTCTGTTTAGTATCTGAGGTGTTTATTTTGGAAACAGATTCACTTGTTACTAAAAAAACAATTAGTTCCTTTCCTCTCTGGGAGCTGAATTCTTTTGGTGAGTTATTAAATATTTGGGTGATTGCTTAGTTACAGGAATTGCCAAGAATTTTGATGTGTGTTCTAGAGTGGTTTAATTTTTCATTCTAAATTTATGAAATGTCTGGAATTATGTGGATTGCAGTATAAATATAGCAAACTTTAAAAGGAGTGTGGTATGGGCAGAACACTGACTTTGGCTTGAGTCCTGGCTCATATGTTGCTTTGACAGTTACTTGTGCACACTTGCATAGACTTTTCTTGTCTATAAAATGGGAAGGGATCTTTCTGCTTTACTAGATTGTTAGCACAGTGAGACAGGATTGGGACGCACCCCATTGCAAGACTGCCATTTGACTGATAAACACTGTAGCCTTTACATTGCCTTGGCATTGGAGTACCATAACCAGACCCGGTAGGAATTGCTTTCTTTTCATTGAGGTCCCACTGAAACACTGGCTGGCCTAGAACACTACATGGTAGAACCTGATCTCAGACCTGCAGTGGTTCTCCTGCCTCTGCCTCCTGTGTTCTGGTTTTTAGGAATGTGCTGTCACTTCTTTTGAGGGATTGTTTAACTTTGCCTCCTTCAACTTGCTGTTACTGGGAGAGCATTACCCAGTGGCTGAGTGCTGACCTTGCTTCTAAATTCATTATGAGTGGTGGAGGTTCTTAATAGATGAATGAGGTCTAGGTCTACTTGAAGATGCACATTAGAATCTACACAGCATTAGTGGTCGTCTTACTAAGCAAATGCATCTATCAGAAGAATTCGGTGGTGTCAGGTCTGTAAGGCCATAGAAAACCCACATAGGATATTGTTAACATCTCCTGATTAGTCTGACCTCCTGATTAGTCTGACCTAAGCAAGATGATGACTCCTTTCATAACAATTCTAGTTTTCTACTAAAAAACCTGCAATAACCTGGACTCTCCTGACGAATTATTTGTAGTAAATTTTAAAACAAGGACTATTGAATATGGCTTGTGTTATCTTAATGATGAAGGTTTCTGGCTGTTTTCTGAATACAACTATCAAAACTGAAAGGAAAGTTGTGTGTCCATTTTAAAATTGTTTAATATTGGTTAGGAATGTTATGTGGAACAGTGACAACAGTAATGCCTCATTGAGCTGATGTTGGTGACTGAGGAAAGCAAGTGGCTGAAGTTTTCAGTAGGAGATACTGTTTTTCTGATGTTGAGGCTGGAACTCAGGGCTTTAAGCATGCTGAACAGTGGTTGAGTGCAAGCCACACCCTTACCCTGTCAGATTGAAAGTGTGTTGAGTGGTAAGAACTTTGTCTAGGGTCTAGCTTCCAGTTCCCTTCTTTGTTCTGTTCTCTGCATGTTTTTTCTTGTTTATTTATCCTCTGACTGACTTTCTTTCTTTAATTAAACTTCTAATAATTCCTAAAGAGCTCTTTTTTTTTTTAATCAAAAGTACATATAAATGTATGATAATAGATTATGAACTGAGTTTTGGGTCTAACCTTTAAGTAAATTTGATTTAAAGTCAGTAAATCCATTAAAAAGACTTAATTCATAAAAGTGTTAGTTGGGAATGGTGGTTCTTGCCTGTAATTTCAGCACTTGAAAGACTGGATAGGAGAATGCTCTCAATTAGAAGCCAACCTGGGCTACAGAGTAAGACCATTGTTGTTTTAAAAAAAATTAAGATATAAGATGGTTTCTGTTACGCTTTCTGTCTGAATCTAAGCATCTGTAGGTTTTTCTGTGCCTGTGTCCTCATTTCTGTCTTTAGAAGAAGACCTAGAACTCTGGTAAGAGAATAGTTATCTGGTCAGAATTGACTGGAATTAGTGCCTGTCTGTTAAAGTGAAAGTGGTAGCCTGAAGTTCATCTGTTTTCTTCCCCAAGTTTCCAAAGGCCAGTTTTTAAAAGGCATTGATCATGAGTCCCAGGTAGAAACTAATTGGTGCCACCTGGAGGTCAGGGAGACAAATAACTGCTTCCACCCACCCAGCTAGAAGAGGTGTGTGTGTGGGTGTGGGTGTGGATGTGGGTGTGGGTGTGTGTGCATGTACCTGTAGAATCCATAAGAGGATGTCAGATCCCAGGATCTGGAGTTGCAGACAGTTGTGAACCACCGTGTTATGATGGCACTCGAACTGGGGTTCTCTGAAAGAGCCACCACTGAATCATCTCTTCCACCCAAGTCTGTTGTTAATAGTGAAGGCATCTTAAAGGAAGGAACCAGTGCAGATTGTCATTGGTAATCAAAAGGTGGGCAAAATAACCTTTTGAATTAAAGTATAACTCTGTGGACTGTCATGGATTTCATTGGACATTGTTTCAGATACCCCCAGATATCCTTCTTCTATGTCTGCAGTTACCCACTTTTTGCCTTCAGAGGAAATATTAGCCACAGTAACTGGTTGTTGTCATGTCATTGTGTGTTCTGTTATTTCTTTCAAGGAGATCTCTTTGCTTCTACATTCCTCATTAAGAACGGGGCCCTTGTCAATGCTGCCACATTGGGAGCCCAAGAGACCCCGTTACACCTTGTAGCATTGTATAGTTCAAAGAAATACTCAGCAGATGTGATGTCTGAGATGGCGCAGATTGCGGAGGCTCTCCTGCAAGCTGGTGCTAACCCCAACATGCAGGATAGCAAGGGCAGGTGAGTACACTAACTCCAGAAGAGGGTTTTTATGGTGGCACACAAATGACATACACACTATTTGACATAATTAAAACTGTTGTTCATTGAAGCTGCAAACATTTCTTTGTCATGCAATTAAGTGTCATGACCAAGACTAGAAGCATTTGGGGAAACATTTGTAGTCTGGCTAACTAATGACTGAATTTCTAAGCAATTTATATCATTTTCATGTTGAAAGCAACCAGAGTGGTCACCTGGTCAGCGTTTACAAGGACATTATTCAGCATTTTTTAGGATCACTTGGATAGTTTGAAGAGGAACTGCTACCTCTAGGCAACCTGTTTTATATCTCGGAGATCCAATGGTTAGAAAATTCCCTTTTAAATGCACTTCTGCCATATAAATATCTTAACTATTGGACATCTTGTTATCTCCAGAGTGTGTTACCTTCAGTGCATAGCCTTTTCTATATTTGGTAGTGTTTCTGGGTTATGTTTGCTGTTTTACATTTTTACCAGTTTTTATTTATACTTATTTGTTATTTTGCGTGTATGGATGTTTTGCCTGCATGTGTACTAATGTTCCACGTAAATGCAGTGCCTGTGGAGGCCAGAAAAGTATGTAGGATTCCCTGGAACTGGAGTAACAGGTGTTTGCGAGCCACCATGTGGATGCTAAGAATCAAACCCAGGTCCTCTGGAAGAGCAAGCAGTGGTACTCTTAACCACTGAGCCATCTTCAGCCCAATTTCTGTTGTTTTTGCATCTTCTCAGAAGGAGTTTTGCATCTTCTCGGAAGGAGTTAGTTTAGGATTCCTTGTGGTTTAGAATTGTAGACAGGGTTGCCTGCCATGCGGCAAGAGTGTGGGAAACTTTGAAGTGTAGTTCAGCCCTTGCCTCAGCAGCCTTGGGTGGGGACAACAAGCATTACTCACTATCACCTCAGTTCACTATTTGAAAACCCACCCAGGAGGTCATATTCTTCAAGGCTGGCTGCCAGGAGATGGACTGTGCCTGTGCAGAGATAAGATGGTCCAGGAATTCGGTGTTGCATAATAATAACCACTCATTCTCCCAAGTAGTTACATCCTTTATTCCCTATGCTGATTCTTTGGTTTGTTTCCCCACTTGAACTGCATAAACTTGGGCAGTCTGTCCTTTTGAGGTTGATGCCAGGCTTGTGCACTGTGCTCTAGTGGCAGCCTTCTAGTACTAAATAAACAGGCTGTGAAGAACAAGTTCAGCTCTACCCAGTTCTGTCTTGCTGCTGCTGTGTGCTCCTGTGCTAAGATAAAATTATAGAGTAGAACAGTTTCTTTTTAGATTGACAGAGGATAGGTGAGAGAAAGTGTGACAGAAGCTGTTCTTTAACATACTCCTTCAGGAAGGGTTAGAATTGAAGTAAAGAGCCATGGGTCATAGAAGCAAATCCATTTTCTTTTCTTTTCCCCCCAAGACACAGTTTCTCTGTAGCTTTGGAACCTGTCCTGGCACTCACTCTGTAGACCAGGCTGGTCTTGAACTCACAGAGATCCACCTGCCTCTGCCTGCTGAGTGCTGGGATTAAAGGCATGTGCCACTAGTGCCCAGTGCAAATCTATTTTCATGTTATGATTCTTGGCTATGATTTTGGAAAATAGAGTAATGGAACTGGTTGTAGTTGCTGAATCTACCAAGGATTCTAGTCCCTGCCTGCTATGAGTGTCTGGGTTGTCTATCTTGAATTGACATTTCTTTTAATTCCTTCTGTTCTGTCTTGCCCTCAGGACTCCTTTACACTTGTCCATCATGGCCAGGAATGAATATGTGTTCAATCAGCTGCTGCAGTGTAAACAGTACGTAGGGCGGCCTGGAGAAATGAAAAGCGGTTGTGAGGGTGGGATTGTGAGTGAAAAATCTTTCCTTATTAAAATTTTTAAAAAACTATTGTTCATTTGTTTGTTTGAGATGAGGTCTTATTATGTAGTCTAAGCGGACCTGGAATTCAAATCCTACTTTAGTCCCGCAATGACTGGGATTACCGGCTTGAAATTTTCTCTTAAGATGCTTTCCATTTACAAACCTTAAAGTAACAAAGTTACAAACCTTAAGTAAAATAAAAATTTATCCTTTAGAAAACACAGGAAGAGAATAAGCTGTTGGCATCAAGGAAACTGTACCTGTCATTCACATGGACTCTTTATTTCAGATTAGACTTAGAGCTGAAAGATCACGAGGGCAGCACTGCACTCTGGCTTGCTGTCCAGTACATCACCGTGTCTTCTGGCCAGTCTGTAAACCCTTTTGAAGACCTCCCTGTGGTGAATGGGACATCATTTGATGAAAACAGCTTTGCAGCCAGGCTCATTCAACGTGGCAGCAACACTGATGCTCCAGATGCACTGACGGGTAAAACAGTGGGCCGAAGGAATAAGACTGCATTCGGAGGTCTTTGAGAAATGATGGCTAAAAGAGTTTCTTATTATGGTTTCACAGGGGCTGTGAATGAGTGCAGTGTTGGCCTCAGTCTTGCTAGATAGCCCAGGCTAGCCTTGAACGTGTTGTTCTTTTGCATTAGCCTGAGTGCTAGAAATACAAGCATGTGCCACCATGCCAGCTTATAAATGTTTTTAATAACACAGAAAGGAGATGGATTACTATCATGAGACTTATTTGTTTTGTATTTAGCTCAGTAAAAGCCCATGCGGTTGGTTGGTTTGTTTTAATCCCATGCTCCAAATAATTTAACCAGACATTAGTTTAAGTCTTAAAAGCTAAAACACACCTGGTAAGTTAAGACAACCATTTTTCGACTCTGTAGACTCACAACTCCTTTTACCCTTGTAGAACTTATAATCAGCAAGTATTTACTAAGAGTTGGAAAATAAAAATAAAAATTTTATTCTTTTGTTTTTGGTTTTGAGACAGAGTCTTGTCAGGTTTATGTAGCTCAGCCTGGACCTTAACTGGAGAGTCTATTACTGACCTCAGCCATCTAAGTACTGAGATTACAGACACAATCTACCATACCCAGCTTCTAAAACTAAGAAACTTCTGTTTTTAATTCAATTTTTAGGTTTATTTTATTTTATGTGTCACAAGTGTTTATATGCATGTATCTTTGCCATATGCTTGCCTAATTCCCCTGGAAGTCAGAAGAAGTCATCAGATCTCCAGAAACTGGAGTTAGAGTTGGTTGTGAGCTGCTAAGTAGATGCTGGGAACCTGAGTCCTCTGGAAGAGCATCAAGTGCTTTGAACTGCCGAGCATCTCTCCAGATCCAAAACGGAGAAACTTTTAAGAGCTGTTGATAATGTAGTTTTTAAACAAGTTAATTAAAAGAACAGGTAGCTTCTTGTATCTGCATCTGTGTTCATTCTTTTCAGATGTGTTGTTCTGGTTAAGTTGAATGAAGAATGTACATCCTTAGAGACATGGAAAGGGGAGGCTCATCAGTTTGTGCTTTGAATGGACTGTTTTTCTGTACATGGATCTAGAAATTATGCCTTAGTCACTAGAGAGTGTTAGTTCACCGTGTTGTAGATGTCCCATGTTTCATGTTTCAGAACTTCACGCACTGATATCACTGCTCATCTTATCAGAAGTCTTTCACTGTAAAGAAAATATCGAACTTGGTATTAGAAAATTTTCTAAGATTACAATTTTGTTTTTGAGGCAGGTTCTGATATAGTCTAGACTGCTCAGATTTGATTTATAGCTGAAGATGAACTCAAACTCTTAACTCTTATCCTCAATTTTAGATTTATTTATTTTATTAGTCTGAGTGTTTTACTCACATGTATATATGTACACCACAAGTTTGCCTAGTATCCATGCAGGCTAAAAGACGGCAAGGGATCCCTTGTAACTGGAGTTACCAACAATAGTGAACAATCATGAACCAACATAATTTATTGATTAATATGTTGTCACAGTCGCATTTCCAGGGGTTTAGTTCTTTGGGTAGAATGTACTACCTTTAGCTTTTGTTACCTACTATGAGGATTTCTTTTCTTTTTTTGAGTCAAGGTCTTGCTATGTTGTCCTAGCTGACATAGAGCCACCACATAGAGCTAGAGGAACCGAACCCAGGTCCCTTGCAAGAGTATTCAGTGCTCTGAACGGCTAAGCCATCTCTCTAACCCTCTCTTTATTGTCTTGCTTTTACTTTCTAACAGTGGAGATTCTGGGCATGTATTATGTTCAACAGAGGTTGAGATCAGACTGACTATAACTATTATAGGTGAAGTCACTTTCTGTGAAGGGAAGGAAAAAATGGCATAAAGACAAAGTAGTGTTTTTGTCCATTTCTTTTTTTCTTCATTTTGTTTCCTATTGAGGGTGTGTGTGTGTGATTGTATGTGTGTAAAATTGAACATGTGGAAGTCAGGTCATAAGTTTTGGTATTTGGTTTTAAGGCAGAATATCTTTCTGCATATTCCAGGCTAGCTGGAGTTTCCATTCCTAGCTCCTCCTTCCATCTCACTGTAGAAATGCTGGCATTACAGATGCATTTGACTGCTATGCACATGGTTCTGGGATGCCAGAGACTGGTGGCACACACCTTTCACCCCAGCATTCAGGAGGCAAAGGCAGTCGGATCTCTGTGAGTTCATGGTCAATCTGGTCTACATAGCAAGTTCTAGGTCATCCAGGACTACAGTTGTAAGGCCCCATCTTAAAAACAAACAACAACAACAACAACAAAAAAACCCAACCAAACAAACAAACAAAAAAAACACACAAAAAAACAACACAGCTCTGGAAATGGCATGTGGGTTGCCAGGCTGTATGTATAGCAAGCATTTTACCTAGCAGAGCCCTCTCCCTGGCATTGTTTTGTCCCATTTCTTTTATTTTTATTTTTCAGTCTTAGTATTCATCTTATTTAGATTTTCAAGCACCACAGTTTCAGAATATGAGATTTTTTTTTAAAGATTTATTTTTACTTTTAATTATGAGTATGCCTATATATCTGTGTGTATGTGTAACTGTATGCAGTTATCTTCTGAGGCCAGAAGAGAGAGCATCAGGTCCTGTGGAGCTGCAGTTACAGCAGTTATGAGCTACCAGACTAAACTCAGATTCCCTATAAGAGTATTCCTCTTAACCACTGAGCCATCTTCTAGTGCCCAGAACATGATTTTATGTTGTGTTTGCACATGGAGTTGGAAACACTGTTCTGGATCCAAAAACCATTTGGAGAAGGTTTTATTTTCCCTAGTGTTCTATTCAGAAAATAGTTATAGTGCTAAGAAAAAAATATTTCTGAGCTAACAGCAACCTTATATGGCTGCTCTAGGGATAGAACTGGAACATTTGATGGGCATTTTCTAGTACAGCTACAATGCATGAGGCCTGGGCATTGCTACCTGCACCCTGTCTTCCCCAGAAGAACATTTGAAAGCTTCTCTAGACCCACCCTTCTTTCCTCTCTTCTCCTCTCCTCTCCTCTCTTCTCCTCTCCTCTCTTCTCCTCTCCTCTCCTCTTCTCCACCCCAGCCCCCCCCCCTTCTTGCTTTGGTTTTGATTTTTCAAGACAGGGTTTCTCTGTATAGCACTGGCTGTCCTGAAGCTCAATATATAGACCAAGCTGGCCTTGAATTCTGGCCTTGTTTTGTTTGTTTTAAATTTACAATTTATTTTATGTGTTATTGATATTTTGCTTGTATGTATATCAGTGTGCATGCCTGGTGGCCATGGAGGCCAGATCCCTAGCTATAGACAGTTGTGAGCTGCTGTGTGGGTGTTGTTGTGAATCAAACCCGGGTCTTCTTGAAGGATCCAGTGCTGGAAGAACAGCCAGTGCTCTTAAATACTGAGCAATCTCTCCAGCCCCTAGACATTTTTGATTGCCACAAGTTCAGAGCTTCTTCTGGCATTGGTGGGTATGACCAGGAATATTGCTGAATGTTGTACAACTTAGAGATTGGGCCTCTATGGTAAAGAATTGTCTCAGAAAATGTGATCAGCACTGCTGTGTGGGGGAGCCCTTCCCTACTCAAGCCATACTAGGAGGCACAATGAACTGCCAGCAAGGGCGATACAAGCACACCTGCTGTCGGGTGTGGGAGGAAGGACAGGGTGTTTGTACTGGGTGGAATTTAATTAATATCCATGTAAATGAAAGAATGAACATGACTTCTTTCTTTTAGGAAATTGTCTGCTACAGAGGGCAGCTGGGGCAGGAAATGAGGCTGCAGCTCTTTTCCTAGCAACTAGTGGTGCCCATGCCAACCACAGGAACAAATGGGTAAGTTAGAAAGGGCAGCTGGAGGAATGGCTGTGGACTGGGGAAGAAATGGCAATGCTGGGCCTGCAGGAAAAATGAAATTGTCTCCTCTTTTTCTTCACTTTTGTGAGTGTACATTCATATGACCAGTATAAAGGGGAGTCTTGTATGTCCTCAAAGATTGGTTGACTGATTCAGTCAACAATTATTATCTATATTTTTGTTATATAGCCATGTCCTGAATTAGATCTTGTAGACTTTGTAATGGAATAGAAATTAGCAAACAAGAATGTAAACAAGTGCTGTAATAGCTTCTTGATTCCGTGGTTTTGAGGTGGTTTTATATAACCCAGGGTGGCCTCACACGTGTGCTCTCCTGTTCCACCTCTCCAGTGCTGTGATTGCAGACTGGTGCTGTCCTGTGTGCCTCTTGATTCTTCAGGTCTCCTGTGGGGCTGCTGCTTCAGTCTGTTGTTTCTAGGCACCATCACCGACCAGATCATGGTCTTCCCTCACCTGCACTTTTATCTTTAGGTTTCAGTTACCTGTGGTCAGTCATGGTCTGAAAATATTAAATTGAAAATTGTGAAAATAATTCATAAATGTTAGGTTGTCCACCAGAGTAACATCATGAAATCCACATAATCCTAGTGTGTGGCTCAGCCCTCTATCAAATGTGTCCCTGGTGCATATGCTGCCTGCCTTTCAGTATCTTAGCAGCCCTCTAATAAGATAGACTGACTCAGTGTCAGTGCTTATCTTCATTGTTATAATGCCTGTCTCTTGTCAGTTACCTTCACTCACCATAGATGGCGCATTCCCACAGGAAGGGCGAGTATAGAACAGAAGGTATTCCCAAAGACCACATTCACAGTACTAAAATAGGGCATATTATTATAATTGTTTTATTTTATTGTTGCTAATTCCATTTCTGTTCCTAAATAATAAACTAAATGTTACTGTAAGTACTTTGTTAGGAAAAAATAGACATAGGGTTTGATATTCCCCATGGTTTCAGGCATCTCTGGAGTGTCAAAGATTGTATTTTCTGCAATCAGGGCAGCCACTGTTAGGGTCAGCAGTACTGAGTTTACCAGCTTTCTATCTTTGTATAATTTTACTTTCTCAGCTTCAGTTTCAACAGCTATAAGATGGAGTTAATCTTGATGTCATAGGGAATGGGTAAGATGAAAAGAAATAGGGGCTGGAAAGATGATGACTCACTGATTAATAGCACCACCTGCTCTTCCAAAGGATTTTAGCTTGGTTTCTAGCACTCATGTTGGACAGGCTCACAACTACCTGTAACTCCAGCCCTAGGGGCATCCAACACCTTGCCTCTGCAGGCATCTGCTCTCAATTGCATACACCTACACATAAACATGCACAATTAAATATAAATCTTTTAAGAAAGGAAGACCAGCCTGGTCTACAAGCTAGTTCCAGGACAGCTTCCAAAGCCACAGCGAAACCCTGTCTCGAAACACAAAACAAACAAACAAACAAACAAAAAAGAGGTATTTAAATGTGTATTAACATATTATCTAGAACATGAGATACTAAATGCTAGTTTTTTATGGAGTTTTCCCTCCCTTCCCCCCCGCCCCCCAGGAGAGTGCTTTTTTCCTTTGCCTTTCCTGCTTTCAGAAAGGGAGGGTGTGTTTATCTTCCTTGTTCATTTGCTTGAGACAGGGCCCTTTGTTTGTTTGTTTGTGGCTGGATTCTCTGTGTAACCTGGATGTTTTGGAACTCGCCTTGTAGACCAGGCTGGCCTTGAGAGAGATCTGTCTGCCTCTATCTCCCAAGTGCTGGGATAAAAGACATGTGCCACCTTTGCCTGGTAGGTGTATTTATCTTTAAGGTCACTTCTATTACTTGTACTTGGAGCTTTAAGAATATCTACCCTGAGGTTCTTCTGGTGGACTTAGAAACAGCATGTATTTTAGGGTCGAAGAGATTCTCAATATCATTTAATTGAGAGTAAAGGACCTTGGGGTTGGGAGGGATGGCTCAGTGGTTAAGAGCACTGGCTGCTCTTCCAGAGGACCCAGGGTCAATTCCAAGCTTATATGGCAGCTCAGAACTACAGTCCCAGGGGACCCAATACCCTCTTCTGGCCTCTCTGGGCTCTGTTGCAATAAGTTCCATTGCAACCATGTTCTTTACAGCCTTGAAGGCACTGGAAATAGTAGGTGGAGAGACAGGCTGAAGGCCCTGGTGGAAGTCACAGGAGTAGAGAGTGGGGATGTGGTTCAGTTGGTAGAGTGTTTGCCTAGTACACATGAATCCATGGGTTTGATTCTCACAACTTCATAAAGCAGATGTGGTTGCGCATGCCTGTAATACTAGCACTTAGAAGTTGAGGACAGCAGGATCAGGAGTTTGAAGTCTTCCTCTGCTACATAATGAATTCGATGTCAGTCTGGGATACACAACACCATGTCTCAAAAACGAAAAAGAAAACCACAGGAGTGGACAAGGACACTGATGAGCATGTGTCCGGAGAGGGGCTGAACAGGAGGATAGGCCTGGTCAGGTATAGATGGGGACAGGGAGTAAAAGCACCCCATATCCAGTCACATATTTACATACAGCATAAACATACATATACACAGAAATGAATACCTGTCTTCTGTGAAATTCATAATGGCCCTTTTAGAGGAAGAATTGTGTGCTGGAGGTCAGGAGGCAAGCAAGACTAAACTGTTCTCCTACCTTTTGAGTACCAAGTTCTGGTACCTGTAACACCATTAAAATGTCTTTAGTGGTGCTCCTCTCTTGAAGCCCTTCCCACTCTCAGTTGTTCTCTCTCACCTGTTTTGTGTGGTATACATACATATATATGTGTGTGTGCGCGCGCGTGCGTGTGTGTGTGTGTGTGTGTGTGTGTGTGTATGTGTATACATGTGTTTTAGTTAAATTAGAAACAATGTTATTTTACATATCAATCCCAGTTCCCTCTCCCTCCCATCCTCCCATGACCTCTACTGACTCCCCTCATCCCACCCTCCATCAACTCCCCAGGGAGGGTGATCCCTTCCATGGGGTATCATCAAAGTCTGTCATGTCATTTGGGGCAAGGCCTAGGCCCTCCCCCATGTATTCAGGCTGAGAGAGTATCCCTCCATGGCGGAATGGGCTCCCAAAGTCCATTCGTGCACTAGGGATAAATACTGGTTCTACTACCAGAGGCTCCATAGACTCCCCAGACCTCTTAACTGATACCCACGTTCAGGGGTCCTGGTTCAGTCCTATGCTGATTCTCCAGCTATCAGCCTGGGGTTCACTCTCACCTGTTCTTAATAAACCTGTTTGTTCTAAAGAAAATACCTTTAATTTTTAAAGGTAGTGAAGGAAGTCTTGATCAGAGTTCAAGATGAGGTTGATGTGAGCAAATTAAAGCAACAGGTGCTAGTAAAAGTTAGAAAAGTGGCCAAAAGAAGCTTGCCCTGCATATGTACCTCAGGCCATGGGGCAGTTGTTTTTTTCTAGTGTTGAATCTGGTGATACCTGGTAGTTAGTTGTTGGCTATTGTTGCTTTATAGAGAACTAAATCCTTTGCATAATTAGTGGAAAAAATGTGAGAACAACAAAGTACAGGGATAACCAAGGTGGTCTTGGATAAAAAAGGCAAAGATGCTTGAAGAGACATTAAAGAAACTAAAGGTTGGTGATGCTGAGGGAGGGAAGTCAGACTCATGAGGTCATCTGGTTACAGGAGGAACCCAGGGCGGGCTAGCAATGTGCCCTGAGTTTGGCACTTCCACTTTCCGTATCCCTTTGTGACAGGAGTTCCTAATTCTCTTCCACTTTGATTTCTGTTGTTTCATTCAGGGAGAAACTCCTTTGCATACCGCTTGTCGGCATGGCCTGGCCAACCTCACAGCAGAGCTCCTGCAACAAGGTGCCAATCCAAACCTGCAAACAGAGGAGGCTCTGCCTGTGCCTAAAGAGACTCCAGTCCTAATGGGTTCTGCAGATGGCATCTACCTGCAGACACCGTTGCATATGGCAATTGCTTATAACCATCCAGATGTGGTGTCTGTCATCCTGGAACAGAAAGGTAGGTAGTTGTGTCTGATGCCCAACATTATGAGCTGTGGAAATAGTTGTTTGGGCAGCTGACTTCAGAGGCTGTTGCTTCCTTTTCTGAGTCTTCTACAGCTAGTTTCGTAGGTACTGCTTACAATGCAGTTGCTACAGTAGAGTCTGTTTTCATTGTTTGGGGGATGTTTAAGTTTTAAGAAAGTTAATTTACCTTAAAATTTTGCTCAAATAACAGGTCTCTGGATTTCTACTCCCCACAAGATTTATCTGTTTGCTCCCTTTGAAAAGTCAATTAGTTTATAACTGAGTCTTATTCTCTTGAATGCCTTAAATGTGATCAAGGAGCCAGGTCTGGTGGCTCATGTTTATAATCCCAACACTCAGTCAGAGACAGGAAGATTGTCAGAATTTTGAGGCCAACCAGGACTACCAGTGAGACCTTATTTTCCTCCTTAACTCTACCTTAATCAAAAAAAAAAAAAAGGTTCTGTCAGCCACAGTATGGTGAATTCAAGTTTCTTTTCCTTTTAAAAAATTTTAGCCAATGCTCTTCATGCCACAAACAATTTACAAATTATTCCGGACTTCAGCCTCAAGGATTCTAGAGACCAAACTGTGCTAGGCCTGGCATTATGGACTGGTATGTTATGTCAAAGGAGATGAGTAGTTGGGTATATTAGAGGGGGCAGGAGGAAGTCATGGGTAGACTAGAGGGAGGGAGGGAGGAGGAAATGATGGGTAGACTAGAGGGGGCAGGAGGAAGTGGTGGGTAGACTAGAGGGGGCAGGAGGAAGTGGTGGGTAGACTAGAGGGGGAGGAGGAAGTGGTGGGTAGACTAGAGGGGGGAGGAGGAAGTGGTGGGTAGACTAGAGGGGGGAGGAGGAAGTGGTGAGTAGACTAGAGGGGGAGGAGGAAGTGGTGGGTAGACTAGAGGGGGAGGAGGAAGTGGTGGGTAGACTAGAGGGGCAGGAGGAAGTGGTGGGTAAACTAGAAGGGGGCAGGAGGAAGTGGTGGGTAAACTAGAAGGGGGCAGGAGGAAGTGGTGGGTAGACTAGAGGGGGGAGGAGGAAGAGGCAGGGCTAATGGTTTTGTTGTAAATAACTTAATGCCGGCTATGTTCACTGAAAGATTGTTGCCTTTGAGAGCTTAGAGGGTCTGTTTGTTGTCAAGGGACTGGGAAAGCCAAGTGTGCGTGAAAGGGGAGTGTTTATTTCCTAGGCATGCACACAATTGCTGCCCAACTTCTGGGCTCTGGCGCATCTATCAATGACACCATGTCGGATGGGCAGACTTTGCTGCACATGGCCATAAGGCGGCAGGACAGCAAGAGTGCACTCTTCCTCCTGGAGCACCAAGCCGATATAAACGTCAGGTGGGATGGAGTGGTATGCTGTCTTGTAATTCCAGGTCATTATGTAATTGAGATGCTTCAAAAATCAGATCCTGGCTTCTAGATGGGAATTTTTTTTTAATTCCTTGTTGCATAAAGGAAGAGAAACAGTGGCTCTCAAAATGTATAAATGGAGTCAGACCTGGGTGATGCATACCTATAATTCCAGCTGCTTAAGAGACTAAGGCAAGAAGATAGTTGAAGGCCTACTTGAGCAAGTTGGGAAGACTGTCTCAAAATGAAAAATTTAAGAAGGGCTAGAAACTGAGTGTGTTGGCACACACCTTTAATTCCAGTACTCGAAAGGAAGAAGCAGGTAAATCTCCATGAGTTCAAAGCTAGCCTGGACTACACAGTGAGACCCTGTCCTTAAAAACAAAACATAAAAGGGTAGGAACACACCACTCTGGTAGAGAGCTTGCCTAATGTACTTGGCCCCTATATTTAATCCCAGTTATAAAAGAGATGGTAGAAGAGCATTTGCTGAACACTGAGTTCAATCCCTAATTCATGTCCTCCAACAAAAAGGTTATAAGTGAGTATCATCATGGACATTCACAATCATAGCCAAACTGTACTCTTTCCTTCTTGATAACTTTAAGGCCTAATGTCCAAAATAACAGGAATCTCATTAAAAAGGATGATCCAAAAATCAGTCCTTATTAGGGATTTCAGTTGCAACAAAGAACACTTCAACAACTAGGCTACAAACAGGGTTAAAGGAGAAACAGACTTTAATTTTTAAATTCATATATTTATCTAGTACATGTGATATACACCCATGTCTGCCACAGTGTGCATGTAGTGGTCCGAGGACTTGTGGGAGTCTGTATCCCCACATGTGTTCTGAGGATCAAACTCGGGTGTCAGGCTTGGTGACAGACCTGCCAGCCTCAGACTTTAATTTTTATCAATGCATATTCATAGGATCCTTTATGGATTTCCGGTGTCAGGTGACACTGAATTACAGAGTGGGGGAACAAAGTGGGTCTTGTTTTTCTTTTGAAGCTATCTTGTGTATCCAAGGCTTGCAACAGTCTGTAGCTGAGGGTGACCTTAAGTTTCTAATCCTTCTACCCATCTCTCCCAAGGACTAGGATTGTAGGCATGCATGCTGGGGATGAAGTCCAGGCCCTCATGAATACTGGACAAACATACCTACAACTAAGCTATATCTCCAGCCCCCTTTGTTTGCTTTTTGAGTACAATAAAGAGAAGTGGCTGTATTTTCTTAAAAGGTGGAAAAGGTAGATACAGCTGACAGGTTTGATTTCCTTGAGAACATTCTAAGGTGCATGCATATAAGGGATCCAGTAGTATCTAGGCTTTGAAAAACCTGGAGAGTGCTGTTTTCTTTGGCTGCATTTACAAGCATTGATTTTGATTGTGGTCATTATGTCTTGGTAGGACTCAGGATGGGGAGACTGCCCTTCAGCTGGCCATCAAAAATCAGCTTCCACTAGTAGTGGATGCCATATGTACCCGAGGAGCTGACATGTCTGTGCCAGATGAAAAAGGGAACCCACCACTATGGCTTGCCTTGGCAAATAATCTGGAGGACATTGCTTCCACTCTGGTGAGTCATGCATAACAGAGCCTCTTCTCACAGATGAGAATATGTTGTGTCAAAGATGGATTTGGTGCCTGTCATCATAGGAGCAAGATGTCATCCAAGTTACAAGCCAGGTCAAAGACAAACAGTGGAAAGTCACATTAACTAATCCTAGGTTATAGGGCTAGAGAGATTTAAAAGCACTTGTTCTTACAGAGGACCCAGATTTGACTTCCAGCATCCATGTGGTGGTTAACAATTGTAACTCCAGTTCAGGGAATCTGATGCCCTCTTCTGATATCAGCAAGCATTGGGCATGCATGTGGTATACAGACATACACGCAGGAAAAATACTCATGTGTATAAAATAAGTCTAAGGAAGTGTGAAGCTCAGCTGGTTATGGTTGCATTCACTTTTAATCCCAGCACTGGGTAGGTAAGGCTATGACATCTCTGAGAGGACAAGGTCAGCCTAGGCTACAAAGCAAGTTCCAGACTAGCCAAGATTATACATTGAGACCCTGTCTTAGGTGGGAGGGAGGGTAGTACTTTATACTGGCCAGTACTTCTATCTGGGCTGTCTTTGAGACAACTGCAGAGGAGTACTAGAGTGGAGGGGGTGCCTCAGGCATCTCCTGATGGGGGCTGATTTGATGCTGTGACCATCAATATATTACTACATTCCCAAATCTCAGGTCTGTCTGTATGTTGGCAAGACACATCTAAAAAGTGAGGTAAGCCTAGAGTCTCTCATTTATCACTCTGAGAGTCTGCACTGAGGTATTTTGTACCTGAGGCTTTTTATCAACTGTTTTGAGGGATTACCTATTAATTACAGGTGTGTGTTGCTAGGGGACTTTGGAGTACATATATCAGCAGGCACTGTCCTTAATAGAACACAGCTATAGAGGCACTAATGTGTACTTCCAAAAACCATACCCCTAGGGCATAGTATAAGAATTTGTACAGAACAGATTATATTTAATTTTTTAATGTGTATGGTGTTTTGCCTGTAGTATGTCTATGTACCATGTGCATGCCTGGTGCTCATGGAGGCCAGACAAGAGCATGAGATTCCCTGGAACTGGAGTTACAAATGGTTGTGAGCCACTATGTGGGGATTGAAAATCAAAACTTGTATTCTCTAGAAGAGCAGCCAGTGCTCCTAACTGATGGGCCAGCTATCAAAGAGCAGATTTGAATCAGTGTTTATAAGACTAATGAGTGGTTATGATTGATAAAATCATCAGTTACTTGTTGCCCATGACTTATCTGAAAAGTAATATACATGTTGCTCAGAGCTGAAAATAAGCATTTTTACTTTTGCTCAACAGTTTTTGTGAGAAAACTGTGTTTCTCTGCAGGTCAGACATGGTTGTGATGCCACGTGCTGGGGTCCAGGACCCAGTGGTTGTCTTCAGACACTTCTACACAGAGCCATTGATGAAAACAATGAGTCCACTGCCTGCTTTCTTATTCGCAGGTCTGAGAAGCCAACGTATCTCTTTTTTTATTCTGCTTACTGCCAACCACCTCTTTCTTATGTTAAATCACCTCAGTCTTGACATGCCTATAGCTGGCCTTGACTTTCATAATTATGATTATCAAAAGGTCACTCTAATGTCATGTCAAGTCAGCTAAGAACCAAGTTAGCTGTGGAGGAGGGAGGGGCTCACATGCCTAGATCAAAACCATCTTCTGCTTTGGGAATTTCATTGACCCCTTTTACCTTCAGACCACTTCCCACTGTGAAGTCAGGAGGCTAGCTTGGAGAAGACCAAATGGACTCATCTGAGCCCCACCACAACACTTGAACCATAAAAGCTTATAGCCCTCTTAGAGAATGGGATATGAGGAGGCAGGATAATTTGGGAAACTTTGCAAATAGTTTCTCAACGTTTAAGTGTTTACATATCCCTAGGAAGTCCCAAAAGAGGCTATGGCTGTAGTACCCAGGCCTTAGAACTTGCTGGGAGGACCAGAGCTAGCAGAATGTGGCAGTGGTGGCTTTGTCATTAGAGCAGGCAGAACTGCTGCTCTCTGGCACATGCTGCTAGGCAAGGTGGTGGGTGACTTTCTGTTTCTCTACTTTAGTGGCTGTGATGTGAATAGTCCCAGACAACCGGGTACTGATGGAGAAGGAGAAGAGGAGGCAAGGGATGGGCAGACCCCCCTGCATTTGGCGGCCTCATGGGGACTAGAAGAGACAATTCAATGTCTTTTGGAGTTCGGTGCCAATGTCAACGCACAGGTATATAGTTTTTCTTTTCTGGGGAGGTGAACTTAGAGGAATCTTCTTTTGTGACAAGGGGTCTTATATATTACTTACATATATTATATAATGTTTGACTTATATTTTATAAACTGGGCTTTATTATGACAGTCAGTGACTTTCTGCGTAATTAAATTGATTTCAGGTGAATTCTTTGTGCCTTGCTCTTTAGCATAAAGACAGTTGTTTTATCTGTTGTACCTTGCTTCTTAGCACCCTTACAGATTTCCACACAGAATTGGGTTAGTCTCACACTGAGGACTAAGGACTGTATTTAGGACTGTGTCCCATTAATTAGCTCACAGATGCTCTTAAGCATTCAGACCTGTGGGTGTGTGGGTGTTGGGGGGCGGTGCAGACAAAAGGCTAACCTTAGGTGTTTTTATTCAGGCAGTGTCCAACTAATACATTTTTAAAAATTTACTTTTAATCTTATGTGTATGAGTGTTTTGCCTGCATGCATGCAAGTGTATTACATGTGTGCCTGGTGCCAGAAGAGACCAAAAAAGGGCACTACATCCCCCAAAACTGGAGTTACAGTTGTAAGCCTCCATGTAGGTACTGGAAACTGAACCTGCATGTTCTGAAAGAGCAGCCAGTGCTCTTAAATGTTTAGCCATCTCCCCAGTCCTTGTATCCACTTTAAGACAGGTTCTCCAATTGGCCTGGGACTAGACAACTAGGCTGGCTGTCCAGTGAGCCCCAGAATCTACCTGTCTCTGCTCCCCAACACTGGAATTCCAAGCCCATGCTCTTTACATACGTCTGAGGAGCAAGCCCCAGTTGTCATATTTGTGAAGCCAGCTCCCCAGCTCTAGAACAGCTTCATCCGCAGCTTGTTGTATAAATGAGAGCTGAGGGTGACTGCAGCTCTTCTGAAACAATGGGTTTGTTCTGGGCTCTTGCTGCCACTGGGACACTGTGGTCACTGGAACACAGTGTGATAGAGAGAAGCTTCTAGTCATCTTTATATTTTACCTTTTTAGAAATTGATTTCACACACTGGGTCTCATAACTGAAATTTAAAAGTTACCTCCTTGTATACTGTTCCTGAGTTATATCTTTCCATTAGACACGGAAATTTGCACCTTATTTCCATAGGATGCAGAAGGAAGAACACCTGTCCATGTGGCCATCAGCAACCAACATAGTGTCATCATTCAGCTGTTGATTTCTCACCCTAACATTGAGTTGAGTGTACGAGACAGACAGGGGCTAACCCCTTTCGCCTGTGCCATGACTTACAAGAACAACAAGGCAGCCGAGGCCATTCTGAAACGAGAGTCTGGGGCTGCTGAGCAGGTCAGTGACCAGCCACCACTATTCACCACAGCAGAATTTTTCATATGGAGACTAACCAGATGCCACTAACTACACACAGACACTTGTTTTAAATATTAAATTCCCCCTTTTTCAAAAATTTAACTATTCCAGTGTCCCGTGTCTACTGGCTGAGGCGTAACCTGGTAAATGGCCATGACTAGGGAAGAGCTCACATGAGGGCCTGGCATTAGAACTCTGTGGGTATGCAGCTGAGCTCATACTCTGCATTTCCCAAATGCTCTGATAATGAATGCCTCTAAAATACTAAAACTTGTGTTGTTGGGCAGTTTTCTGAGTGTTTTAGATGCATTGTTACTGAGCACATGCATTTTCTCCTTGTCCTTTGCCATTTCTGTATCATCTTCTAAATCTTGGTTTCAACTTGTTTATAACAGTGGTTGGGAAATGATGACAATGACTGATGTGTTGAAAGCTGGAATAGGTTTGTCAGGTCTGATTTTAGCCAGCTTGGAGAATTTTGCCAAGATTTAGAAGGAGCCATTTATGAAGATGACTGCTTTCTTAGCACAGGCTTTGGTATCTGCCTTTCTTTATCATTTTCCTAAGTGTGAGTGGATGTATAGCTTCTAACTTTGCCCATGCTTAGACTGAGACACAGTACATGATAGAGTTTGATTTGAGGAAGCATTCTTTTAGCTTGTCTGGCATCTACCTCCCATTGTGTGTTAATCTAAAGCTTAAGAAAATTTTTGAAGCCTGATTGGCTGCTTAGGGATTGAGATGGGATCTAGTTTGGTCAAAGCAGAGGCCTTGCAGCTAATCATCATGTTTTCTTCTTCCTTCCATGTGCCTTCCTTCTGTCTTTCAGTTAGTCCCTTCTTGGTTTTCTATCTCCAGTTCCTACTACAGGAGGGTGCCAGAGCAGTCACTCCCTTGTCCTGACCACATTCATGTGTGTACATGGTTGTGTTGGGGGTGGTGTGTCATCTACTGTTGGAGCTCTGGAACTGAGGAAGGACATTTCATGATTTTTCCAGTGACCTGCTTAGCTTGTGGGCATGCAGAAGGATCCCATTCTTAAGAGTAGCTGGCTGACAGTGTGGTTCTTATTTGTTTGTTGTAGGTAGATAATAAAGGTCGGAATTTTCTCCATGTGGCAGTTCAGAACTCTGACATCGAAAGTGTTTTGTTCCTGATCAGTGTCCAAGCCAATGTGAACTCTAGAGTCCAGGATGCTTCCAAGTTGACCCCTCTGCACCTTGCTGTTCAAGCAGGGTCAGAAATCATCGTCCGAAATCTGGTAAGTCACAGAGAAATGAGTGAAGGCAAGCATGCTTCAGGATATCTACAGAAGTTGTCTTTGGAGATGTTGTGAATGAAAAGCATAAATCTGGGGGGACTAAACCAGGAAGACAGATATGTCAAGAGGTGGAAGGTCCCAAGTGCCATAGTGCATGTGCTAGAAGTAGACTAGAGATGCTGGAGTCAGGCCTTGAAGGCCAAGGAGGATTTGACAGACAACAGAACGGGACAGGAGGTCAGCTATGTTGTCTGCCTACTTACTATCAGGCTCTCTGCTGAGACTTTCTCCCTCCCTCCCTCCGTCCTTCCCTCCTTTTCTGTTTGTCCATTTTTTTCCCACCCTGCTAACCTAGATGACCTGGAAGTCTCTAAGTTATGCAAATCAATCTGACCTCAAACTAACAGGTTCACCTGCCTCTGCCTCCCAAGTTCCACTATTCCAAGATTAGGTGAGACTTTTAAACTCCAGAAGGAAAATTTTACACATTTAAAATAGAGTAGGTTAAAAAGACTCCTCCTAGGCTCTTAGAAAGTAATTCATGTAACTAGATTTGAGTTAACTCCAAAGACCAACTTTTCAGTACAACATAATATCAGACAGGGACAAGCCTGGAAAGAAAGGGTGTGGTGGTTAGACAGAATGTATGCAGGTATTTTATTATATAGGAGAGTTTGTTTGAAATTTGGTAAGTGTAAGCATTATGGACATTCTTATATAATACAGAGTATAATTGCAGCACTTTGTAGTTTTGGTATACTAAAGTCTTAGAATTACTGTGTTCTAAGGAATAGCCATTGAACATACTGGTACATAATTAGTCTTTGGCAGTGGTTTTGCTGGAATTATCTACAAGATCCTACAGTCAAGCTCTGCCAGGAGGATAGATTTGTTGGTTTCTATAGATAAGAGAAGACAGGTAGACTTGACCCTACTGATAGGACCTTGAATTATGGGAGAGGCTGATTGAGTAATCAACTTTAACAGCTTCTTGCAGGAGCCAAGGTGAATGAATTAACCAAGCATCGTCAGACTGCCCTCCATCTTGCTGCCCAGCAGGACCTGCCCACCATCTGCTCAGTCCTCCTAGAGAATGGAGTGGACTTTGCTGCTGTGGATGAAAACGGAAATAATGGTAATTCCTAGACACATTATGTACTGTGTTGTGTGCTTGGGCCGTCCTTCTTTACAGTAAAGTTACAATGTATCCTTAAGTCTGTTTCTCCTCTGGAAGATTGGTTTATACAGGAACAGAGCTCTGGGCATGTCCTGCTACCCAGCAGCTTCCCAATTTGTGACCCTGGTAGTCTACAGTATTTAGTTTTTCAATTGCATTTTTAAAAAGATTTTAAAAATTCATTTAAAATTAGGTTTGTGTAGGGGAATGTGCATGTGAGTGCTAGTGTCCTTAGAGGCCAGAGGTGTTGGATCCCCAGGAGCTGCCTGGCTTGGGTACTAGGAATTGAACTAAAGTCCTCTGTAAGAACAGTGTATGGTCTTAACTTCTGAACCATTTCTACAGACCAATGTCTTTTTTTGGCCGGGGGGTGGGGAGGGTGGGGAGTGTCAGGGGGTTATGTACATTTCTAGAGGACAATTTACAGGAGCCAGTTCTTTCATACATGTGGGTCCTGGGAATTAAATTTAGGTCTTTAGGCTTGATGGCAGGTACCTTTACCCAGTGATCATGAGGCCCTTTTGTTTTACTTTGTTTGTGTGCCATGTGTGTGCATGTGTGCCTGCCTGAGTCACTTTTTACTGCTCTGACAATGCGCCATGACTGCCATGGCAGAGAGCATGGCATCAGATAGGCAAGCATAATGCTGCTGCAGTAGCTGAGACCTTATATCTAAGTGGGCTTTTGAAACCTCAAACCCCACCCTTAGTGACACACCTCCTCCAACAAGGCCACACCTTCTAACCCTTCCCAACAGCTGCACCAAATATACCAAATATAGAATCATCAAATATGTGATCCTTTGGGGGCCATTCTCATTCAAACAGAGACAGAGAGAAGCAGAGACAGAAGTGAAGCCATTAAAATCTCATCTTTGAAACCACCAGCATGGCTTAAGAGAGTGTACTGATGACTGTGGGGAGGGGACAGGATAGGAAAGGATGGCTCTGTATTTGTCTGGTTACTGCTGAGTGCATTTAGATGGGGTGGGGAGGAGATAGTGCTTTTTCTGTGTGCTTCTGGACTTGCAAAGTAAGAGGATTTGCTCCCCAGCTCTTCATCTTGCGGTCATGCATGGTCGGCTCAACAACATCCGAGCTCTTCTGACAGAGTGTACAGTGGATGCTGAAGCCTTTAATCTGAGGTGAGTGTGGCTGGTCCCAAGCATAGATTAGGGTACCTGGTAGCCTAGCCCATTTCTCCCCCAAGCCTCAGGTGCACCTGAGTAGCTTTTGGTTCTATGGTAATTTTGATTTTGTAATGAATACTTTTTAAAAACCTACTTTTGTCTGTTATATATCCTTTAGATTTAGTTAAGACCACAGAGTTCAGGAAATTCCTTCTTTGGTGTGACACGTATATAACAGATACATGTCTAACCTTTGCCAACTTGTTTTATCAGAGGCCAGTCACCACTACACATTCTGGGACAATATGGCAAAGAGAACGCAGCAGCCATCTTTGATCTCTTTTTAGAGTGCATGCCTGAGTATCCTTTGGACAAACCAGATGCAGAAGGCAACACAGGTATGCAAATAAGGTGTCTGACTTTCAGCAGCTGCTGAAGGTCTCTACCATGGAACCTGGTGTCTGACATCTGAAGTGTTTCAGGTACTCCAGAACCTCATGCCTGTGACCAAGCAGACCTTTACGTTTATTCAGTTAACCAGGACCCTTCCATGTTCCTGTTTTAATAGAGATAAAATATAACCAAGACTCAGGCTCCAGGAAATATGTACCTGTGATATGATTTGAAGAAGTGGCTAATTCTACCTTGGTGCCTTCTTGAGAAGACTAACTAGGCTTCTCCAGTGTCTCCCTTTCATGTGTTTGTGATATGCATTTGCAGTCAGTCTACCTAAGCTACTTGCCCAGGTTGTAGCTTCAGAGGCATGTAGGAAGAGACTTCATGTACAGGGTCTGATTTATGGAGCCTTAGTTTCAAGTGTCTCATTGTGTTATATTTTAGTAAGAAGACTGGATAAATTCTTAGCCTCCTTATATACATGGCCTCATTTGATACTGGGATTAAGATTCCTCATGTTACTACATCATTTTGAGTTAAAAATTTAATGAAGTATCTGCTAAAGGGAGCCGAGGGAGCTATCTTTTGCTATTTGTAACTTTGTAGAGAGCAGGTCAGAGCCTGGCTTCTTGCTGGGCCAACATTTCACAAGGAGAGGCTCCTTTGGATGAAAGAACATTCTGGATCATGTTCCCTATACTAATTTTACTTCTCTGTATGTACTGAAATCACAGGTCTTTACATTTAGTTACACTGCAAAGAGCTTTGTCTTTGGTGGTAAAAGCAGTGATTTTTGACTGGGGAAGGCAACTGAGAAAACAGTTTTTTCCCAGTGTTTGATCCCTATATTAGTTCCTTATGATGGACTTCAACTCTAGTATCACCTGGCTTCTGGCCGGACCCTTTTTTTGGAAGATGTACCAGATTCTGCATGGAGTCCATACTGGGGCTTCAAACTCTTTTGTGCCTGCACACTACTAACAAATGTCCTGCCATTGTTCTTCTCTGTGGCCAGCTAGCACTGGTGGGAAACAGACTTACCTGTGGTTTTGTTTTCTAGTGCTGCTCTTAGCTTATATGAAAGGAAATGCCAACTTGTGCCGTGCCATTGTTCGGTCTGGGGCTCGCCTTGGGGTGAATAATAACCAAGGAGTCAACATTTTCAATTACCAGGTTGCCACGAAGCAGCTTCTGTTTAGATTATTAGGTAAGCAGCATACTTTCTGTACCTCCTCCAAAAACAGTTATAATGCCATGTGTACAAGTATTGGTGATCTTTAAATTGTTCTTTTGCTATTGTTGTTCTTGGTTTTGGGGTGTTTGTTTGTTTTGTTGTTGTTTGGTTTTTTTTTGAGGCAGACTTTATAGCTTTGGAGCCTGTCCTGAAACTCAATCTGTAGAGCAGGTTGGCCTCCAACTCACAGAGATCCACTTGCCTCTGCCTCCTGAGTGCTGGGATTAAAGGTGTACATGTGTCACCACCTCCCAGCAGTTTTTTTTTTGTTTGTTTTTTGTTTTGTTTTGTTTTTGAGACAGGGTTTCTCTGTGTAACAGTTCTGGCTGTCCTGGAACTCACTTTATAGTGAGTTTCAGGGTAGTAGCCTGAAACTCAAAGATCCAGCTCTAAATTTCATACTTTACTCTTAAGATCTGAACCTGCTGTTTCTAGGCACCATGTAAGGCTCTTTTCTCTGGAAGAGGAAGGGCCTTTTTTCAGAATGTTTGCTTTGACATCCCTGTTGTTTTCCCATTTCCCCTCAACATTTAAGAGGCCCACAAGCTCTCCACTGGTAATATTGACTATGCCCCGTGGCTGGTTTTATTTGTTTAATAATTTTTAAAGACTTATTTGTATGAGTGTTCTGTTTGCATATATGCATGTCTACCACATGCATGCTTGGTGCCAGTAGAGGTCAGAAGAAGGTATCAGATGCCCCCTGGAACTGGAGTTAGGGATAGTTGTGATCCATGGTGTGATATGGGAACCTGGGTCATTTCCAAGAAAAACAAATACTCTTCACTATTGAGCCATTTCTCCAGCCCTCAACTATTTTAATTCTTACTTGTATGTTTTTATGCCTTTCTTTTGAGATGGTAGCAAGAATTAGAATGTCATAAGCCAGGTGTGGTAATGGCAAACATGTATTATCCTAGCAGGAAGATCAAGAGGTGAAGGCCAGGGGCTGGACAGACCTGGTTTCTGTTCCCACATGGGAATCCAATGCCCTCTTCTGACCTCCAGGGGCACTGCACAAGTGTGCTGTATATACATACATGTAGGCAAAGCACCCATACAGATAAAATTAAATTCAATTTCATTCAATTCATGTGGGTCCATCACCATCTACAGTTAGTAGAAGGACATACTAGTGTTCTGCAGCACATTAGTGCAACTATACTGACACACACATTTTATAAAGAACTAGTAAAAGGGCTCAAGTGTTTCCAACATGAAGAACATTAAGGAAAGAGGAAGGATAATTAATTATCTTGATTGGAACATCACATATTGGTATAGCAGATCTTCATACCATATCCCAAAAATAGATTATAGAGGATCAATTTAAATTTTGAGGGTCAGCAAGATAATTCAGCAGGTAAAGAGCTTGCTGCACAAGCATAATAACCTGAGTTTTGTCCCTGAAACCCACATAAAGGTGGGAGCAAAATGGCTCCACAGAGTTGTCTTCTGACTATCACATACACTTCATGGAATACTATACATGCACCCATAGGTACACTTTATTTTTAAAAGACTTTCTTTCAATGGGGCTGGAAAGATGTCTTAGTGCTGGCTGCTCTCTGAGGATCCAGGATCCAGGTTCAGTTCCCAGCATCTACATGGTAGTTCACAACCATTTCACAACCATTTATAACTTCAGTTCCACCTGACACTTTTCTCCCACACTCTGTATGCCAATGGGAAAAAGACATACATGCTAACAGAATGGCCATACATATCAAATAAAATGAAAGGTTCTTTTTTCTTTCTTTTTTTTTTTTTTTAAGAAAAATGCATTTATTTCTAAAGAATTTTTAAATTTCTGTGAATGTATGTGTACCTATGAGTTTATATGCTCCTCTATCATTCAGGTACCCTCAGAGTGTCATACCCCCTGGAATCAGAGTCTTTAACCACTGAGTTATCTCTCCAGCTTATATATTTATTTATTTTTTAAAGAAAGCTATGTGCTATTGATATGTCTTAATTGTCTCTGTGCTATGCACTGGGTCAGCCTTTTCAGCACTCAGTAGGTGCCTATGGCAATGCTAGCTCCATGTGACCAACCCATCTGGTGGCCCTCCCTGTACGGAACAGCAGCATCCTGCCTAGGACACTTTGCCAACTTACAAAGTAAAGATGCAACCTCTTTACATTAGTTCTTTCTTGAGGTCCTTTCTCTGTTGGTCCCACCAGACTGAGTCACTCTATCCAGAAATCTGAGACTCCCTTTGTCTCTTTGTTGTTTACACATCCCACTTATCTGTTCAAAACAGCCCCCCCCCCCCCAATTCAGATTCTTCATTTTCTTCATTGTGGTTCCCTCTACTGTTTCCAACCCTTCAGCCCCTGGCATTTTTTCTGTGGTGTGGTTTCTGCTCTCCTCCTCAATATGTGTTAGCCCACACATGCTGCTGTTTCACACCTCCAGCTGGGTTTCCTTCTGTTCCAGCATGCCTGGGAAGTGCTGGTTCTCCAGGTTCCTCTGTGAAGCTCCCCCTCACCCATTGGAATGTCCCACTCCTCCTCCTGCAGTCTAATGCACCTGCTGCATCATGCTGTCCTTTCAGAGACTGTTTCCAACACATCACTGTGTAACAAGTTGTCTTTTCTATGTGTTACAGATATGCTCTCCAAGGAGCCTCCATGGTGTGACGGCTCCAACTGCTATGAGTGCACTGCCAAGTTTGGAGTCACAACTCGTAAACATCACTGGTAAGACCCTACCGTTGTTTGCAGAGGAGTAGGAGCTTCATATTTGTCCATAATGAACCATGAGCCCTACAGGCCTGAGCCTCTTCCAGGCAAAAGTTTACCAAACAGAATGAGGGGTTGATAGAACTGAGCAGGATCCACTGTGAAGGGAGAATAGGAAAGAAGGAGCACTCAGATTGTGGCTTTCCTGGGTGCTAAGGTTCTATCACTGCCTCACAGGGTGCTAGGGACTAGACAGCAGTTTTAGCAAGGTGGGGCAGCTGTGTTTATCTTCTCATTTGCTCTAGCTTAGCCACCACAGTTAGTATTTCATTAAGAACTAAATAGTGTAAGTGAATTGGTGTAATCTGCTTGGCTGTGGAAACAGTATGTTCTTGTGCTTCTCATACTTCTTTCTTTGCCTCCACAGTCGTCATTGCGGCCGTCTTCTTTGCCATAAATGCTCAACCAAGGAGATTCCTATTATAAAGTTTGACCTGAACAAGCCTGTGCGGGTTTGCAACATTTGCTTTGATGTACTGACTCTGGGCGGAGTCTCTTAGTGAGCCCCCAGGAGGGTCCAGGCCTGTGTCCCCCTGGCACCTCCCCAGCAGCTGCTCTACTCACCAGCCTGCCTCCTACCCAGAGCAAGAGCAGGCAGTTGTCTTCCTGCGGCAGAAGACTGGAATAATTACAGGCCATGGTGTGACCCCATTTCAGATGATTCTATATGACTGTCAGACTGTGGTCTAGTGCACTAGATGTCTCACTGGTTGGACCAGGCCAGTATAGCCTGTGTGACAATTGTGATAGGAATCAGCTAGCAGCACACAAGGACATTTGAAGACAATTTTCCCTTTTGGTAGTATAGCATCCATCTCAGAGAATTCACAAAGTCTTCCTGCCTGGGATGAATTAGAGGCAGAGCCTGACAAAGTAGAGCCACAGCTGCTACATGAGAGCTATTACTCCAGGGTGGTGGCTGCTCTAAGTGGCTATGACCTTTAATGCACAGTGTTTTCATGAAGATAATAGGAACCTCTTGCCCTCAAGTCTTTTCTTTCTTTTTAAAGCTAAGCTGTATTTTTTAGTGAGCTGTCCCTTTTGAAAAGGTGAAATCTTTCTAAACAGGGTTCAAAGATGAGAGCTGAAAAATTGTGGCCTTAAACAACCTAAAGCTTTACCAATGTTGATGCTGCTGGGGGTCAGTGCAGTGGCAGCTTGACACCTAGCAGCTGTCTCACTCTCTCGTCGTGCTGCGTCCTGTCTATGGAGTCCTCAGTCGCTGCCACTTGAGTGGTAGAAGAAATGCACTTTGACTGTGCTGCACTTTTTCTAAAGCTGCATCATTGGTGAATCCAATTCAAAAATACCTTCACATACCCTTCTATCAGTGGTTCTGATGGCCAGCTTGGACTGAACCTCAGCACACACTAATCATAAAGGGAAAACTGCCAAGAAGGAAGAAATTCATACTCCCTGACACGTCCTTCCTGCTAAAACCTTGCCTTGCATGCCAAGTGCTGTTGGTGCCCTGCCCCATCAGAGCCAGCAGCCAAAGGCCCTGGCCAAGCTAAAAGCAGCCTGCTGTATAAGACTGGCTGAAACATGGATGAAGCAAGGCTCTGAAGCACAGGGCTTGGGTTCCTGCTGCTGCCTGTACTAACCCTGGGATGCTGGGCCTCTTCCTTTTTAAAGTTGGGCCGGTGTTTTGGGTTTCTGGTTTGGAATTTTAATTTTTTAAATTTTATTTTATTGCACACTGAAAGAGAAACTTTTTTTTTTAAGGAAACAATGCTATGAGATGAACACTATCTAATTACATTCAAGAAATTAACAGTGTCAATCACACATATTGATTTTTTTTGAGACATTTGATAGCTTATATGATTTGCATTAATGGAGTATAGATGAATGAATAAAAGGGACTTCTTTTGGCATCACCTTCTTTCTTGGATAGTGGTATGTCCTCTGTGTGTAGAGTTAAACTTTTTACTGCCTAAATATGTATAAAATGTGCTGATAAACCAGTGTGCTACTTTCTAAGATACTTGTGTGATTTATATGTTAATATTAGCCTATATGCAGAGTTTGAAAGGAAGAGTTACTTAGAGGAGTGCCGCTGTCTCCAGCCTCTGACTTGTGTCATGGAAACATTTAGCTAGTCTTAGCCAACAACTATATGAATCATGTGGTCAGTTTCTAATTTTCATTGCCTAAAAGGGTCACACAGACCTAGAATTTAGTTGGTACCATGATTCTTTAATGAGGAAGGTTAATTACGGTTCTGCTATGAACCAAGGTGATCGGTACACATACACTTGTTTTTCACGTTCACAATGAAGAGGGGAAAATAGGGAATCAGGATAAAGCTGATCATTTTGTCCTTGCCCTACACTCAGTAACAATCTTGCCTATAACTGTACTTACAATCTGAAGATCATTCCTAAAAGTTGGTTTCGACCTTCTGTTCCTTCAGAGGTCAGCACAGTGACCAGCTATGGCTGCGAGAAGCTGTGTGCCTTCGCCATTGGTACCCATGCTGTAGGTATGTATGGCTCAGGCACCCTTCCACAGCCCAACCATGCTGTGTTCCCTGTGCTGCACTCCTGCTCTGCACTGCCCTGGCCTGTATCTCTCCTGTGCTCTGTCCATGCTGACCAGACTTCACCATGAAACTGCTTAGCTGTTCTTGTTCAGTTTTAATCAGTACCCTGAGAACTAGCAGCAAAACATTTTATTCACTCAAAAAGTTGCCAGCTGTGAATGAGCAGAGCAGGAAGAATAAACTTTACTGAAACATAATTTCTGTGTCAGTTAGCACTACTGTGCTTACCTAGTTTTTTAACTGCCTCTTACTGTACAGTGTATTATTAAGGGTTTTTTGTTTGTTTGTTTTAAAGACAGGTACAAAACATGTGCTTGAAACTAATTTGCTATGATCCTCTAACACAGCGATGTCCCACAAGCTTAAGTGCCTACACTGAGGACGCCTTTGTTTCCAGTTATCTTTTCACTGGTGTCTCACTCAGTGATGTGTTAGAACACAAGTTTTGGGCCTATTCCACCCCAATAACCAATTCAGTCAAGGCTGAATATTCACTGCTCAGTTCGGCTGCCATATTCTCTCCAAGCAGTGGGGTCCATGTGATGTTTCATCCTCTACCTCAGAGCCCTGAGTTGTTTCTGACTACCTGTCAGCTTCCCTTTCCTTGAATGGGTCTTTCAGAGAACTGGGTGTGTGTGTTCTCACTGCGCTTCCCAGTTCGTGCCTGGCCCCCATACTGAACTGTTCCAGCACTAGTCTTATTTGCAGAGAGGGGGTGGGGGTGCAAAGCCTCCATCTAGGATGATTTCCTTACCTGGAAAAAGGAACGTGGCTGAACTGCCCCATACTTAGGCCTGAGAGACAGCGACAGCATCATGTACAAGTAAAAAGTTTGCCTCCCTCACAGACACTGGCTTCCTTCAGGACCAGCCCCCTAGAGCCACCTGAAGCTCCCAGCTCCCCTGTGGGCCCAGCAGAGGAAGCAGCACAGCACAGGCCTTCGAGCTGTGTTCACTTTACAGAACTGACGGAATGAAAAACTGAGTGTGTGGCTGGTTCACTAAATATAGTAAATTCCCAGATATCATAGATGCCTTAAAGACTTTGTCTGGAGGACCACTGCCTATACAGTCCTCTTTGGTGTGGCATAAGTAATATATTAACTGTTATGACTAACAACATTGGTTTTCTATAGCAAGGGAGTCTGGGGACTACTGGACTTAATGACTTGCCTGTTTGGCAGCCATGTGGAGCTGGGTGTTCTGTGACATCCTTGTGGTACCAAGAACAAGGCAGCAGCTGGGCCTTTAAAACTGCAGGCACATGTTTGGATAGTTCATTTTGGCTTCCAAACCACTCTGGTGGTGCTCAGTGTGGGAGTGACAGCATCATCTGGGACCGTGGCGCTTAGCAGCATTGTTTCTTTGAAGTCTGTAATGGAATGTATTTTTCAAATACTGGTATTTTCATTTTCTGTAATAATCCTTATAATAAAAATAAGGTAAAATTGTGAATTTTAAGTGGAAGCGTTAATTATAGACATTTAAGGCTACTTCTAACACACAAGTACCAATGAACACTAAAAAACAAATTTTAATAAATTAAGCCAGGTGGTGGTAGTGGTACACCTTTTATCATAGAGCCAGGGGGATATCTGAGTTCGAGACCAGCCTGGTCTACAGAGCAAGTTCCAGGATAGCCAAGACTACATAGAGAAACCCTGTCTCAAATATAGGGGCTAGAGAGTTGGCTCAGTGGTTAAGCACAGTTGTTACAAAGGACCCAGGTTCCATTCTCAGCACCTACATGGAAGCTCTGGCACCAGACGTACATGATACACAGATGTACATGCAGGCAAAATACTCATGCATGTAAAGTATAAGAATAATACAATATTTAAAAATTGATAAGTGAACAAACCAATGTCTTGAGCAGCTAGCTACCCTTTACATTTCAAATTTTACATTTCCCGTGACACATGTTGACAGATGTCACAAGGTATTTTGTGTGGCATGAGCTGCTGCTGCATTCCCTGCCTCCCAAGTGGAGGCTCCAGTGGTGCATGTGAGTGCTGATAGTTTCAGCTGTCTGGCCCCATGGAAGTTGTCCAAAGAACTCTGGACTCCTTTATTCCATTATTTCAAAGCAACTATAAGGATTTACCAACTGCCCAAGATGAAGAAAAAGAGGGTAGAGGGCTAGCACTATGGGCTTCAGAGAATGTTAAGGGACCTGCAGATTAAAATCTGGTCCATAAAACTTCAAATCTAGTACAAAAAAGAAAAAAAAATATTCTAGTAAGCAAATTTTCAGGATGCTTACTCCGATTAATGTGTTTCTTTTTTCTAGCCCTCTTCATTTGCTTGCCCCCAATTCAGACTAGATGTGGTGATCTAGCTCGTTTTGTAGGGGCTTCTTAGGAACATGGATGAACCCATCCCCTTCAATCCCAGCATTTGGGAACCAGGCTCAGGACTGTCTAGAATTCAGAACAAGGTCCTTGGGCAGTTCCTGCCCTGGGAGTGCAAAATAAGTATTCATTGTCCATGAATGTATGACTCAGTTCCGCGTGTTTAGTGTGAGGCTGACAGGATCAGGGTTCAAGCCCACAAGGGTAGTTTTTTTTTTTTTTTTTTTTTTTTTTTTGGTGCAGCTCTGGGTGGCCGGAACTTGATATGTAGACCAAGCTAGTCTCAAACTCAAAAGATCTGCTTGACTCTGCCTCCCAAGTGCTAGGATTCAAGCCTACCATGCCCACAAGAGATGAGGAACGAAATGCTGGTGGAGAACTAAGTGTTAAAATCTACTCTCCGGGCCTATGGCTAATGGAAGGTACCTAGGCAGGGCCTGTGTAGACAGAACTGTTGAGAAGTAGACAGGAGACAAATGAAGTGAGGGAGAGAGATTCACCAAAAGGGTTTGTGTGTAGGGATTATATAGAGCAGGACACACAGGAAAGGAATAAAGTAAAGCCAGAAAGGCAATGCAGGGGACTCCTCTGCCACAGTGCTGTGTGATCCTCAAAGATACAGGAAGCCCCTGTACTAGCTGGTTTTATGTGTCAGCTTGACACAAGTTAGAATCATCATCAGAAGGAGCCTTAGTTGAGGAAATGCCTTGATGAAATACAGCTGTAAGGCATTGTCTCATTTAGTGATCAATGGGAGAGGTTTCAGCCCATGGTGGATGGTACCAGGTCCTGAGTTCTAGAAGAAGGTAGTCAGAGCAAACCAGGGGAAGCAAGCCTAGAGCACTTCCTCTCCATGGCCTCTGTATCAGCTCCTGCCTCCAGGACCTGCCCTGTTTTGAGTTCCTGTCCTGACTTCCTTCAGTGACAAACAGCAATGCTGAAAAGCCCAATAAACCCTGGTTATGGTGTTTTGTCACAGCAACAGAAACTCTAAGACACTCTGCATGGTTTAAGTGAGGACTACCCTAATCATCATGAAGAAAGATGACTTAACACAGCAGTGGGTGGAACAAGGCGACCAGAGGGAGGAGGGGTAAAGAGGAAAAGCTAGTAGATGAAAAGCTAAGATTGTAGACTGGCCAGGAGGCAAGAGTTCCACCACCAGCCAGGCTTTTCCCTGGAGCAGAGTGGGGATGGGATTGGTCATACGGTGTCCTGAACAAAACCAATTTGGGAAGGAAAGGATTTGTTTTATCTTACACTTTCCAGGTAACAAATTATGGAGCAATGGTGCTAGCTGGCTTGCTCAATTCTCTCTCTCTCTCTCTCTCTCTCTCTCTCTCTCTCTCTCTCTCTCTCTCTCTCTCTCTCTCTCTTCACTCTCTCCTCTCTCTCTCTCTCTCTCTCCAGGCTGTCCTAGAACAAACTGTAGAACAGACTGGCCTCAAAGTTAGCGATCCACCTGTCTCCCTTGGGATTAAAGGTATGTACCTTTAATGACTCCATGCTTGGATTTAGCTACCTTTCTTGTACAACCAGGCCCACCTACTCAGGGGTGACACAGCCCACAATAGGCTGGTGCCCCCCCACCTTACCCTATGCATGTGTCCCCAATTAGCAATTAAAGAAAATACCTAGTCCCCATTCACACACAAAGAGGGACATAAATGAATCTGGCATGCTGCTTCTTCATGTGTTTAATTTCTGAGTAGGAGGCAGAGGCAAGTGGAATCTCTGAGTTTGAGGCCAGCTTGGCCACACAGCAAGTTCCAGGGAAGGCAGAGTTTCCCAGAGAGATACAGTTTCTTTCTTTCTTTTTTTTTAAACAACAAATGAAAGAAAGAAAATGCCTAACAGACATGCCATAGGCTACTATGATCTGGGCAATTCTTCAGTTGCGACTCTCTTCCCAGGTGTGTGTCAAGTTGACAGCTGAAACTATTATCTGCTGACAGGGAGGATGAAGGCTTTAGCAATGTAGGATTTGTAGGGCTAAGGAGATGGCTCAGCTGGTAAAGTACCTACCACACAAGCAAAAGGACTGGAATTTGAATCCTTGTAAAAATCCAGGCATGATGACACACACCTGTAGCCTAGCACTGGAGAGCAAAGAGACAGGAGGATTCCTGGAGCTTGCTGGCCAGCTAGTCTTGTCAAATAAAAGTTACGGGTTCAGTGAGAGACTTTGTCTCTCATAAGGTGGAGAGAAATACAGGAAGACATCTAACATCACATATCACTGATTTATGCACACATACATCATGTATGCAAAAGAAAAAAAGCAATGTGGGGTTTGCAGTACCTCCAGAAAGAGCTCACAGACTTCATTATCAAGCCCTATGGATCAGAGATACTGCCTAACAGTGTACTGCCTGAAGTAGGAGAAAGAAAAGCCAAGCAGAAGAAGGTTCCTGGGGATGAACCACGAGACACAGGAGGAAGAGCTGCCAGTGGTGTCAGTACAGCAAATGACAGCTTTATGGGGACCTTGCAGGACATGGCCAACACAGTCAAGAGCAATGAAGATCAAGGGTCTAGGGATGTAGCTCAGTTGGTAAAGTGCTTGCCTAGCATCCATACACCTCTGGTTCAATCCCTAGTACTGCAAAAATTGGGCATGGTAGCACATACCTACATATTGAGTTCAAGGCTAGTCTGGATACATGAGATCCTGTCTCAAAAAAGACAAGTAATTTTTAAAAAAGTAGCAGGATCAAAAATAGGTAAGAATTAGCAAGGCATGGTGGCACAAGCCTTTAATCCCAACACTTGGGAGGCAGAGGCAGCTGAATCACTGTGAGTTCCATGCCAGTCTGGTCTACCAAGTAACTTCCAGGACAGCCAGAGCTACAGGAGACCTTCCTCAAATATGAAAATGAGAGCATCAACAACAAAGACAGGTAAGAACTGACCCCTGCAGAGAAGGCAGGGGAATTTGGCAGTCAGTGAATGAGGTTGAGAAACTTGGAGCAGAAGCCCCTTTCAAAAAGTGTGGCATTTATAGAAATTCAGGGAATGGAGGGACACCTTTTCATTAATGATATAAGGAAGTGAGCAGTTCAATACACATTAGGGCAGGGGGAATCTGGGTGTGCTCCATCTGTGTAAGTAGAAGCTTTCCTATCCCAGAATCAACCCATCCTAGTTTATTATCACATCTCACTGTACCAGCCCAGCTCTGGAGTCAGTAAATTCAAGTTTGCCTTGCAGGTTTGAGAAATGTCACAAAAGTCAGCGATTATGAGCTTAGTCAGTTACCTTGTGATTTAGAACAGTTACCTTGATTCTGCAAGATGCACAGCTTCTTGGGAATTGCCTGCATCTCTGCTCAGAGCCACAGTATTGTTCTGCTACTGCTCCAAGTACCAGCAGGACTGGTATGATGGGCAGAGCCCAAGCTCTGATTAGGGCAGCATGAGTCCATGGGAAGTCCCTTGCTGGAGCTCACAGACTCTTTCTCCAAGCAGTTCTACATTGATCACACTGTGTTCATTAATGTCTGCAGGCTCTGAAGGAAGATGACAGGGCACCAAGATTCCAAATAGTGTCAAAACAATCTGAACACATCAGGTAGGCTATAAGGTTCTTCTCTCAGCCAACAGAATTGTGACACACATTTGCAAAGTGAGCTGAGTCCTTGACCCTCCTATTTTCATGCCAGGAGCCTCCTAGAGCACCAATATTAAGGGCTTTCTGGAGACCTAGGGAAGGTTCTCCATGTGTCATCAACATAGAGGTCACCATCTTAGAGTGGGAAGGAACACTCAATGGCCAGAGGTGAGCAGCCTGTGTATTCTTCCAAGTTGGGGTTGTCCAAGTCCCCACGATTGGAATGTCTAGGGTTGTCCTGCTGGTCACTAGGGGGGCCAGTTGTTCTCACACACACACAGTGGGGCTCCTTGGCCCCTGGCTTATACAGCTTCCTGGGGACACCAATCCAGTCTCTGTTCACACCTCCACTAGGAAAGAGGGAAAGAGGATTTCTTAAAAGCATCAACTTACAAGCCCCTGGGACAAGAGGAAGAAACACTTGCAGGGTATTATGAAAAGGAGAAGCACTTCATTCCACTTCCTATCTCAACCTCGGCCATAAGCTCCCGACTTCTCTGGCTTTCCACACACAATGCTAATACTACTATCTCTAGAAGGAAGTAAGAGTCCATGTCCCTTTCACTGTTCCCTTGCCCCAACCCCTTTTCTTTCTCAAGCTGCAGTGGTGTCACTTCTCTGAGCTGGTGCTAGTGACTGAGAGGTCTCCCCGACCAGCCAGTAAGCAGTCCTAGCTGGGAATGAGTCACTCGTGCAGGCCTTGGTTACGTCTGTTCTGGAACAGCCTCATTTCTCCATCTGAAATGATCTGAGAACTGAGCTACAAACCTTCACAGCCACAGACTGAGCTGCTCTGCCATGCCTTCCCTGCCACAGCGGACTGTACTCAATACAACCATACAACTGGTTAAATCTTGGCCCCTTAAACTGCTTCTTTCAGGTGCTTTATCACAATACGTAAATGAAAATAACTCAGAAGACCTAGTATGCATAGTACATGTAAGCTCCCTCCATTAGCAGTCAGTTGTGGAGTTCCTAAATAATAAACACACAAATTAATAAAAGGATGACTTAGAAGCTGGATTCAGGAGAGGTAGCAGAGCAGAAGGGAAGCCTGCTTACCTCTTTTGGGAGCACCAGAGCCGGCTGCCTTTGGCAGAGCTCCACTCAGCATTACATGGAGGGAACTTCTGCTTATCTCTCTGTTGCTGTTCATTTGCCTCCATGCCTTTAGTTACCATGGCTTCTACCTGGGTTAGTTCTGAAGTGGGCAGTCCATCCTCTCCATAGAACCTTCCAACCAATCTCCCTGAGATAAGAAGCAAAAAGGTCAGTCAGAGTAGCAGAAAGGGTAAGCCAAATAAATCATTTTCTTTCCAAGTTCCTTCTGGGCATGGTGTTTCATAACATCAGCAGAAACCCTAAAACAGAAGTTGACACCAAATTTACAGGGTACTGCTGTGACAGACAAGACCAACTGTTTTTTTTTTTTTTTTTTTTTTTTTTGTTGGGGTGTGTGTGTGTGTGTGTGTGTGTGTGTGTGTGTGTGTGTGTGTGTGTGTGTGTTTTGTTTTGCGAGGACTGTAGAAGGGCTCTGGAACTTTGGGCTAGAAAAGCCACTGAGTGCTCAAAGCTTGGTGAGATGTTCTGTAGGAGCTTGGAAGACAAGAGTGTGAGAGAAATGCAGATGATGGAGGCCTGGCTTGTGAAGTTCAGAGGGAGCGTGAGAGCCATAGAAAGACTCTCTCAGGACCATTTGCTACTTTGCATTTAGAACCTGTGGTTCTGCTAGCTGCCAATATGGGGGGGGGGGAAACTTTTTTTTTTTTTTTGGTTTTTCAAGACAGGGTTTCTCTGTATTGTTTTGGAGCCATGCCTGGAACTCACTCTGTAGACCAGGCTGGCCTCAAACTCAGAAATTCACCTGCCTCTGCCTCCAAGCCTGGCTATGAAATGATCAAATTTTTATCACCTCCATATAACACCAATTCCCTGAAGACAGAATCATGTGTATGACATTTATCAATGCTCTGTAGTGCTTGAGGAACACTAAGTATTTAGTAAATTTTGGGTGAATATACTTACTGTTTATTATCTCACATTTTTCTGAGTCCATGTCAAATTATTTTGTCTTACAGAACTATTTAGACAGCTCAGAGCCCATGTTTTCTCCTCCACCACTTTCTTCTGACTCAGTCTTTAGTAGACATTAATTCTTTTCCCACAGGGGAGCGCATGAATGCAGTCCCCCACTACCACAAATTATGCAGTCAAGTTTCCTGTATTTGGGGAAATTGCAGGGGTCAGCACATCCAGAGTGCAATGGATGAGCCTCGCTCTGGGAAAACCACCTTCCTGATCATGGTATTTCCTCTGCAGGTAAGCATGTGAACATTACTTTTTAAAATGGTTTTCAGAACTTTTTAATATTGAAGCTATGAAAGCAACTACCAAGTGGTTGCAGCCTACAGGCAGCAGAAAAAGGGTTCCATTCTCCTTGAGTGCCACAGCTTGCTGTATCCAAGTCCTGAGGTGCAAAATGTCTTAAAAGGCATCACCATATTGGATAGAGGAAGCCCAGAAAACACTTCAGGGAGGCTTGAGCAAGTAGGAGGTAGTGTGGTTCCCTGTCCCAACTGTGTGGGTCCAACCTCTATAGCCAGTCTCCAAGAACTGAGCTGAATTTAGGTTTCAATGGAAAGCCCTGGACTTCGTTCATACTCTCGAGTCCACCAACTTTCCTGTGGTGGCTTTACATCAGAAATGGCCTCTATAGGCTCAGGCATTTGAGCACTTGGTTCTGAGTTGGTGGTGCTATTTGGAGAGGTGGTGCAGACTTGCTGAAGAACGACGACACCGAGGGCAGAGAGATTTGAGTATTTATATCCTGGCTGTCCTTCCAGTTCACACCCTCTGACTGCTTTGTGATTATACTTAAAGATGTGATCCCTTAAAAAAAAAAAAAAAGTAATCTTTCAGCTTCCTGATTAACCACCTGCTGCCATACCTCCCCCAACATTATGCATTATGGACTTTCTTTCTGGAACCAGTAAGCCCAAATAAAGTTGCCTGGGTCTTGGTAATTTGTCAAAGCAACAGAAACTAGTACATCCCTTGGGCCACCTGACAAGAGCAGTGGCTCTCTCCTGACCCTCTCATGCAGATATGCACTTCCCTTCAAAATCTTGCCATTTCTAACTCTGAAATATATTCTGATTCTGTCCACTCCTGTTGATTTCCACTGCTGCCACCTTTTCCAAAATGAAGACTAAGACAACAGACTTCCAACTGGTGCCTGCTGCAGCTCAGACTTTCCTACAGTACTTCCTTCACAAAGCATCTGGACACTTCTGCCCCAGTGCTCTCAGATCAGAACTGGGGCTCCAGAGAGGGTGAGTGTTCTGCGACTAAGGTATATACCTAGTAACCTTTATTTTGAGACAGGGCCTAGCTGAGGCTTTTGAGTCTCCTGGCTCAGTTTTGCAAGTTTTAGAATCATAGACCTAATTTGGGTGCTCTTTTCATATTTTAATTTTTATTTTATGTGTATGAATGTTTTGATTGACTATGTCTGTGTACCACATGCATTTGGTGCCCATGGAGATCAGAAGGGGTGTCAGATTCCCTGGAACTACAGTTAACAGATGGCTGTAAGCCACCATGTAGTACTGGGAACTGAATCTGGTCCTCTGAAAGAGCAGCCAGGGCTTTAACCACTGAGACATATATCTCTGCAGCCCCTGAGTACTCTTTTTCTTTCAACATGAATTATAAATCACTTCTATGCCTGACTAAAACCCTCTAGTAGCTACTCAAAGCACAGAGTAAAATAAAACTCCTTACCTAGGTCTGCAGGTTCCACCAGCCATTTGGCTGTCTACTTGGCCTCTTAAGTCACTTGCTCCTTCATCCCTGTGGGCTCCAGCACACATATTCCTTGAGTGCATAACCAGGTCTTGCTGACATCCACCTCAGACACCACTCCTTCCTCGGCCTGCTACACTCTCCCAAATCTCAGTATGGCTACCCTTCCTTCTGCTAGGTTCGTGCACTGTCATCAACTCTAAGAAGCCTCCCTTGGCCATCAATTCCAAAGGTAACTTATACCCCTAAGCATGCATCCCATGGTTTTATTCAAAGCCCTGTGTAGAAATGTCTGCTTAGTTAGAAGGTGTCCTGTGAGGCCCAGTACTCAAAACAACTTCATAAACAACATCTGTTTTAAACATCTGCCACATGAACAGATGAAGGATCAGGACCTTAATGCCAGATCAGAAGTCTTTAGGTTGGCTTACCACCAAACTTTTGGGTACAGAGGGCTTTGTATGGCATAGGGTGAGCCTATCTTGTTGAGGTTTAGACATGATAGCTAAAGAGAGAATAGCATGAGCAGAGGCAGAGTTTTAGATGCTCTATTATGAGAACAGGTTTACCAGCTGGGTCTCTAAATGTGTATCCAGTGAATAACAAATCTACCTCATTTTCCCTTGAGATCCAGTAACTACAATAGCTTCTTAACTGTGTTTACGCCAATATGCACCTTAGAAATCTGCCTTTATCCTCTGATGTCCCTCAAAGTGTTATGCCCCCAAGCCAAATCTTTGGCAGGCATTGCACTGAACATACTCCTGTGTTGTGGAATATTTGTATACTGTGTGAAGATGTATTGCTGTTATTGGTATAATCAAGAACCAAATGGCCAGTAGCTATGTAGGAAGAGGTTAGGCAGGACTTCTGGGGACAGAGAGGGCTCTGGGAAGAAGGGCAGAGATGCCAGGAAACAGGAGGTGCAAGATGAAAGAGAAGTAACACTGCTTGATAGAATGTAGATTAATATAAATGGGCTGATTTAAGTTATAAGAGCTAGTTAGGAACAAGTATAAGCTATAGGCTGAGTTTTCGTAATTAACAATAAGTCTCCATGTCATTATTTGTGAGCTGGTGACCCAAAGGAAAGTCTTACTACATTCCTGGTCACTGTGAGGACCACAATTGTAACACTAGTTACAGTTGTTCAAGTGCTTCCCAACTAACCAAAGTTCTCCCATAGGCTTTCCACCCATACCCCCTCATCACATTCACATTCCACACTGTTCCTATATACACTCCTTCCCAAGCTACCCCCAAATCACTCCATGGCGTTTGGTGTGGCATCCTTTGTTCACTCACAGGATTCCATTCTTCGTCTCTGCTTTCTTTCCTTTCAGAAGAAATAGTCTTGACAACAGAAATATCTTATAATAAAATTGATCCTAAACATCCAAAGTAAAAACAAAACAAAAAATTCACCCAGGCTTAGTGGCTCACACCTTAAATCCCAGGAGGATTAAGACTTCAGTGCCAGCATCAACTATGCGACAAGTTTGAGGCCAGCTTGTTTAAATAAAAAAAAAAAAACAAGAAAAACAAAAACCTCACCATAAAACCCCAGGGAGGCCTCAGGAACAACTATAACTCATCTGAGCATAAGTGAAGCTGAATATGATCATTTCTGATAATGGATGAAAATAGAAACAAAGTCTAACTAACCCCTGCCAGTCACAAGCAGCCAACTAGCTTAGGACTCTGTGACCAGGAACTTTCCAACAAGTTAGCAGAAAACCAAAAACAAACAAACAAACAAATAAGTAACAGAATTTTAAAAGCTGGGACTGCTTGCATAGCATGCAGGACTTCATTGGGTCAGCAACATTTCAACTGTCACTTGGCAACATCATGAAGAACAAGAAGAAACAAGTGCACTGAATAAGAGGACAAATATGGTTGTGACCTTGGGAACTATCTAGGGCCGACTAAGGGGAACAAAGAAGGGTATGCCGAATGTGGGGTTAGGAATGGATGAAGATGAGGAGGGTCGGGGAGTGGAATGGAAAGCCACTCACTTCAGATCTTATAAAATCAGAGCTGGAACAACTGGATGTTGAGTAGAGGAGTTAAGAAAAATACCATGGTTCTCAGAATAAGAAGCCCAAGCAGTAATGAAAGCAAGCCTTTAGAGGCATTATGGTCAGGAAATTCTAACCTAGACCTGCTCCAATGGTAAAGGGACACTGGTATCCACCAGAAGTCAGTCATGCCCACGTGGGGCCCCATGAGCAGTGGGGCTGCCCACAGATGACAGGACTGGCCTTAGCCATCCTAGCTCTCAGGGCTTTGGAAAGACTGTAGTGATGAGTGTCTGTCAGCTGCCTGCTCACTCAAGAGTTGCATTCCCTTATGTATTACCAGTAAGCAACAAGTGCAAGAGGACACACTGATTGCATTAATACATGAGATGGAGGCAGCAGGATCAGGAATTCAAGGCTGGCCTGATTTGCATAGTGAGTTTGAGACCAGCCAGGATACATGAAACCCTGAATGAATTAATAAATTAATGCATGATTAGCTTATCTTCCATCTCAGAAACACTTTGCTCAGGATGTCTGCTTCATCAGAGAACAATTGAAACGAAGTGTCAGAACCACACACAAGTGGCTTCACGCCTTCCTAACTGTACTGGAGCCATAGGGAGGCTGCCTCTGGATCTGGCTGTTATGTTCAACACAGATGACACCAAAGTACAGGCGTGGCAATGACCTCCCAAGATTACCTACAACTTCATCTTCTTCTGGACATAACTCCTGCACTAATAGCAAGAACATAACATAAAAAATCTGGGGCTGGTTTCAAATTTTGACCTTGAGCCCAATTCCTAAAAAGTCCAGGTCCCCTGAAGAATACAGCAAGATAACCAACTGAAATCTACAGCAATGGTCAAGGACTACGTACCGACAAATACGTAGTTTTTCTCGTAAAATGAGAGCCAATTGTGAAGTATCAGTATCTCAGCTGAGGACAAGCCAGTTACATCATCCACAAGGCCAACTTCAGAATAGTCTCCAGTCACAAATGCTCTGGATGCATCCCGGCCTTCAGGAAAGAAGTTGCCAAAGATTCGGTTATAAATCACAATATTATACCAAGTAAAACTTCTGCTCTCCTTTCTTTGTTGTTTTTTCAAGAGAAGGTTTCTCTGTGTAGCCCTGGCTGTCCAGGAACACACTCTGTAGACCAGGTGGCATCAAACTCATAGAGATCCATCCTGCCTCTGCCTCTCAAGTGCTACCACTTGCCAGGTGTGCTATCACTACCAGGCATACTTTTGCTTTCTGAAAAAACATGTCCCAACAAACCCTAGTCCTCACTCCCAGGGACCTCCTGGACCAGGGACATGAATGTTTGGCAACTGTCATCCACTTGCTTTTTTATTTGTTTTTGAGACAGGTCTTACTATGATTTGGTTTGATATGGAGCTTGTTATGAAGACCAGGCTGGCCTGATCTCACAGACATCAACCCACCTTCCAAATTCTGTCCCATCAGCTTTTATTTAATTTCAACAATTATTGAAGTGATAAAATTCAAATGATAACTTCTGGCTTCCATGACACTCCACTCCTGGTCTCCCAGCATCTCACAGTCTCCTTAGCCCTAGGGACCAATTATTATCTGCACCTTCTCACTTGACCAATGTCACTTAGCTGTCTCACAGACATCACAAGTTCAAAAAGCCTATCTTCGGTTACTGATCATCAGCCTCAGGAAATGGTCATTTGTCTAATGTTCCTTATCAACCAATTGCCCAATCTATAAATGCAAACTTAAGGCCTCTTTTAACCCTCCCATCTAATTAGTTCCAGAGTCTTTATTTTCTTCCTAAATAGTTCCTGTATTCATCCACCTGTCTCTTCCTGCTACCAAAGAATCCCAGACTGCTATCATCACTCAGATGAACTACCACAAGGAGCTCCAGTGGGACCTCATTTCATCCTACCAATCTATTCTCCAGGTAACACTCAGACTAGTATTTAATTTTCTTATTATAAAATTTTATTTTTTGTGTGTCTTTGTATATGTCATATGTGTTTGCATGTCTGTGTATGTGCATAAACACAGGAGGGGGCCAAAGGAGGGCATTGGTTCCCTGAAGCTCAAGTGGCCGGCAGTTGTGAGCCACCCAACATTGGTGCTAAGATCTGAATTCAGGTGCTCTGGAAGAGCATCAAGCACTCTTAACCGATGAGTCAGTCTCCAGCACTAGATTATTTTTATTGGTTTTGTTCTTTTGAGTCAGGGTCATACTATGGGGCTTTGGCTGGCCTGTAACTTGCTACTTAGACCAGGATGACCTAGAACTCAGACACTGGCCTACTTGTCTGAGTATTGGGATTAAAGGAGTGTGCCATCATGCCCAGCTCCCTAGACTGATGTTTAAATTTTTGTTTTTTCAGGACACAGTTTCTCTGTATACTTACTCCTGGCTGTCCTGGAACTTGCTCTGTAGACCAGAGTGGCCTTGAACTCAGAGATCTGTCTGTCTCTACCACCTAGTGTTAGAATTAAAGTCACATGCTACCTTGACTAGCTGTAACCAAACAAAAAAATTATCATGTCCCGTGGGCAGTGGTGCCACATACCTTTAATCCCAGCACTTGGAAGGCAGGAGGATCTCTGTGAATTCAAGGCTACCCTGGTCTATAAAGCAAGTTTCAGGATATTCAGGATTACACAGAAAAACCTTATCTTGGAGCCCCATCCCCCACTGTCCCCAAAAATGTATTGGCTATATTGCTGATTCACTATAGATGAACCTTCAAATTTCTAAGCTGAGAAGATAGACTAAAAGGACATGTGAGAGGTATGTGACTCTACTTATAGAAGGGACAAATCAATAATAACAGAATGTACACAGGAATTGCCAGGCTGTGGGGAGGTAGAGAATGGAGAGGGGCTGGGCAAAATGTTCTGAAATTCCATGATAATGATTGCCTATATAAAAACACTAATAAACTTTAAGTAAGTTTGCTGTGAATTGTACCTCAATAAAAATGAATACTGACTGCATAAATGAACACATCTACTTCTCTAATAGACTGTGTGTGCAGTCAGAGATATCTTGGACTCCTCCCCACCTGGCCAAGATAGGATCCATGGCAGTAGTCAATAAGTGTATGTCAAATATTGTATACACAGAACTCAACAGATACTAGCAGATATTTCATAAGGATCATCCCAGAAGTGGAAGTGTTTATGCCAACCCTTGTGCATACATCCATGACAGCATCAGACGTTGGTGGGACAGAGTTCTAAAGTGAACTCAACTGGCAAGAAAAAAAAAGCCTTGGTTCTAGTCCAGTTTTGTTTATAACTCTCTATCCTTGTGTAGATCCCTCCCTCTTCTGGACTCACTAAAGTTTGGAGAGAAAGAATGATTTGTATTTAAATGCAGCTTCCTAATTCTCCTAAATGACCAGTGGACAGCTTGAAATTTTTGTCAACCTAGTAACCAGTCCTAGGCTTGCCCTGAATTTTTCTTCTCCCAACAAAGTGAGGGGTAGTGTCCTTGGCTAGAGAAGCAACATCTTTAAAATTACTAGTGTGGGAGCTGGAGAGTTGGCTCTGTGATTAATAGCAGCAGCAGCTCCCCCAGAGGACCCAGGTTGTCCATCACAACCCTCCACACTTCCAGTTCCAGGGGATTTGAAAGCCTTTTCTGGCCTCCCTGGGCACCAGGCACACAGGTGGTTCAGAGATGTACAAGCAGGTAAAACATACATAAAATAAAATTTAAAGACAAATTTAAAAATTACTAGGCTGGGAGTTTTACCCATATGTTGAAAGGACTTTAGTCAAATTACATTTTTCTAGTCACCTCCATTGTTAAAGGAGGGAGGACAGCAGAATAAAGTTAATTTGATGAATGTTCTAGGGAGGACTAACATACCCAATTTTATTCTAAGAATTGTTTCGTCTTGTTTTTGAGCCAGCCTGGCCTCAAATTCCTGGCTGAATGGATCTTCCTAGCTCAAGGAATCTTCCTGTCTCAGTCACTCCAATAGTAGGACCACAAAACACCACCACTTCTAGCTTATTGTAGGCATTAAAAAAAAAATACTGTAAGAGTTAGTTGCTTTCCTGTACTCTAACTTCATCCCCCCCCCCTTTTTAAATAATCTTTTGCATCTACTAGAACCAAAAACGACTCAAATACTCCTTGTTATTTTAGGAGAAACGGGGTGGAAGAAGCAAAGGCTATTCGGATCACTCTAACTGAAAGCACGGTAGCTATATAGACCAGATAGACTTCTGAATGTAACCAGTAACTAAGGAGACACATCTTTCTCCAAATCTGCCACACACAGCGGCAGACAGAAAGCGTGCGGGTACATAAACTAACGTAGCTGCGCCGGAGCCGCGAGCCAGAACCGTGCAGTCGCGCGTGTCCTTCCCGCCACAGCAGTCTTGAGGAATGTGGGGTGCCAGGGCACGGATGAATGAACTAATGGACAGGCGCCTGCCGCTCGGATGGCTGCGGTCCCGCGCAGGAAGAAAAGGTGTGAGCCTCGCTGATACCTGCGAAGCCGCTATAGTGCGCCCCAGGCTCGTAGTGCCTCCGGCCAGAGGACACGTCGTAGACGCGGCCGAGCAACGCCAAGTACAGACCCGGGTCCCCCGGGCCGCCGCGATAGCGGGCTAGCTCCTCGGGTACGAAGAGGCGGAGGCCAGAGCGGGGACCCCACCAGTCCATCAACCACACGGCCATGACCGCCGCCGCCGCCGCAACCAGGCTCAGCACCACGCCAAGTCGGCATAGCCTCGGCATCTATCTACACAGCAGCACACAAGCCGCACTTCCTATGTTGCCACTTCTTTAGCCACAACTAAGATGGCGGAGACGCCGGTCGTGACGTCAGCGGCGCGGCGCTCGCGCTCGACAAGCTTCAGAGTGGGGTTCACTCTTAGGTTCTGACTCTTTCTCATACTTTTCCAGCATGGCTAGAGAACGTGAAGCGTGGAGGAGAAAGTGGGAACTGAACCGAAAGACCATCTTGGCTTACAAGTTGTCCGCCCTCAACAAAGATGGCGGCAAAGGAGGCTAGACCTTGACTTACACGTAACGGGCGTGCTCTTAGGCCTCACCCGGGTGTCGTGAACTGGTTGGTAGAATCCGCTTGACGGCTCCTTTGCGACATCAGGCTTCGCTCGACGGCCAGGAAGCCGGAAGTCGCTGCTGCCGCCGTCGTCCCCACCCCGTCCCCGCCCGCCTGGAGCTGTCGGAGGTTGACAGGTCGTGGCTGGGAGGCGGCGGCGGCACCTCCGAGCACCCAAGACGGAGGCCCCATGGGGAACGCTCCGAGTAACAGCAGCGAAGACGAAGCGGCGGCCGCCGGGGGTGAGAGCTGGAGCCCACATCAGGACTGGGCTGCCGACTCTGGCACGACCCCCGGCCCCGGCCCTGCGGCCGCGGCGCTGCCGTCCGCCGCTGCACTGCTGGAGCCCGCCCGGCTGCGAGAGGCTGCGGCTGCGTTGAGGCCCGCACCCCCCTGCGAATCTCTGGTGTCAAGGCACCACGGCGCGTTATTGCGCTGGCTGGAAGAGCGGCTGGGCCGCGGTGAAGAGTCAGTCACCCTGGAGCAGTTCCGGGAGTTGCTGGAGGCTCGCGGCGCCGGCTGTTCGGGAGAGCAGTTCGAGGAGGTCAGGGTGGGCTGGCGCCTGCCGGCCGGGGGGAGCAGGGTGGTGGCCGATAGGGTCGTGAAGAGGTGGGCGGTTGCTCTGCAGATGCCAGCCAGGAAGCCATAGGGTCCTTGTGTTCTTAGAATGGAAGCATGGGGTTACTCGAACCCATTCGGAGTGCATCACTTCGGACTTTTGCTACATCTCTCACCTTTACTAGAGGTGTGGGAAGTCCAGGCTATGTTGGCTTTGCTCCAAAAAGAGGAACAAGCCAAAATGTCTCTGCTTGTAGTAGGCAGACATTTGTGCAGTTGACAGGCAGGCTTAGTTGCTTACTGAAGCTTACCAGGGTATAAGACAAATAATGAGAAAGGATGTGCAAAGATCAAGGGAGTGGCCCTAAAGACCATTCTGTTTTACTGGCCTATACAGTTCTTGCAGAGAACCATCTAAGTCCAGTGTGTAATGCTACACTGAAAAGACTCTACAAGCCCTCCTCATCTATAAAATACTAGTTTTTCCAAAGTACACACTTGATTTTGGATCATTGAAGAACTTGTTCCAGACTCATTTAAACCTTTATAAATTGATAGGGAAGCATTAGATTTTTTTCTGTTTATGCAATTTCTCCCTATATCTGTAGAGAACTCTTCGGTTTAGGGTTTGGAAAAAGAGGGGGAAAAAAACTGACCCAGAATTACCCTTTAAATCATTTCATTGGCAAAACAGAGTATCACACATACCTCTTGATTTTGTTTGTCTTTTTTCTTATGTCCCTATTAGCCTGCTCCCTGAAGCCTTATTAATTCCACAATGATAGGACAAAAAGATGTTTAATGAGTAAGCCATGTAAAATTGAATGGTTAGTTTGTAAAGCAAGAAAACAACAATCACTTGTAATATTATAAAGTTCTGTTTGCCCTAAAACAGAGGCTTTTGAAATATTTCAAGGATGTTGCCTGCAAATGATGAAATTGTCTAATATATTTTGTAAGTTTCCCTTTAAAAACTTCATTTAATTAGTTCTAACTCTCAAAGTATGGTGATACAAACTGTAATACCAGAATTTGAAAGGTAATGGCAGGAGGATCAATTCAAGATCAATTTTGGCTACATAGTCAGTTTGAGTACAGCCTGGGCTACATAGAGTAGCATTGTCTCAAAAGAAAAAACATATATGCATTCATATTATATACACACATACAATCAGTTAGTGAAAGATCTCCATTAAAATAAAATTTCCAAGCTATTCATTATAAGCACACATACATGAATCTAACACTTGAGAGGCTGAGGCAGGCAAGTCCCTGGCTCAAAAACAAAAAACCATAACCTAGAATATTCATAATACTTTCACTTTAATACCCACATCTTTTATGAAAATATGAAGTATTGGTGGAAAGAACTATGTGGATTTGATCAAGAAGGTGACACTTTTCAGATTTGTTTAAAGACAAATGAAGGAAACAGCTTTTATACAGTGAGAATGTCTGACAGGAACAGAATTATCCATGGGGTTTATAGAGATCATGTAAACAAGGCCAAGAAATCCACAGAGCCACCCTAGAAAGATCCCTCAAGGTTCCGTGACTCATATAAGACAAATTCATTTTGGAGCTGGTCAGGGTGGTTCACACCTGTAATCCCAGCATTTGGGAAACAAACAGGGATTACTGCAAGTTCGAGGACAGCCTGGGTTACAGAGTGAAACCCCATCTTGAGAGCTCATTTGGACATTTTATCAGGAGTCTTCACCCACTCCTAAACCCTTAACTGAAGACCAGTTCTCTGTTGGAGAAAGTGGTCCTCTCTTCAGGAGGGACACATGGGCCCAATCAGTTCAGTTGAGTCAACCCTAGTATTCATGGAATGACACATGTCACAGCCACATCAGTCTCCAAGAGCCTATCTCAAAAAAGGGGATGTTAAAATTCAGTTTCACTGTGGATCATCTCACCCCAGAACTATTGCCCCTTCCCCCATAAGGATCTGGTTCTTCGTGATTAATCTTTTAACCTCAAGGATAAGTAATAAAGTCTTTAAGTTTCCCTTCATTCTGTAGAAAGCCAGTCTATTGTAATCCCAGGAGGATAAAAAAATCAAAACCCATGAAGTCTTTTTCTTAAAGCCTGTATACTATTTTCAAATTGGAGAGGAGTTGTGATTTGGGTTGATTACCAAAATCTCATGCCTACCCCACCCCACCCCACTGGTTAATTGAAGAGAGCAGTTCTAACTCAAAGTGAATACATCGAAAGTTTAAAAACAGGATGGTGACAATCTCATGGTGTGTATCCTTATGTTAATATTATCCATGTGGTTGGTTCTGTGCTTTCAAAACAATCCTGGCTTTAGTCCCGGGGAAGTATATACTTGTGTGTGTATACTTAGGCATTTAATTCTGGGTTTTTGTTTGCTGAGACAAGAGTTTCTGTGTGTAGCTTTGGAGCCTGACCTGGAACTTGTGCTGTAGACCAGGCTGGTCTTGAACTCACAGAGATTTCCTTGCCTCAGCCTCCCAAGTGCTGGGATCAAAGGTGTGAGCCACCACTGCCCAGCTTAATTCTGTATTTTATATCAGAGTTTTGAAAATGCATTGTGACCTTTAATATGTTTCAAGGTTTTATGAGATAATAATAATAAAATATCTTTGTAGTAGCAATTAAGATGACAAGTTATTTCCCATTTCTTTTTACCAGCACAGGTTGCCATGGTTGTGCATGTTTCAGCCTTACAATGTAGGGATCTCCCAGTACAGCTCATTTGTTCCTTGGCCTTTAACTTGTGTTGCTGACCATGCCCACCAACTGTTTTACTTCACTACAGTGCTTTGAGCGTGTGTATCATAAGGATGGTCATAGAGTTGGACCATGGACCAAAGTCTTCAAGATTATCATTTTATTATATAGCACACCTTTTCTCTTACTGGGTGTGGTCCAGGAAAAGGACTCTTGGATTTGTTTGTAAGAAGCAGTAGTTAATTACCTAATAGTCACCTATGTAGAAGGAAGAGAGAAAGGGAGGGAATGCAATTCTTATTTGACATCAGAGGTTAGTTATTTCTGCTCTTAACATAAGGACACTTCTAGAAAGTCACGTAGGCTTTAGGACAGGACAAAGTGCTCAGTACAGGAAGGTGATGCAGATGACTTTTTGTTTGGTTTTAAAACAGGATCTCACTGTGTAGCCCTGGCTGGTCTGGAACTCGATATATAGACCAGGCTGGCCTTAAATTCATAGAGATTTACTTCTTTCTGCTTCCCCAAGTGCTAGGATTAAAGACTTGTGCCACCACATATAGCAGATAATTTTGAAGTGAGAATTTAAGATGACTGGTTCTCATGTTTATTAATTTACCGTGTTTTGAAACTCTGAAAGACCTTTTTGGCTGTGGCTTTTGTTTTTTGAAACAGAGTCTGAAGCCTAGGTCAAACTCAAAACAATCCTCCTGTCTCAGTCTCTTGAGTACTAGCTACCATGCCTGGCTTTGGAAGGGACTGTTTTGATTCATTTCTGTGGTTGTGGCACATAGCTAGTGCCTGGTTACTGTTCCACCTGTGGCTCAAGTGTGCTTGAGCAAGCTAAGACACAGTCCTCACAAGGCAACTTTGTGTTTCATGCTCGACTTGTGGCCTTTCATTAACTAGCTATTTCTTGGTGTTGGAGGGAACAGTTAAATAGTTACAGTGAAAACTGAAAACAGCCACTGTTGAGTTTAGGAGAAATCCGGAGAAAAGGTTCTAATGCCCACTTTGGTATTATCATGCCAAAGCATTAGTTGCGTGGCTTAGAATGGCTTTCAGCCTAAGAACCATGTGCTTAGAATCACACACATGTAATTTTCCACCTCTGCACCAGATATATATATATATATATATATATATATATATATATATATATATATATACACACACACACACACACACACACACACACACACACACACCATAAAGTTGTAGCCAACTACCAAACATTGTAACCCCCGTTCAGCACCCTCAGCTTCCCACTGCCCAGGAGCTAGATAGATAAGTGTTCTTTTGAATGGGTGGTAGCCTACAGGACAGCTTGTCTCCCTTCCTGACCTCATCTGTCTTTCCCCACTGCGTAAGCCAGTGGTTCTCAACCTGTAGGCCACCACCCCTTCAACACAGCTCTGTCTCCAAAAATACTTATGTTATAATTCATAACAATAGTAAAATTATAGTTATAACAATGAAAATAACTTTATAGTTAGGAATCATCACAACCATATTAAAGGGTCACAGCATTAGGAAGGTGCTGTGCTCCTAATTGGTGGGACAGACACTTTGTCCTGTGCTAGCCTAGCTCTTCCAGCTTTCCCATCTTGGCATTGTTGTGTGGTTTGTCTAAGCTTTCCAGAGCAGGATTCAGATAGCTCTTTGCTCTATTCCAAACTCTGTCCACTTTCAAGTCCACAGAACAGTGTTTAATAGTAGCATGAAATCTGAGAATGCTTCACCAAACCTAAGACATGAGAGTTGAAAGGAATTTGTTTGGCAAAGGAAGAAAGAGATATTCCAGTTACGGCACAGCATGTGCAAATATATTGAGTCGAGAGAGCTTTGGCACATGGACACGGAGAGGAGAATCTGAGCTGACTCTCAGTGCAGTCTCGATGTGCAGTCTAGTCTGTTCACCACTTAACAAGTCTATGCTTTGTGAGACAGCACATTCTACTGCTCTTCTGTAGGCTAAGCAGGAAGTGAGCCTGGAGCCAGCCTGCTTCTGGGCAAAGCCAAAGTTCACTGTGCTCTAGACAGGTGATTTTTATTTTATTTTAGTTAATTAATTTGAGACAGAGCCTCACTGTGTAGCCCCAGCTGGCCTGGAATGTGGTAGTTTGACCACATTGACTTAGTCTAACTCCTGGAGATCTGCCTGTTTCCCAAGTGCTGGGATTAAAGATGTATGTACCTAGCCTAGCATCTTGCCAGATGATCTTTATCATCTCTCCTGGACCACTCATTGTCTCTTCACTGGTTAATTAGCAGAATAATGGT